GAGTTCGGAGAAAAATGTTGGGCGAAAAACATTGTGCATCAAAATGCGTGTATGAACATAGCAATAGTATTATAACAATAACGTCACCGGATGAAAAGGCCTATGTGGGGCTATAATTTCAAGTCAGTTTTATCCTGAGCGAGCTTTGAGCAACTCACTCTCGGCACCTGCTGGGACCTGAGTCAGCCTCATTGCCGTGAAAGCTGCTTTCCTGGAGAACATGAAGGTTGCATTCAGCTACCATATTGAGATAAATAGATGAGATGAGAAGAGGAAAATAAGGTAATCCTGTTATTTCCTAAGAGGAAAATAAGGTAATCACGTTCCAAGCCAGTTTCAGAGTCAGCCTCATTAGAAGTAGCTCGATTTACAGATCGCTCCCTGTCTTTACTGTATATTGATTTAGGCCAAATCTCGAAACCAGAGCCCACGATCCATTGGGCTCTGGTTTCGAGATTGATTGATTTAGGCCAGGTTTAATCGGGCTGGGTCAACATGAGATCACAAACGTTAACGCACAGTGGCGTATATCGTATAGGCTATTGTTGTAAAGATAGCAGCTCAAACACGATATTATAGATGAAAAATGAATTTTAAAAAAATCCCCTGAAATTGCGAGAAAATTTGAAAACAAATTATGGATAGTGTTTTAAGTAATTCGTACGTGAAGGATAGCATTCCTTTGAAGCAACGAAAGACTTATTAAATTCATGTAAGTAAAAGAAGTTTACATGCGCCCTATTGTGATGACGAAGAGACGAAACTCCTCAGTCCCAGCTAGTGAATACAGCAGCGATAGCTTATTAAGAGGGGATATTTTTCTATGTCGCGTAATATGCTCAAAACCTCAGTTATATCCTCATGCAACAGTACTAAAATTTTCAGCATTAAAAATGTTTTGCAAACCTGAAAAGCATTCACAAAGTATGTTTACTGTATAATCTCAAAATATTGTGAGAATGAAAAGGTTTCGCCGTGAAGAAAATGACAATTGAATCAAAGCTTCTTTTGTATTCATTTCAGTTATAATGGCGTTGACATTATAACATTGTTGATAGCCGCATTACTAGTATTAGTTTGTAATAACTCCTTTGTTTGGTGTTTTGCATTCACCAAATACAGTTAAAAAAATTAGTTCACAACATAATCTAAACTGAATAAAAGTAAAATAAATTAATTTTGAGCGGTACGCCGAAAAGATTTTACGTTTTTGAGTGTTTTCCCGCCAAAATACGCGACATCTCCTCTTAATGGTTCAGTGTATCTATATATAAACCTATATAGTTTTGTACAAATTACATTTGCCGTTTTTTAACTGCAGAAATGCATGCAAATGTCTTTGCAGCCATTTCTTCATCTTGGATGTTACGAGGCTAGTCACTGCGTTGACGCTACATGATCTAACGCCGACGCATGCATTTAAAGCAATAGATGATGAGACATCTCAGCTTATTATCTATATTGTTTTTCAATGCGTTCGGCGCATGCGACGTGTGACCCTTGATACACCAGATGCTATAATACCTCGACTGACATAATTTTTTGAGTTTCTTAGACTTCAAGACATTAGTTGGCTTTCTGTGTGAAATTGTGTTGATTGGTTTATAAGATGATATTATCGCGGTCCGTTTGATAGTCAATTGCACTTTAACAGTAGACGTTGAACCCCAAGCGCGCAGAGAATGATGGGCTATCACCTCGTTAGGTTGATAGGTTCATAAAGTCATTACATTGCGCCATTGCTATAGAAAACTAATCAGAGCAAGTAGATTCTCTGCTACAAGTCTTCCCATTTGCAGTCATGTATAAAATAAGCAAAAATCCATAATCTCTTTCGCGTTCAAAAATTGGGTTAATTTCACCACTTTCACGTTTCAAGTAATCTTTTCACCTTAATCGTCCTTAAGACTACTGTGGGACCCTTGGTGTGACTAAACCAATGCCATATAGCGATGGAATTGTTTGGAGGGAAGCTAGGAACCTTTCCACTATTAAAATTAAAACTCTCTTATATATCCTATTAATGCTATTATGCTGATTGTATTTATTCTAAGTTGTATTCTTATACGCCATGTCGTTGTCGTCCAGTCTTTAGTAAACCCACTGAAATTGCGATGGTTTAGAAAAGGTGAAATTCGACCTTTCCAAAACAACTAACTTTTGCCTTCGGCTGCCCGCTCTACAATGAATCCCTTATTGGAATGTTTTTATTTTTATCTCCGTGATAAACTGAGTAATTGAAAACTTTCATGTTTGCGGTGTATAAAGATATATAGCCGGGCCAGCGCATGCATGCAATTAATTTAATTAGGCTATACAATTAACGTATGTTTTCTTCCAGATGTATCGATTTTTATGTTAACATATTCAGGCAACTCTGTTTGTCCATGCTTCTTCATTTTTAGGTTTAATGTGCCGTTTTAATATATTATTGACTTTATTCATACATATTGTACCGATGGCATTGTATGGTCTGTAAATCTTTTAAACTTTAGCATGCAATTCACGAATAGCACGGACTTATGTCCGAGTAAATTTGAAAATTCATTTTTCTGTTTCCGAAGTGATTTCATGTCGCCTATTCTGGAGTTAAACTACATTAATTTCAACCACAAAATTGCAGTTAAAACGTTCTGTACAACCGGCCCAATTCAGTAGAGTTTTACGCAGCGGGCTTTATACACACAATGTATTTACTTGTCATGAAGTTCTGCACTTAAAGTTTGTGCTTACCGCTATAAGCTATATCAAATATGCGCTGTCACGCTGAACAACCCTGTAATTGGCACAGTTGCCTTTTTTTGCAATGTCCGACCAACTTTTCGTCAAGTCCGAGTAAATCCTAACCTGGTCGGACTCGTGTCCGACTTGGTACAAAACGTTATTTCACGCCCTGGCTGGTAGTCTTATGAACTTTAAACCATAGCTTGGAATAACAGCCAACCAGCCTTAATGCGTGTAAGCCCTGAACACAACCGAACCTGACAACGATGTTGTCATACAAGTATTTTTCGTGTGAAGATCCTTGTTTAACATTATTTCCAAAATACCATCACTATATATATATTCCAACCTTTTCAATAAATACTGTTTTTATTAATATTCTACCCGAGTGTGATGGGAGTTTCCTATAAGCGTCTGGATCATACTATTTATAGCATTAGCATAGCATACTATCTTGCACAACGTGAACACACACGGGACGTCCGATCTAATTCTGAAATGCATGCATGGTTCATGCAAGTAAATTAAGTGGACTGTTAGTGGATTTTGGGAAGATAGGCTAATAAAGTCGGGTTAATGTATTTTATTTTCAATATCGTATTATTTAGCATGTTAGAATACGAAAGAGACTTGGCTATGTAGTGTATAGTGGATTAATATTCGTTCATATTATGGGCTTTTATTGAAGCGACGATACTGCTGCCGATTTTAATTGAAACCGTGTCAACTTCGGCTATTTGCTTTTCAAAGTGCATAAGTTCCGAGCAGTAGCTGCATTAAGAAAAGCATTATTTTTAGAAGAGAGGTTTTTAAAAGCTTCGTGGTCCTTGACTGCTTTGTAAATGTCTCATTTCTCCGAACAGGCATGTGATGCTCATCTATAGCTCGTCTGTCGTTATCTCACGGTGTCTTCGCTCAAATTAACCTGCATGCATGAGCTTATTCTCATTGATGTTTTGCTTACCTCTTCTGTTTTCGAAATAAGTCTCTACTCTCGTACAAGTTACAAACTTGGAAGAATTTGATATCAGAGGTGTTATGAGAAAAATGATTCCTAGAAAAATTACAACTGGAAAAAAAATTATGGTAAAATTAAATTTCTCAGACGTATTATTAAAAACTAATTAGCATTAGTATATATCAAGATTTTTTAGGAAAAGTGAGAATTACGTTAAAGGGAATCTTTTCTTCCCCTTACCATAAGATATTTATTCATGTGCAAAGACAGCCCATAATTCAAGCTTGGAATTTATTTAGCAACTGCATTATTTTATGTTTTAAAATATCCGTCTTGCCTGATGAAAACGTGTAAAACACAGTGGTGATCTTCTCGCGTTTAGATATTTTAGTCAGTCAGCGCTGAGAAATCCGTTCTGCAGTATTATTTATTTATATATTGCCGTTTTTTATGAAAGTTGCAATAGCTCTGACATAAATTTGAAACCAAATGAAAGTACATCTCAAGAGATATAAAGTTGATTGAACCAAGAAATGAATTTTTGCTTGACAATTAGTCTCAGCCTTTCCCGCCAATTCGCAAAAATTTTGGTTTAGACTTTGTTCCAAATATTTCATGTCCCATGGGGGGATAAAATTCGTTCGGTAGCCCACAAATTCAACAATGAAACGATTTCGCATGAATTCTGCTTGTACTTTTCTCAATATATGCCTTGTTTAACGTTAGTTAACAATAATGCTCAAGAAGTCATACCGTTGAAAACGAACATGATTATCTTTTCTTATTTAATATGCCATTTTTGACTAATTTTTGCATGCTTTAAAAAATACGTACTAAAAGTAAAACGTTGATATCTCGGGGAATACTGTATCAAAATACGCATGGTATATACCAAATTGTAAGTTAGACATTCATGAATCTAAAGAAAGTTATTTCAGTGTAACATGTGTCCTAGTTTTCACGTTAAACTCGATCAAACAGGTTAACTTTTTTTGCGCAACCCGGTATAAAGAATTAACTGTTAATTATAGTTATTGACAGAATTGGCCAATCAGAGTCCAGAATATCTGGGCAAACTACGATTTAACTACGCAAAATGTAGTTAAGCGCTTTATACATGCAACTGGAATATAAAACCTTGAAATCGTGTTTAGCTCAGCACAATACCACATAATTATGTTGCTATGCAGAAAATAATTGTATAAAGTTTCGAGAACGTGCTTCAACGAATACTTGGCTTGTCACGAGACTTCCTCACTGCTTAATATATTGGCACAGCTATAGGCTACTTCTATAGCATTACGGTGCGCGCGTGATATCCGGTAAGTGAATATAATGAAAGTTCGAAGGAAGTAGACTTCATTGAATATAGTCTCTTCCTCGTTCAGAAAACAAAACCAGAGCTTGGAAAGCTTTATCCTGAACAAGTCAAGTTGTCAGAGGAAGATATTGAGCAAGCAATCAGTAAGGTTTGCTCTTTTAAGCTACAAGTAAAATCATGCTTTATAATTTCATAAGTGATTTTGAAAGCATGCATTATTCTCAGTAAACGCTTTCACACAAGATAATATTGTACCAGTGCTTCCGGGGCTATACATTTTACTTTCAAATGCCTAAAATTGTCTCTTAAAGACTTAATCGTGTAATGTTTGTGATTATCTAGTCTTCGTGTTTTTACGCATTTGTATGTTATTTCTATAGTTATGGCAACAAGACTATTTATAATTTTGGTCCTTGTCCTTGTCTTGCTTTGCTGTTTACTTCTGGGTAACATCGCTGCAATTCCAGTTCGACGTCCAGACGGATTGGCCGAAAATCGATCCAATCGGGCAGTCGGCGACCTTCGAAGCTGTCTTTTGGCCTGTTCTGAGGGCACAGCTGCCATTCAGGCATTCTGCAGAACAATCCCTTTGCCACGGGTGAGAGCGGCTTGTTGGGCAGTTCAGTTTGCTAGTGTGCCTGTGTGCAATGGATTTTGTTATGCCTACTTTGGCTGAGTCAATCTATGCAGGTCTGAACATCGCAACTCGTGGATACTGAAATTAAACAAAATTAAATCTTTGGGGAAATACTTTGTCAATATATTTCTGGATATGTAACTATCTATGTAATCTTTAACATGTAGTTGTGAGCAAATCAATAAAATAGATGTTCAACGCAATAGATTTTCGTTACTATTCTATATATATATAGCTGGTCATTTTACGCGGGGGCAGCGTTTGCTGGTGAGGGGAAGTTCGGAGAAAAACGTTGGGCGAAAAACATTTTGAGCAACTCACTCTCGGCATGCTGAGACCTGAGTCAGCCTCATTACTGAAAGCTGCTTTCTTGGAGAACATGCATGAAGGTTGAATTCAGCTACCATATTGAGATGATTAGATGTGATGAGATTATTACTTTATTTTCCTAAGAGAAAAATAAGGTAATTACGTTCCAAGCCAGTTCCATTTTGAGGCGCCAGTGCTGAGTCAGCCTCATTAGAAGCAGTTCGTTTTACAGATCGCTCCCTGTCTTTACCGTAGATTAATTTAGGCCAAATCTCGAAACCAGAACCCACGATCCATCGGGCTCTGGTTTCGAGATTGATTGATTTAGACCCGGTTTAATCGGGCCGGGTCAACATCAGATCACAAACGTTAACGCGAAGTGGCGAATATCGTATAGGCTATTGTTGTAAAGATAGCAGCTCAAACACGATATTATAAATGAAAAATTAATTTTAAAAAATCCCCCGAAATTGCGAGAAAATTTGAAAACAAATTATGGATGGCGTTTTAAGTAGCTCGTACGTGAAGGACAGCATTCCTTTCAAGAAACGAAAGACTTATTAAATTCATGTAAGTAAAAGAAGTTTATATGCGCCCTATTGTGATGACGAAGAGACGAAACTCCTCAGTCCCAGCTAGTGAATACAGCAGCGCTAGCTTATTAAGAGGAGATATTTTTCCATGTCGCGTAATATGCTCAAAACCTCAGTTATATCCTCATGCAACAGTACTAAAATTTTCAGCATTGTATTCATTTCGGTTATAATGGCGTTGACATAATAACATTGTTGATAGCCGCATTATATTTTGTAATAACTCCTTTGTTTGGTGTTTTGCATTCACCAAATACAATTCAAAACCTAGTTCACAACATAATCTAAAGAAAAAAGGTAAAATAAATCAATTTGAGCGGTACGCCGAAAAGATTTTAGGTTTTGAGCGTTTTCCCGCCAAAATACGCGACATCTCCTCTTAATGGTTCAGTGTATCTATATATAAACCTATATAGTTTTGTACAAATTACATTTGCCGTTTTTGAACTACAGAAATGCATGCGAATGTGCAAATGTCTTTGCAACCATTTCTTCATCTGGGATGTTACGCGGCTAGTCGCTGTGCGTTGACACTGCATGATCTAACGCGGACGCATGCATTTAAAGCAATAGATGATGAGACCCCTCAGCTTATCATCTATTGTTTTTCAATGCGTTCGGCACACGCGACGTGTGACCCTTGATACACCAGATGCTATAATACCTCGACTGACATAATTTTTTCAGTTTCTTAGACTTCAAGACATTAGTTGGCCTTCTGTGTGAAATTGTGTTGATTGGTTTATAAGATGATATTATCGCGGTCCGTTTGATATAGTCTATTGCACTTTAACAGTAGACGTTGAACCCCGAGCGCGCAGAGAATGATGGGCTAACACCTCGTTAGGTTGATAGGTTCATAAAGTCATTACATTGCGTCATTGCTATATAGCCTAAAACTAATCAGAGCAAGTAGATTCTCTGCTGCAAGTCTTCCCATGCTTTCAGTCATGCAAAATAAGCAAAAATCCATAATCTCTTCCGCGTTCAAAATTGGGTTAATTTCACCACTTAATTTCACGTTTCAAGTAATCTTTTCACCTTAATCGTCCTTAAGCCTACTGTGGGACCCGTGGTGTGACTATACCAATGCCATATAGCGATGGAATTGTTTGGAGGGAAGCTGGGAACCTTTCCACTATTAAAATTAAAAAAATCTTATACATCCTATTATGCTGATTGTATTTATTCTAAGTTGTATTCTTATACGCCATGTTGTCGTCGTCCAGTCTTTAGTAAACCCACTGAAATTGTGATGGTTTAGAAAAGGTGAAATTCGACCTTTCCAAAACAACTAACTTTTGCCTTCGGCTGCCCGCTCTACAATGAATCCCTTATTGGAATGTTTTTATTTTTATCTCCGTGATAAACTGAGTAATTGAAAACTTTCATGTTTGTGTATAAAGATATATAGGCCGGACCTGTGCATGCAATTAATTTAATTATACAATTAACGTATGTTTTCTTCCAGATGTATCGATTTTTATGTAAACATATTCAGGCAACTCCGTGCGTCCATGCTTCTTCATTTTCAGGTTTAATGTGCCGTTTATATTATTGACTTTATTCATACATATTGTACCGATGGCATTGTATAGTCTGTAAATCTTTTAAACTTCAGCATGCAATTCGTAATCCAGATAGCGTGCCGAAACTTTGTAGAAACCGCGGGTCCTTCGAATTTGACAATAAGTTGAAAAACAATTTATAACTGCTATCATGTAAATGTCACGTAAAGGTCACAGGGCGTATATATGGGAAGCCGTATATCAATTTTTATGATGCTTATAACAATTTATTTCGGGCACTTCTCGAGATCTTTTTTCCCATGCATGCTTACATATTGCCTTCGGCCCTGAAGATATACCCTTTGATTGAGAAAAGACACTTGGACTGATTACTTATATGTTCCCAAATTATAGTGGCATTTCCTAAGTTTTAGAAATCATTTGTAACACCTATCAACAACACACGATCTTCATTAGTGTATATCGCCGAAATACAGACCACACCTGCTTGGAAACATACGTAATATAACTTTTATTGAGCTGGTTGTTATAATATGAGGTCTTTTTTTAGTTCACTGATGCCTGTGTATACATATAAGTTTCACAAGAAATTGCATGTTTAACCATGTATATGGATTAAATTCCCATGGTGTGTTGTAAACAGAATAATTTTTGTTTATGGTAACCAATCCCTATTAAGCTGGTATATGCATGGATATAACATTGTTAGTTTTCATGTTTTCGACCTTGAAACAAATGGTAATTGCATTTACGTTAGTGCCATATCGATAACAACAAGGAATCGATGACGAAATTTTGTTCTTGGCTCGTTGAAGTCTTGAAAGGATCCGAGGTTCCTTGTCAGTATACGTTTATTCCTCAGCAACAATAGTAATCCAACTATTTGTCCTGAAGCAATGTTGTATGTTGCCAGTCTAAGCAGTAGATTTTGTCTCGAGTGTGTCTGTCAATCTAGTTTCACCAAAGATCTGACCTTACAAGAAAAACAACCAACTGTCATTAATCAAAGTTACCTCATCTGGCATTGTATTCTGCATTCCTACTATAAGCTTGTGAAAATTTCAAACATCTAAATATCTCGGTCAATTCCGATTCCTGCGTTTGGTAAAACTTAAATCTCTGCAACTTATTAAACCTTTTTAAAAGGTGCATTTGACACAAACAAACAGTGATAAGACAATCGACTGATTTCCATCTATTTTTCCTGGCAATTAACCCGTCACGCGTTGCCGATTCTGTCGGTGTGTATATGAATGAACATTCAATTTTTCAGGAGAAGGGAAATGATTTTGTTTGCGTGGTCGCGGACGCGGTTTTGAGAGAAGCCAGGAACAGCGCACCTTTGAACCGCCTCTGTGCATGCACCTATCTCATGGCGCCTCCCAGACGACCCGTATTAGCCAGTAAACGCGCACGAAAGCGAGACTTTAAATGAAACAACTTTTTTAAACATGCATCGCAGCCGGGACCGAATGCCCCTTCGAGCTTCCATAAACGTCAACCCAAGCTGTAGATAGAGAAAACAACGAAGGATGAAATTTCAGGCTGTGTAAATAAACCTGATAATATAAGATAACTATGAATGTCATTTTCATGCGCGCTTATTCCTATAATAGTATCCCTAATTGCTTCTACCGCTATAAATTATGTGGAAATTTGACAATTCATTATAATACGTCACAGCGCGCGGGCCGCATAGGAATCTGTGTGACGGCCCTGCGTATATGAGTACCAGGAAACATTCCATAAAATACACGCTGTGTAACTTGCTTATCTTGAGCGCCGGAAATGTACGTCAAACAATCACGGAGCAGTTCGAGTTTCGCCGGGTTCACAAAAGACATTTTTGAAGTGTTCGAAGAACTTTTATGACCACTTTTGCATCGACAATTTTTGGATGAAATATATTCGAATTTCTGATTGACGGGATTACAAGAATGACAAATGGGCTATGGTAGAGAATTTAACTTTAAGCAACCGATAGGATTTAATTAACTCACTTAGCCTGAAGGTGAAAAATTGCTCAACTCAACGTATCTTTAGCCTGTATTATAACCCACACAACACTCCAACCATCATCAGGATTCTACTTAATATGCACTACAGTAAAATATAATTTAAACCCACGGAATTTAAAAGGTGATAATCCCCTTCCGTTGGTCCTGCATAGTGCAGATTGCGCGTTACAATTCTGATTTGTGTGCAATACTTTTCCAGGCCCGATTCAATATTGGCGAATATGGAATTTTCAACCTTGACCGTTATTTTTTGTGTGCCATATATAATTGTTTTGAAGCAAGGGTAAAAGGTGCATTCCATGAAAAACTGCATGTTGCCAGATGTAGCTATATAGAAGTTAACCTCCAAACGAATCTAGCTTTTCTCCACAAATGGAAACAGGCGCCCAAAAATTGTATTTTTTGCGTTGTGGTAAAGTTTATAGCTATAGACCGTTTATTTTGAATTATAGCCTTTTTCCAGCAGCGATATATGAAAAAAATTTAATGTGATGCATGCATGCATGATACAGACCAAGTTATAATTCATATAACTTACACAGCTACAGTACAGGATGATATCAGTACTCGAAATCTTTGGTTTATTTCTGATGATGAATACTTAGTATTCGGCGACATGTTAGCTGTTATATCATGTTTTTCGTTTAATATACCATGTCTGTGAGCGAAACTTACATATTCCTGGGCATATATTTGCAATTAATCCGGTGGCAGTATATTACTCCAATCATTGCAATTAAAGACTGATTCAAAATATATTGATTGTGTTCGATTTTACTGTCAATGCATGAATGTTTAAATAAATATCTTTTTTGTTTTTAATGCAAGATGGTACCCGTCAGTAAGTTGTTATACTGAGTAAAGATGTAAATCAAGGGGAAAATGTATTTGTGAATTGTAAAGGTTTTGTTATTTGGATTTTTATAACTGAGTTAAAATATGGCGGCAAACTGGAAATTTACTCATGCATGCATCGATTTCATCTATATACTAAGCTAGCTATGCATGCATATAACTTTCGCATTACATGCGCACGAATTTCTTGTCCTGTATCAGGATAATTTGTCACTGATGAACGAGTGTTAACCTTTGACTGGTAAACCATTTCTAAGATCTATCATATTTGTGAAATAACTCCGCGTATATATTCACGGTGACCAATTAATATATGCATGCATGAGTAAGTTGTTTTTGGTCCATTTATCTAACCAATATTCCAGGCATATATAGGATAAAACAATATCTCACCCAATATTTCAATGGTAATGACCAAATACATTTATAAAAATAAACTCATCCGTAACAACATATTTTAAATTAGTCATTTCAACGAATAGTTTTTACAGTGGATTTTATTTTATCGCATATATATAAACCTATATTACTATATATAATATTATATTACAGTTCCGTAAACGATTGACTTTAGGCTAATGAAAACATCACCTAATAGTTTTCGTAGAGCATATAGCTGCATGCATGCATGTTGATAAACTAAATCTATTGTAGCTATATAATATCTTATAATGCTCAAATGAATGTATAATTTTCCTATTAATTCTCCTAATGGTAAAAAAGGGAGGCACGTTTAGTTTAGGCATATACATGTTTTCATATCCCAATCAAATCCTGATATTTCGTTTTGTTTCGACTGCACCATGCTTTAGTGTCGTGATTGCATGCTCGCGCCCCATGCATATAAGTTATATATAAGAATGTAGATACTGTGCATAAGGTAGGAATGCAGATATAGCACGTTTCAAAATCTTGTTCCTCATCCTAAGTGGGGTAATTTATACAGGAATTTCACAATACTAAATATTTCATTGTCAACGAGTTTTTGAACTTAAATGTTCTGAATTGTTATTGAGTTGCCGAATATTTCTATATTTTATAGGTCTTTCAGCTGCTGGTGTTTTTGTCAGTAATCTAGAACACTAATGCATGGGCAATCTTGGTTGCGCGGTAGCTATGACTTCGATATGTATACCAATATTAATCAAGTTGATAATATCAAATATCGTATAAAGTATTCAGATTTATTGCGGCGCAGTTATTTTTTAATGCATGCTTGATGCTTTTTAAAGTACATAACCTGTCTTTTATCCCTGCATCACTGCATGCATGGTTGTGAATGCATATAGTATAGGATTTAAAGTAAGAAGCCTATTGGCAGCATTGCCAAGCATACTTTTCCCGTCAACTGAGATGCTGAGAAAAGTTACCAACATTATACTTTTAGATAATATATATAGCCTATTTTTATATCAACGGTCAATTCCGGTGATAGAATATCAAAACATAGATCATGTGCTTTACCTACAAGCATATATAACACAGCATGCACGTGCCTGTTCGAATGTGGGACAGGCGTGAGGTGTGTATATCACTAGAAGGAAGGACTGTCAGGAAGAAGTCTAAATGGCGCAGACACTTGAATAATGATTCGAAAAGGATCGGCTCGCGTGACAAATCTTGTTGTTGCAAATTAAGTCGGTGAAACTGGAAAATATTAAAACTATGAAACGACATCATTTGTTGGTTGATATATGTTAACGTCTTGACCCCTGACCAGTAAGGCAATATATACATTCGTTAAACGTGGCAATAAAAAACTAAGGCAACGTGGCAATAAAAAACTAACTGTCGTCAGGTTTTTTGCAAAGGAAACATAAACGCCAAATATACATGTATTGTCGCTGCATTCGTTTTGTGTAGCGCAAGAATCGCATCCCGCGTGGCAGACTTTTGGGTGCCCGATCCGGGTTTTGCGCGAAACCCATAAATCTCGCGTATAGACCCGTAGTCTTCCCGTTTGTAATGATGTGCGAACGCGGCCACACTCCGTGCCAATTAAAACGATTAACAGCAGCAATTTCGCGGGACTATTAATAACATAAAACGACATGCCCCATTCGCTATATATTCGTTTTGCTTTTATATTCTATTAACTGCTTAATAAGATCTCAGCTTTAATGTCAATAATCCTCTATTACAAGAGGTATTACAGTCCAATGAAGCGTCTCAACGACTCCTTTTATGTTTACAAAGCGAAAACTACGGCGTTCAGTACTTTAAATGGCATTAAAAAACACTTTAAAGCCGAAAAATCACGACTATGTATAATATTTTTGGCATTTAACATACATTTGAAATTTCACAGAACTGTTTCAACTTGAATTCGTTAAGTTTTTTCCGGCTTTATATTTTTGACCGATTTTAATTATATATTCTGTAAGGCAACTGTGCAAACGATCTGTGGACATACGCTAAACAGCTTAGACATTTGGCTCGCGTTCTTTCGGAACAAGTCTATACTCTAGTCTACTGAAACAAATTTATGCACAGTTTGTTGTTGTTCCTTCCCGTGTCGTACTATTTTAGTGTACAATACGCTTCCTCAGTCGTAGGATATTTGTGAGAGTATTATAATGCACAATGCGTCGCGATTTGTTTGGACTAAAGCAATACGTGTTAATTGGTTATGTAAGAAGGTGAAAACTTAAGCTGCTTTGTAAATCCTCTATAGTTGCGAATAACTGCCCGTCTGTTTAGCGTAACAATAGGGTCGCCAGGTGACACGATGCAACAAAGTTTCACGACAGAACACGTCGTGTTCTGAGTGCAGAAATGAATCATTTTTCACACACCAGAGTCGCGCTCGAACATTTGTGTAATTAATGGTTATTCTTGAGAAAGGCTCGATCACATGACCGCGCGAAATGCCTGGGGTGGAAACGGGCTGTACATAAAGCGAGCGCGCTGGCTCGCCGCGGTGAGACGCAGCAGCCAATCAGAAAGGCCTAATCCACACTGGTTCAGTCTTAAAAAGAGATTCGTCACAGGTTAATTAGAAGGTATCGTTTTCCCCGTCATCGTTGCAACAGATTATTCCAGATATAGTGCGTCGCGAAGGAACGAAGCGAAGAGAGAAAAACAGCATGGAACCGTTTAATCCGAACGTGTCGTATATGTATCCACATCAGTCGTGCTTCCCGGCGAGTTATCAACCTCTGTTTATGCAGCAACAGTTAGCACAATTTCGGTATGCAAATTTTTCGCCGTCCTCTCTGCGTTCGCTCTCGCATCCCGCGTTCATGCACTATCCTAGCTTGCCTGCCGGCTCCGAGCAAATAAAAACCATCTCCGAGTACAGCACGTTGGCTGAAACGACCGAACATTCGAGTTCCCGTTCCTTCGACTCGTGTAATAGCCTCGATGATTCGCAGAACGAAGACCCCGGCTTGGAGGACGATCAGGCCGATCCAGCCAGTTCAGGTAAAAAAAAGGTTTCTAATTTTCAATACTACACTTAAGTTAGTCTCCCACTTCATACTTAACAAATACGGATCTCGAAATGCTTTAACACCCAACTAATATAGTTCATGATGATTTTTTCATTAAGCCCACTTGGTTAACTTGAATATATAATTCTGCATTTGGATTACTAGATTTTCAAACAATGAGACAATGTACTTTTTGAAGAGCGATAACAATTTGCACTTAAATGCTCGCTCATATTCTCGTCTATTTGACCAACCAAATCCCGGAACTATAAATAAATACAAGCACTATATGCAAATGGTTGAATATATTCCTTTTCTATACACGCGAAGACAGCCACGCCATTGAAACAATAGCCATTTAATGTGCTTCTCTTTGTCAGTGGGCCGACCATTCGAAAAATGTATCGATTATATTCGTTTACGTCTGGCACGTTCATTTTGTACTTACAGCAGTAATTACTGCTTTTGTCACGGTCATAAAGGTTTGTTAAAGAATGCCTAAAACAATTTCCTTCTTATTTCACTTATTATAACAGATCACTGGCTGGTTCGACAACCGTACCGTAGCCGGAAAAGAATGGCCTACACGCGACAACAACTACTTGAACTCGAGAAAGAATTTCATTTTACGCGCTATTTAACGCGAGAGAGGAAGAGAGAGCTGGCCGACAATCTAAAGTTGACAGAGCGACAAATCAAAATATGGTTTCAGAATCGTCGCATGAAATGGAAAAAGGTGAACAATCCTGTTATCCCAACGAACCGAGGAATGATGAAGCAGACGCAGTCAAAACGGTAACCTTGAATCTTAACCCGGGACAATAATTGTCTTCGCGTTCAACGCGGACTTGCAAAGCTTGCGAGCCAATTGTACTAACTGTAACCTTCATGCATATAGGCATTGCATGTCATTATTTAAAACAAAATTTTAATGCCAAGATATTTTGAATTCGAAGACCTTTCCTTGAAAAGGTCGGCAACGTTTCTCACTGATAAAATATCAATTCGCTAAAAAGGTTTATATTTTAAGTCAAGACATTCCGATGGGTTTTCCCATAGAAAAGGAACTAAATTCAATACGGTAATACCTTAAGCTTCGTAAACATGGCTTAACCTGCGACAAATTAACGAATTCTATTCAAATAATTTTAAAACGGTGATGTTATAAAACTGTACAAATACGGTATATATATGTATATTCGAAGGGTTCAAGTCTTCGTTTTAGAATGTAAATTATTTAGAAAATAATTTTAATTGTTATCAGTTGAGATATTTTTTGTTTCTTTAGTTCTGAGGTGTTTTTTCGTGCGCGATAATTCATTCTCCGACGTTTGGCTTTCGGTCTAATTTCGAGCGAATAAAAACCGAATAAAAGGAAAGCTTTGTCGCAATGGTATTATGGTCTTCCTGTCTGCTTAGGGATTTAGGTTGATGAGAATGTGTGCCGATTGGAGCAGGTTAAAGCCGTCTCTATGTAACTAAAGGACTAGGCACAATATAGTTGAGTAAACTTCTATGTTGTCTCACACATACATCATGACACCAACTGGCGCCTCATCCCACATCAACCACGCCATTATGGCGGCGAGCACTTGAAATTTTTGAATAATGGCTTTTGACAAAACACGAAACTCGAACTTTATTAGGATCTTTACATCAACCATATTACATCTCTGATATGAAATATGACAGAAGTTCTTGTTTTGCACAGAATCACAGCCGAAACCGGCGTATGCGCAAGCGAAAATCTAGCCGAAAATACGAATATTTAAATGTGTTTACGAAGCGAAGCTGCCATGAATTGAAATGATAATGTTTGATGTTTAGACAACTTGAATAATCTGTCGGGAACAGTGTTCATAAAACATTAGTTTACATCCTTACTTCTAAAATTACTTGTTTAATAGTCGAACCACTTTTTATATTAACAAATTGCTTAGTTTTCGAAAAATTGTTCGAAACGAAAAGTGTTTGTGTTTTTGATTTAACTTCGTGTCATTTCATAAAGCGGCTTTCAATTTAACCCGGCATCTAGGTCTGATTGGCAAAATAAAACTCCACGAGTGAACGCATACTACATAATCTCAAGCATGCATGCATAGTATAGCGCAATGTTCTGTACGCAATTTTTTTTAACGGATCTATTATCATGGTATATTTACTGCTTTAATTTATCAATGATCGTGCACGTAAAATTAATCCGCCATGTTTTTGATGATGATGTCCTTGCATATATCCTCAAGTGTCGTTCACGTTGCATGTGGTTTTATTAAGGATGGATTCAATGAAGCTTTAGGTGAATCATGCCTGTATAGCTTACAGCCAAGAGAGTGCAATTTTTGGCCTAGAAATCGTGCAGTTTAATGATATATGAGAGACAAAAGCGAAGGAAGGGCGTTCGGAAATCGGAAACCGTGAGTGCATATCGTTTTTTAGGTTTTCTTTCTCTTGCTATATATATATATGCATATATCACTAATTTCTTGACAGATTATAGTGTTTCAATGCTGTGAAATCTTTAACGCCAAATTGTCTCGTCCAACGGAGGACCTTCGTCTCGTTTCGAGGTGTTACCTTATAGGATATTCGCACCTAACAGCTATTTAACCACAACGTGTTTATGAAAGCTATGTCAGCCACTTTTGGTAACTTTTTCGGCTCTGGTTTTCCAAAGCTTTGGCGTTTAAACATCGCATCGGACAAATAAGTACATCCCAAACGTGCTACTGTATATACACGACTCTCACTCCGTTCATGAAAAGATTAGGCTCATAAAATTATTGATATGCTTGCTCATTAGTTCTTATACCTATATACAAATCGAGTACGCGTTTTTAACAGGATGTGATAATCAATTTCTATTGAATACTGCACCTGGCAATTTAGACACCCAATTACCAGTGGTTTATGTTAGGCATAGATATTTTCCGCAATCGTTGACACACTAACGAACGATGTGTTAAGTACGCAAGGTATTCACAAGTTGATGTTGCGCCAGGCAAAATAGTATAATTGCGTGTCTCAAATAAGTTATTTGTATATGGTTAGCCAGGAGAACTAAGCCTGGGACATTATAATATCATGACCAAAGCATGAACGTTGTGAAACATGCAATGGAGGTCCCTTTTCCGCCCTAAAATGTCTGTTTGCATGCACAGTTACAGCGACAAACATGCATCATTGTAGGAATTTACCGGCCTTGTTCAGCTGAATCAATAGTGTGTCGGATTTCTCGCGATGTTCCCGGTTTGGTACTAAACAGTATGGTAATGTCCTGATTTCCTTCCCAACGATATATATACAAATAATTGATAAAAGCCAATTGCAAGAAAGTGCTATCATCTAAAAATATTCATTATCCATCTTGTATATATATCATTGCCATGCACGAATCTGAAAATGCATGAGGGAAAGGTTCCTTAGCGTTTAAACTTTCAAACTAAAATGGGTTTAGGGTTAGCATGGATACGTGCACAATCTTTTTATAAAGTCACAAACATTTTAAATGGCTTTGGCAACCGTTTTAAGCAGTTTTAGATCGCGTCGCGAGTCAATGGCTATGGCGCAAATCGTATTTTTTGTACATCTTGTACATTATTCAAACTTATCGTCTCAATAAAACTGATATGTTTTGTACACATGTATATGATCGTTGCACTTGCATTTTGTATTGTTTAATACCCTGGTTATAGCTTTGTTTACCGCAATAGTATTGCTTGTAATTTCACGTGAGAATACTCAGTTGAGCCATAAAAGCTAGCTTGAGTCAGCTGGAGTTTTCAAACATACACATGTATACTTGCAGTATGTTTTATAGGTACTTCTTCACGCTGTAATAGCAGGTAACGTGGCAAAATGATACAGCATTTAAACATGGATTAAAACGAGATATCGATGTGGCAAATTCGCAGAGGTTTTGAATACAATTATCATGTTTTAAAGTATGTATACAACATGCCTATATATATATGCCCGCATGACTTCAGCTATAGGCGGCGGCGTATAGAAATAGGGATATATAAGATTATACTTGTTTGTTCTCAAGATAAAAAGCGGAGTATTCATTTTAAATATATAGGCTGCTTGCCGAATGCAGTTGTTGTGTGTTGTGGAAAGGATCAATTTGTTTTTCAGTTAGCTCTATTTCGACGCAAAGAAATGTGCGCTATAGCCTATATGCAAGTTCATATATGTTCCGCGTATAAATACTTATGTATACAAAAACCGTGGATTCTATATATATCGTACGTCGTGTGTGCATGACCGACGTATATTCTTTTATATAGCTACTTTTAGAATCATCTATCGGATTGTAAATCGAAGTGTTTTCATTTAACGTTTGCTTATATTCATTATACTCAACAAAAACCATGTTAAATTGCAAGTCTCCCTGAATCTATCAATGTTTCAGTGAAGAAGATTGCTAATGTGAACAGGGCGGACGTGATTTCGACAACGCGAAGGTTTTCTGATACAATCAAAAACAAATATGCAATGATTAAAGTAGGGTTAAAAGTTACTTGAATGGGTTACAGCTTACCTACAAGGTTGTCATATATAGTAATCTCGAATGCCAAAGGTAATCATTGGCTTCCCAGCAGTCCACAATTTTTATCTTTTCGATTGGGGGTCTTGGTGAAATTGGTTAATAAGCCCAGATTCATACTGAAAAACAAAATAATATCAATCCAGCATTTAATATCAATTGCATGCAGTCTCGTTTCGTTTCTTGAAGCTGAAATATTCTATATAGTAGCTACTTGAGTATACTTTATGTACGACACTAAACACAAGTGTTGCGATATATACTGCAGGATGTTTTTCGTTTCGCAATGATATGTTGTGATTTCCGCAGTGATTGTTCATTAAGGAGTTGCTTTTGAATTCCCTTTTTGCACCATTTTCGAATATGATCCACTATCGGTTGCTTGTTTTCCAAACAGATTTACAAAAAGTATTGTATTCTTGCAGTGCGCGTGCATGTTACTAGTAATCCTGGGGAATAAATTCAGCCGCGGGACAACTTAAGCCACTCAGGATTAATTAAACCTGTGTACGAAAACAGGCCTTATTTACAATGCGAAATCATGTTTTTAGTCCCTTACCCTTCAGGTTTTCCGCAGCATAAAGATTACAACGATTGTATAGCTGTACTTATACACACCAATGTTGGTATCAGTTTTCGATGTGAAGATTTTTGCATTTCGTAAAGAAAACACACTTTTCGAATGTTTTGTCATCGGGCCCTTAAAACGCCATCAGCGCGAACCGAGTGCGCGTTGTTGACGCACGATTTTGAAAATCTCGTTTCGACTCATAAACAAGCACAGCCCGTCGTGCCACCAACACCAAGTCGTGCAGAACTAAAACGATTTTTACGTATTCAAAGTGTTTTATAATGCTAGTTGGGGTATAAAATTTCCAGCTTAAGTATCATAAATCTTGACGAATTGTCATGGCCACAGTATGCGACGAAAACAGCAATGGGAAAATAATGCAGTCTTGTGGTTCGATTCAAATTAACGATATAATCAAAGAAATATGTTGTCGTATTTGAATAATGGCTTCGAAATAGTAATTTTTGGGCGCCTTGCGCGTCCCATTAACCAGCATTTCATCGAGGAATAATTTGGGAACGGTTCACGATTGCGTGTGTATTTCCGCTGATGGTTTTTGAAGAATAGCAAATTCGAGATTCGAAAATACATGGCATCGTGCCGAAAAACTATTTCGAACATTGAAACGTTGAAAAATTGTTCATTTCATAAAATATTTCTGTATTTTTGCGAGGAAAAATTGCGTGTGAGTATGATGAAATGGAAATAAGATTACTGCATGTATAAGTTAAGGTTACTACATATAAGGTTACTTAATTTCCAATGTCTTATAATATTTCCTGGTATTTTGTGCTGATCCATATCGTAGGGGTTGTTTAAGCCAGACGGTTGACCTAGATAGCTAAAGAATAATTTGTAAAACGAAATTGATTGGGAAGGCACGGCGTTGACAGATTTGACAGCAAGAATGTCGGGGGCTGCCTAGGATTGGTTAGTTATGACGTACTTTGTTTTGTTACAACACGCAACTTCCAATGATTTGGCAAAGAAGATGATAGAAGTCAATTGTATTACAGTCGGAAAATACTGTAAAAATATGCTTGTTTGATAATGTGCCTGCTATATAAACTCACGATTCAAAATTGACCTGGCTTATGGCTATTATATGAACGAGTCTAAAGAGATAAACAATGCACTTCAGAGTTCAGATATAATCGGTTTTGGATTACTTGAGGGGACTGGAACAAGTTTGGGAGTGAAAATTGTTATTCGTGTCGTTATATAAAATTTTTACTTTTATACTTTCCGTTTTTCAGTATTGATTTGCTTAACGAGATCGCAAAATTTCACACAATTTCAAGTTCAGTCCTGTTTTATATACTAAGACTGGATTTGGCCCGATCTCGCATGATAATTAAACTTAAATCCAATTTACCGTTGCGTAGATCTCGAAAGAGTAATTACTTTTTCCTTTAATTTTCATTTTTAAATTAAGCTTTCCGTCTGGGTTGAAAGAGCCAAAGAGGGCGCTGCTTAATACTTTTGTCTTCGTCAAATAGCTAAGTCTTTTTTACCTTTTCTAATCACTTCATTTGTTAAATTTCTTCATTTACATTCCTTCCGTTTATTTTAAAAAGATACAATTTCCTCGAAATGCATTTATTAAGATCAGTTATCCTAAAAATGGCCATGTTATCTACTTGCCTTTGGAATGAAGCTCATTTAGTATTTCATTTTCAAAACTGATGTGTTCAGTATACCATTGGTCGGATATACATAGGCTAAGATTGCCGACTGCCCACAAATATACTTATTAAAGCCTATAGCTAGGAGAAATAGGCACTCAAGGAGTGCATAAGGATTTGCAATTTTGTCAGTTTTATGATGCAAGAAAGATGATATGGAAAAATATTGCCCAAAATTTAGTATAACAAAGCACAAAATAATGTCAACTTTTGAAGATCTTTTAGCGTTCTTAAGCCTAAAAATACTTGAATCCGCTCCAAGCAATTAGATTTTCTAAAGTTCAACGAGTGAAAAATGGAACAATATATTCAAATATTTTCCTTTCGTTTGGGTCAAAATAATTGGTTAGATGCGTAGTTGTGTTTACATTTTACGAAAATCAGCTGGATTGTTTTGCCCGAAAGATCGCGAATAGCCACAAACTGACAAACGGTAATGGCGGATATAATTGCTTCCGACCGATCACGAATTTTTTGGTCCTCGGAAGATATCGTACTACGTCACATTCTTACTATCTATCTTACACAGACGATGACATAAAGGATTAAAAAATACTTCCTCACCGTACTTTTAAATTGGTTTGGTACCTGGTAAATTGGTTACTTACGTTAGAGCAACAAAACACTACACACCTGTCCGGCAGTTTAAAAGTTTTCCTCCATATGTACACACTGATTGTAGTTGAGTTTCGCCTTTATGAATGGCTGTGTTTCTTCAATGACGTCACAACTGGGTGACAGGCTGGATACGCCAGCTATCAGTAATTTTTTCGCAGCAAGCTAAATTACACCACTTTAACGAAACTATCTCAAAAACGAAAAAAGGTATTTATATTTGGTAAACTGCATTCTTATTTTATTTCCAGTGTCTATATACTGTCTATCAATATAAGCTAAATTTATAATGGTTGTATGTGCACCCCCATTGCTCCGCAAAATTGGCTGAATTTACGACTTGCGTCTACACAAAGCAATCTCATTTACATATTTTAATAGAGTATAAATCTATATTACTATGCTGAGATTACGCCTCTTAAAATTCATAATAACATATTAATAGGCTGCCTATACCATGTCCGTCATTTTATTTTCCATAAATGTGTTATCAATTTTTTATGGTAATTTTTGTCGGAGGCCCTAACTGACTTAAGGAGCACCCCATCACTTGACACCCTGATACCCCAAGTTACACCACTGCACCTGAGTCACAAAATTTTACTCGAACTTGTTCAGTAATTGATTAATATTACTTAATTTGTATATTTGTATACAAATGTACAAGTTACAAAGGAATCCCATAAAAAATATTTGGGTTTGATAATAATAGTAAATTCTGAAAATTTGAACTCTAAGTCTCTAATATAACTTTTGAAAAATTTGTCTCAAGGTTTCTTGAACTTTTGAAGCAGCAATTTCATATTCATTTCAAAATTTTAGATATAATTATAGAAGCTATTTTGTGCATAATCCGATACTAGTATTATATCAAATAACGAGGCATTCCAGTCAGCTGGTGAAAAACTGCTAAAAATAGCTGCATTCCATCTAAATTAAGTGCTTCACTTAAGTTTTAAGTGCCTGGTTAAAAATATGCTAAAAAGTGAGCCCAATATATAAAAGGTCGAATGACCTCAATCTACTTGGAATTGTTCTGATTGAAATACAAACAAAAATTTAATGAGAGATGAAAATGCAATAAGATATCCAAGTGGTTCTAGATGGTTCGCAATAAAAAACGAAGTGAAAATAAACAACTGAGCAGGATCGATATAGCTTGATGATTTAATCCTTATATAAAAATGTTGTAGTATGAAAAAGCATTTATATTCAGGTTTCCAATGTTGCCTTTCTTCAGTTCATATAAAATTAATTAAGAAATGATTCGGCAAATATTTTAAAAACGAAAATCAGTGACCCACCAAAAAATACGAGCCAATTTCGAATTTATTGTGAGCTTTGATGCGTGTATATCACATTATTTGAAAAGTTCATTCAACTCCCAGCGATAAAAAATGCGGGTTTTGGCCAGGAAATTTTAACGCACGATTATTTTGATTTATTTCTGGCCGTTATGAAATGAGAAAGATATAATTAGAAAGCTAAATAAAAACTTCTTTGATCCTTGCTATGAAAAGAATGTGTTATTGAACCCAATACGTAATGAATGTTAAAGTGGTGATTTCATTTTTTGAGACACATGCTGTATATAGTGGGCCTGTCTATTGGACTCTAAATCGTAGAATAAAGATAAGCTTTAAAATGCGCATGCGTCTACTCCTTGCTTATTTCATCGTGTGAATCAGGCGCGTGTGCAACACTTGATCGAATCGTGCAAGCGTTTCTTCGTTGAAAAAAGTTTTAAAAGATGTGGTTTCCAGACATAAAAAAACAAAAAATCAACTAGACATGAAATAAAAGTATTTGTGGTAAATGAAGAAGCCATCCAGCAGAAAATATTGATGGAAAGGTTTATATATGTGAAATTTCATGTTACCCGAAGCCCAGGCGCCCAACCCGTCACTCCCTATCCAACAACGCCTGTTATTTCTTTGCCACAAAGTTTTACAACAAAAGTTACATGAAACATTTAAAATGATATTTTTACATGCAACCGCATACTTTTAAATAATACAAGTTAATATTCACAATATTCAATACAAATTTAAGTGTTCGGCCACATTTAAGAGTGTTCGGCCATTTTGAAACATTGAAACAAGATAATGGTATCTTGGCGCATTGATTTATCTATAAAACAACATCCTCAATTCCTCTCAAAGATTTAAGTCATAGTACTAGTTGCGTATTTATAGTACTATTCGTACAGTTGTAATTCACCAAAGGATTGCTGTAGTTCATAGAATTTGGATAATTGTAACAGTTCGCTAAATGGCTGATCTTTGCCATTTCCTCGAACGCGGAGGGGTTCACCTGTACCATGCCGTGACGTCGCTTTCTTAACAGCACCTCGTTATCCCTGTTATCCCTATTTGTCTTTTTCCACTTCATGCGCCGATTTTGGAACCACACTTTCACCTGCTTCTCCGACAATTTTAGCGATTGGGCGATTTCGATCCTTCGCGGCCGACATAAATAGCGATTGTAGTGAAACTCTTTCTCAAGTTCAACCAGTTGGCTCGTCGAGTATATGGTGCGAGGTGACTGGTCAGCAGCCGCATCACGCTTCTCAGAGTCTTTTTGGTTCGAAGGATTCTCAACTAAAAGATCATTAGTGGAAAAATAAAACATTTTGTCAAGACTTCGGAATATATCTTCTATTGTATACCTATAATAACTAAATAAACTCGCTACAGCATCGGCTATATATCTCACTGAAGTTTTCCAGTCAGTCTGATCAGAATCCATTATTGACGTGTCTGGAAATCCCAGTTAATAGTGTGATTTAGGGTTTCCACAATTTTATTTTTATATGACTATATAGTGTATATCTGCCCTCACTGGGCCTGGGGGATAGAATGCCAGTGAAGAGGTACAAAGGACTTAGATAAGAGAATAAGAATAAATGCCATTAGTATATTGACCATTGTCTCTCTAGTGAAGAAAGGTATAGGTTGTATAACGTTTCCCCTGCCAATAAAGAAATCTCCGATGAGATATAAAGAACAATGCACTGATTGTGGTCTGGATAATTCAAGACCTGATGCGGCTAAGAAAGATGTTAAAAAGTCAATGATAAAAGAGAGATCGAAAGGTCAAGAGAATCCTATTTAACCAACTGATCGTTTTTAGACATCTGTCCCAGTTTGCGATAGATAACTATACATATAATACGCCAACAGATATTATACATTATATCTTTACTCCTTTTATAAAGCTTGTTAATATGGGCAACCGATCTATTTACATAACTTTTATAACATTTTGCTGTTGCCTTCAATAATTTGTTGCTGTCAAATATATCGCATATATCAATATATTTGTATATAGGGTTTCATGGTAACCATAGTGACCATGCAATGATACATTATCTACGTTCGAAAAGCTGATCAAGTAAATGATATTATCAGTGCCACTTTGACTTTGTCAATCCTAGAAACGCACACTGCGATTTACTTGCAATACAGACATGCAGTGAGCTTCCGAAGCCCCCGTGTATTAAAGCCATTGTCAATGAGCATAATTGATCCAAATGAAATTTAGAGAAAGAAAAAAAGGCATCTTGTTAATTTATAAACGTATAGTTTTGATAGAGTATGATAGTAACATGAAATGCACGAGACGGAAAGACCTTTAGACCGGAATGCGTTTTACATCATAGCAATATAGCTTAGCCCAGCACCTGACATGCATGCATTTCTCAAACTGACAATATCCTAAATACCCTAAAAGTATGCATGATGAAGTTTCAGATTAAATGTGTTGTATGCCATGCCGTTTTAATGAATTCCCCCGCGGCAAATTAGATATTTCATACAAGGCGTATACCTTGCGTTCTTAAAAAGCTATGTATGCTATGTATCTTGTCTGGAACTTTTTAATTAGGCTGGTCAGTATAATGCAATTACAAAAATTATTGACTCAGATTTGTTTTTCGCACATAAGGTAATCTTTTCTTAGAATCTAATTTTGTACTCTCCACGGTCCTTCGATGATAAGCTAGGAAACCGAAAGGCCTGTAACATGTTTAAATGTAAAACCAAAACCAGTAAATCGACGACTTCAACTGAAAACTATAATATGCGACATAATCCGAAGATTAGCATTTTGAAATCGAAAACACGAACTAAGTCAAGAGGAGAATGATTTTTCGACTTTACCTCAAATTCATCATACGACTAGAAAAGACCATGTTTTAAACGGTAGCTGATGGGTGATCATGATTTTAAAACTAAACTTCTCGTCTTAATTATAAGGTCCATATTTTGGGCTTCAAGATGCTAATCTTCGGATTACGTCTTATATTATTTGCTTCAATAAGTTTGAATATCAATATATATAGCTAACAATGAAGTGAGAACCAAACTTGTGGCATTCGATGTTGCAGTTAATAAAATCTTCATATATCCATAACTATAATCAACAAAAGATCCATGAAGGATCATTGCACAACAACATGCATGCATACGAATCACTACAAAGCATACATAAGAACATAATATCAATGCCCTTAATCCTGACTGTCAAAGGAGCGAATATATTGAAACCAAGTTTTACCCACAGATTTATAACTGTATTATTGATTTGCATATCCAGCATGCACAAGGTTAAAAAGCATCAAATTGAATCAATGTATTGTTTATTTCACTAGGATATTGGAAATATACTTTCTGATCGAAATTAACGAACTTAGGTATATAGAAGCATCCTCAATATCATTGAACGTTTGTAAGCAACCAAATTAGTCCGGCAAAGGAATGTTCAATCCTTCGCGTGAAAAACCCACACGTCTTCACTCCAGGCTAATTTCAGGGAATTATTTATTACTTACATATAATTATGGTCGGATAAAAAATCTGATTTTGTGAAGTTGCGTATTTTATTACAGACTTTATAGTCTCACAGAGCTTTGTCGCTCAAACATGAAAACATTTTGTTGCAATTTGGTTCTTGAATCAGTTTCAGTGAAGGATAAGCATGAAAAGCTATTTTTAACAAGCGAAAGCTCTGTAGATACGGGAATGAATGATAACAAATATTTGTAGAAACCAAACCTTTATTTTTGACGGCGACAAACAACATAAACTGCTGAGAAAAAATCTTAGATCCTTAGAGAATTAATTATAAAGCATATGACTTGAATGGTGGAATAGTAGGAAAATCATTCTCCCTGGAGTTACCGTTAATTGTTTTGTTTATTTGAGAATATGATCGAGTGCTTAATTCCCGTAACATCAAAATGTGCTTTTCTAGTTTCGGTTATAAAAATGCGCGTGGACTTGTTCATTAAATGTTTGTATTTAATGACAACAATGTAGGTAAAGTGGAAAAAAATAAACTTGGAATAGCCAAAAAATTATTTTGCATGTTTTAGTGGTTTTGATAGTGTGCATAATACGCAGGCCGCGCGTCCTATACATGTATATTGCCCGTTTTACAGGGCAAATTTTCTTCACAAATTTCACGATAATTCGCACATTTTCTTCGTCAAATATACCTTGCCTGCGTTTAGAGAAATTTCACACGGTTTTCAACAAAGATCAAATTTGCCAAAGAAATTTTTCTCGCGGAAAAGAAGCTCAGCGTTTTGATTAGGTTGGTTCATTGGCAACGGAAGAGAAATGAGAAAAATACTATATAGTCAAAACAGCGCATGGGCACAGAGCAGCGCAATCGCGTTTTGCGCTTATATACCTAGACAATAGCAATGTTGTTTTTATTTCCTGCGTGCAACCGCACGCGTCAATCTTATGACGATATAAAAGTGATGCGTTTCGCGTTTTTGAGCTTTCGTCCCTGTTTTTTATTGTAATTGTATCGAGACAAAAACAAAGCGCTTGTTTGGCGCCTGTGCAGATATTTATGCGGCAAAGTGTGAATGCGCTATGACAGTAAACTTCAATGTACAACTTTTGAACTAGCGTCGTTAACACGTGCTTGACTGAGAGGTATGAAGGACAAAAACAATGTTTTTGTCCTTTGTCATCATATATATATATTGTGAAGGCAAATGTAATGAGAATTATGCCAACGTTAAGCTACTTGCGAGAAGATAACATGTATAATGTCGAGGGATATCCATGGCCAAAATGTGCGATGCGTATATACTATATCATACAAGTATACGCACCTTACAAGCCATACATTCATGCATAATTCATCGGTATTTTTGCTTTATATTTAAATCACGGTTAGATAACAATAACTTCCTTCTATTACACTAAAAAGGTGGTAAGTATTTTCTCACTGACAAGTAAACATGAACTGTGGGAAAGACTACAAAACACAGCATTTTACATGCAGTCTCAGTACAATCTTCATACGCTTTTTTAAAATACTTCGAAATTTCAACAAAGCGTCTTGCATTAAAAACTTACTTTTTGCTGTGGTGCGACATCTTAACATATCAGTAAATAAATCGGTTAAGTGTTGCCTGTAAACTATTACAACAGTTGACCTTCCCTTCAAACTGCGTATCGGTATTTTCGCCGCCTCCAAATTGCACTAAGAATGCCTTGTTTCATCTTGTAATTATAAAGCGAAACAGTTTGGCTTCCGTTTTAAAAGACTCAAGATCATTTAGTTTCAGTCGAAGGCGAAAACGAGAACGGGATAACCATATTTTGTCGTTGGCGCCTGATAACTCTTCGTGGTGTGAAACAACATGGCTATTGTTATCGTTGTACTGGGTTCAGCATTAGTTTTACAGACGAAAAAGTGTTCATTCCACAGCATATGATGGTTCAGGCAGTTAATTTAAGTAAAAAACAAACAACTTAAGAACGTATAGAATACAAATGGCTAGCATGTTAAATCTGGAGCAATCAGAATACACTAATCTGTGAAAGTATTAGGAGAAAAGCGGATTTTGACACCTACACTTTTGTTCGCAAAGTGATCGGGAAATGTTGGCGCCACCGTACGTTTTCGCGACAGGCAACGACGCGAAAAACCTCGCAGAAGTGTGACTTTGTTGCACTCACTTTTCAAGTAATCTACTTCTAAACATGCACTACGGACGCGAGATAATACGAACTTCAAGATTGTAAACATGTTTAATGCTAACCCAAACAGTACGCGCGGTGTTTGTCGTGGCCTAAAAATGATCGAAAATGTATCCGTTGTTTTTCGAAACTTTCCGCGCATATATTGGGCGAGTTGTGTTTATTCACTTGGTGTGAAAGAGCAATACAAATTAGCCGGCATGTACTGATAATATAAGTTTCGAACTTCGGCGAAAAGGTTGAGGGCGAAATGCGCTCGTGAATAAACCTGCTAGTAGGCGAATAGAGGTAGTAAAACATTAGCATACCTGTTTGCTTCTGTCTACCGCGCGATTCCTTCATCCATGGGAATATCTTAGTATTTGCTGCTGTCTTCTTTGGAACGGCTTTGATCTGTTTCTCCTGTTTATGACCGCGTACGCTCGTCTCATGTTCTGCTCGCAAATGACAACGTAGTTCGTCGAGCTCAATCTGCGGCAGAATTGTTTCTGTTTGCGCACTGGTCGGGTTTTGATTAGCAAATAACAGTGAACCGAGGGAGTTCTCTTCTTGCATGTCAGCGTCAGGTATTTGATAAATGACTGAAGAAGATAAATGATGTTCGTTTCGGGGTCGATCCAACCGCGATCAATGCTTTTCTGACGTTTCAACAGTCTCCGATGATGGGACCTGCCAGGCTACACGTCGAGAATGAAAAATGACTTTGCATTCTAAAACCAACGTTGATCGATGGTGATTTATGGCCAACGCGCGTCACGTGTCCGACGCTGGCCAATCAGCGGCCGCCGTCGGCGCTAGACTGATCGCCGGCGCCCTAAATGACTAATGAAATGAGATATTCAAACAACATTCCGGTTTATTTAGCCTACGCATTATTTCAAGCAGCCCAAAGGAGCCCAAGCAATGAACACTCGTCAAATTGGAAAACTAAACAAGCTATATTTGTTGACCTACCCCATTAATCAGGGCCTTTGCTCTGCGCTCGGCCATTTTGCAATTGTTGGCGTCGTGACGAAATATGCTGGGACTGTTATTACCATTTGCAAGCGACCGTTCGGCGCAAACGTTTTCACGCGTTTTCTTACGTTTCAAACGTGCACGTTAGGCAAACCAAACATACATGCTGAAACGTATAAACTAATTAGTTTAGACTATGAGTTGACATTGTTTGACATGTCACGCCCACATGTCCAACAAACGTAAGCGCGCACATTTCTAAATATACTTGCATGTGTTAGTTCTATATTTCCACACATAATCTTCTGTAGCTTTTACATTATGCATGTCAATAAATTTGGTAGATCATACAGCCTTGGTAAATCACTTGATAGTGATTTAAGGCGTCTAATTATTGATGAATGCCTTAAGTCTGGTGGAGATGCAACTGTTGGTTACTTGCCCGTCACTTACGTAGAAATAGCTAGTCGATTCAGTATCTCTGCAAATACAGTTTCCAAAATATGGAAGAATTTTTGCTACCAAGGACGAAAGGTTGATCCATCACCAAAAGGCGGAGATCATTCAAGCAAATTTTCTGAAGGGGATCTCGAACTTCTTGAGGTTCTTAAGCGAGCTCATGGCACAATTCAGCTGAATGAATTATATGCTATACTTGAGGAATTTGGTGATTGTGGTGAAGTTTCGTTGTCATCGATTTCACGAGCAATAAAATCCAGAAGCGACCGTTCGGCGCAAACGTTTTCACGCGTTTTCTTACGTTTCAAACGTGCACGTTAGGCAAACCAAACATACATGCTGAAACGTATAAACTAATTAGTTTAGACTATGAGTTGACATTGTTTGACATGTCACGCCCACATGTCCAACAAACGTAAGCGCGCACATTTCTAAATATACTTGCATGTGTTAGTTCTATATTTCCACACATAATCTTCTGTAGCTTTTACATTATGCATGTCAATAAATTTGGTAGATCATACAGCCTTGGTAAATCACTTGATAGTGATTTAAGGCGTCTAATTATTGATGAATGCCTTAAGTCTGGTGGAGATGCAACTGTTGGTTACTTGCCCGTCACTTACGTAGAAATAGCTAGTCGATTCAGTATCTCTGCAAATACAGTTTCCAAAATATGGAAGAATTTTTGCTACCAAGGACGAAAGGTTGATCCATCACCAAAAGGCGGAGATCATTCAAGCAAATTTTCTGAAGGGGATCTCGAACTTCTTGAGGTTCTTAAGCGAGCTCATGGCACAATTCAGCTGAATGAATTATATGCTATACTTGAGGAATTTGGTGATTGTGGTGAAGTTTCGTTGTCATCGATTTCACGAGCAATAAAATCCAGACTTCTGTCCGGAAAACGATATACTCGGAAGCGTATTACCAGCGTAGCCTTTGAGCGCTTTACTGATGAAAATATGATTTATACTCAGCTTTTCATCAACTACCTATCTTCAAAAGATCCGAGAAGGATTAAGTTCTTTGATGAGGCGGGGGTTAAGACGCCGTGCATCGGTACACGTTTATACGGAAATGCGCCGTCCGGGGAACGCTGCGTGGAAATTGTTCGAAAAACAGAATCTCCAAATTTTACTTTAAATTTACTGATTTCAGTCAATGGCCCTGAATATTACAACATTCTGGATGGCCCAACTGACACTGTAAGGTTCTGGGATTTCTTCTGGGAGGCTTCTCAAGCAGCACATGAGATAACTCGACGTCCTGCTCTCGAAGTAGGGGATATCGTTGTGATGGACAATTTAGCTGTCCACCACTACGAAGGCGGCCAAATTCTCGAAGAAGTTTTAGCTGAGATGGGTATCGAGCTATTGTTCACCCCAACATATTCTCCCGATCTTAACCCTATTGAGCTTTGTTTCAATAAAATAAAAACAGAACTTAACGGACGGTTTTCAGCCGACGTTCATCGTAATCTAAAATTAGCTGTTGCAGAAGCGGTCGAAAGAATATCAGCGTTGGATACGAGGAGGTTTTATCGTCATACAGCTTATCTTTTTCCTTTCGTTGGGTGATGCTTACAAACAGTAATACATTGAAACATTTCACACAAAATACTTGTAACATTTAAGTTTCGTATTTTCGTACATTGATATAACAGAATGATTCAGCAATATCATTGCTTTGGTAAAGTTGAATATATCTGTAAAGTTTGACATTGTGTTAATTGTAAATATTACATTTGACCTCACAAAACTTTGATAACTGCATTTAAAATGGTATTTGAGGATTTTGGGGTAGGGTTTTTTTAAGAAATCGTTAGTGGGTGGGCATGAACAAATTGTATTAACTATAAATTGTACTGAAATTGTTAATTGAAAAATAGGGGAGTTTGTAGGGGTCTGGGGGAACACCCGCAGATAATTTCCTGTATTTTTTAGTCTCCGACTTGATTTCCTGCATTTTCGGCGATACTTACTGTTGCACCATCTCGGCGGAGTGAGGTTTGTTGGGGAAGGAGCTTTCGCCCGCCAGTTAAAAAGGCCCTGTTTTCGGGGAAAAACAGTGTCATATAATCAATTTATCGGCACGGCATGGCTAAAATGGGTACTCGTGCTTATTTCATCCATGCCCCACCTTTGTATTGGTAGTCTGAAAACTAATAAAATAAGGTACGGGTGCCAATTTTTGCCGTGCCGTGCCAATAAATTGAATGTAGTGTAAACAGGGCTATGTCAGTTTTCCGCCGCGGGATAAAGGTCACGCGTGGCACGCAACTGACAGTTAAGTAATAAACCTGACTGTCAGCAATAATTGTCGTTATATTTATTACAAACATGATGATATAATTGATAACAAAATAACGTTTTCTCAAACTTATGGTTCGAACTTGAAGAGTACACAGTCACAGGTTGCTATAAACAAAATGATCTTGCAAAGCAAATCAAACCTCTCAAACTCGGTAAGTTTTGAAGACAATTACAGTAATAATATGCCGAGAATAAAAGTATAGCAATTATCTATAAAGTATGAAAGTATCAAAGATATTTAGCCTATTCTAAATCTATAGCTAGCACTCTCAAAAATATAATACGAACTAAATATATATTGTTGATCAATGGATCAATGCATGAGTGCAATACAAACGAAAATCGAAATATAAATTCATCAACCGATGGCTTGGATGACCCTCATGAAATGTAAACAAAATTAAAACAAAATGAAAATAATTTACAAACTTTATACTGGTTAGCTATCTGTTCAAGTTTATATCTAGCCTTCAGTAATACATTTACCCGGTATATTTAGTTAGAATAATATGAAAACTTCTACTTATAGTTGCTTCTAAAACTAAATACTATGATAGAACAGTGTCTATGATATAACACAACATACATGATTGAAAAGCTTTCTTACTTGAGACATTTGTCATTTCCAGACGAGAGAAACATTAAATGTAATGCTGCATCCCTGGTCTCTGACTCTGTCGATGTCAGAACTTCTGATGCACTAGGACGTGAAATAGTGTTGGGCGCAGCAGTGGTTTCGGATAAACTTGCAGCAGTACCAGTGTTTCCAGATGAAATTGCAGGATCACTGCTCGCATAAATTACACGACAGGAATCAGATGGATGAAACACTGGCTGTTGAACTGTTGGCGTGTATGGATAGAAATATGGGTTCATATTCCCGTAAGAATAATTTGGAAAATCTTGAAATGTATAACTTGGCGCAGTGTTGTTTAATTGATAAGGTGTCGGAATGGGTTCGGGACAAGCATTTGCTACAGTTGTAAAGAGAGATCGCTGCTCCTGCTGAACTAAAGACTCCTGTTGAACTGAAGAGTCTAATAAGGCTTTGTTTCAATACCATGTTGAGCTGCTCTGCTTCTTCTTGAACATTTGATGGCGCGCAACGATGAACAGAACTTGAATGCGAGCTGGACGTAGCTTGGTCGCTGGGATTAGGAAATGAAATCCCTTTTTCTTGCAAAAGAGCTTTGGCCGGATTTGTTCTTTTCAGCGCCCTGGTTCTTTTGGTTTTGACTTGCGACATGCTTGAATTGGCATTGTACTCGTCTCCTGAAACATCTTCTCGTTCTAAGGCGACCTCTAAAATATCCGAAAGTTTGTGCTTTGCAGGTATTCTGCCTTCGAAGTGTTCTTTACAGTGTTTCTCGAGAATATAGACGTGTTTACGCAAAAGTGCCCATTTCTTTATTCCCCCGTCAATATACTGGTTTCCGCTCTCTTTCATAAGGGCCTTTTCAATTTTATTTGACAAACTTTCAGACAGTTTATTCGCTTGTTCTTCCTTTAGACTTAGGTCTTTCTCGAGTTTAGCAATTTCGTCTTTGACTTTTTTTATCGAATTACGAGCCCCGCGAGAGTCTATTTCACCAGGGTGCAATTTTTCTTCACCACAAGCAAAATAGATAAGCATTTTTCATAGTCACAATGACGTGCAGTATGCCCTAAACGCATGTGACAATTTCGGCATAAGTTACCTTCGGTTGGATTTGATTTAACTCGTAATTTTTCCTTTGCACCTCCTGTTCGTTGCTCTCGAGTTTGTAAAGTTCAGACCTTTTTGCGGCTATGCGATCTTTAACTTTTTTCACATACCTTTGAAAAGGTGTTTCAGCAACAACAGACTGAGCTTCGTCGGAAGAATCGGAAGAATACATTGTTTGTTCTTTTTGGTCGTGCTCAAATAATCTTTTCCTTGCATCGCGAGATACAGCAGGCCGTTTCTCTTGAGGTTTCTCCAGTGGTTTGGTTTCTTTCATCCCCAACGGCGTCCAGGCGTCATCAACACGCAAACACAATCGGACCGTTTCGTAGTCTCCCTGAAGCACTGACTTACATGAACGAACAGCATCCTGTACATCATTTTCTCCAGTAATGGTAACAAATGTACCCTCATCGTCACGATATTGGATTCTCAAGGACTTTGGATCCCGTCCATCTCGATAATAGCTGCCCACCGTGTCCCAAACAATTTCAGACAGCATCGCTAAATCCAAATCTTTCAGACTATTAGATGAGATTGAACTCGTTTTACAACGATCGTAATCACGACCATATATAATTTTTACTTGTACTGACATTTGATTCTGTAAAATCGCAAACGCCTCAATACGAATGTTATGTCTGAAATCTTGCTGGAATGACGCCCTTACGTTTGTTGGACATGTGGGCGTGACATGTCAAACAATGTCAACTCACAGTCTAAACTAATTAGTTTATACGTTTCAGCATGTATGTTTGGTCCGCCTAACGTGCACGTTTGAAACGTAAGAAAACGCGTGAAAACGTTTGCGCCGAACGGTCGCTTGCAAATGGTAATAACGAAGTGCCAGACATTGTGGCTACACGGCCAGTGCCCAGGCACAACGTCTGCTGCCGTTCTTCCATCATACAAATACCATACTTAAGCTCGCTTTTCTCCGTGCAGACACGAGTCAAAACCGAGTACAGAAGGCCAAAGACGATTCGAAATAATTCGAAAATAAACGTATCGTGCCTAGCCTAGGAATGTGGTACATTCGTGTTTTTATTGTATGGATGAATCACGAACATATTAATGTGTCCATGGCGAAAAACTCATCCATCATTTTTGTCATTTTCGATTTTCAAAGGATGCGAAATCCGGTCGTATCTTATACCAAATGCTCATAAAAGTACAACCCTTTCAACAAAATAGCTGTTGATCGAGTTCTTGCAATCTGAACTAGTCTCTGGAATCTGGATTATTAATGCCGTGGGATATTCGCGGGTTTTTTTAGGTGAAAGACGCTTAGTAATAGTATATATGTAATTCACATGCCCGCATGCTTTTGACTATTTTCATTGTTTATTTTGATTGAGGATTTAAAGTCATTTTACTCTACAGTTTTATTAATGTATCGCGTGTGCACGGTCTGTAGGATGGAGTAGTTTCTTTTTGCTTTTGAATTAGGCGATGTCCAACGAATAAGGAACTATAATGAAAGCTTGAAATTATTGAGTCTTCTGTGTATGTAATATAATCGAACCGTCGTTAACTTGTTTAGGCAAGTAATAAAATCTGGCGTGAGAGACGACTTAGGCGACATGCCATATTAAATAAGCCCAGATAATAGCGTTAAAAATATGTGCATGTTTTGATCCATAAATGTTTATTTCTCGTGTACGTTTTTTAGACAAGTACATGCAATATATATATACCTCATTTTGCTACCGTTGCATGACGGTTCGGCTTTAGCATTGAAACCGAAGAGCAGTTGTACCTGAAACTGAAAGTCTGAAACGCGAGTAAATTAAGTTGAAAATAGCCAAAAAAAGTTTGAGACCTTCGAAGACTTTCACAAAGTAAGATATAGACTTTCACACGGAAAGCTTACACAATAAAATCTAGAATCCACACGGCCCACTGCCAATAATATGTCATGTTTTTAAATTTTCAAGTGGTTTAATATTTGACAGTGGTTGACAAAATTTGTTTAGACATCGTAAAACGTCCTTTAATTCGCGATAATTACAATTTCACGGTTATCCACACAACCCGGAGTGACATGTTTTATTTATACAATTAATGTGCCACTTCAAGATTAAATCCCGCACTAAAGATATCTGCTCAGTCCCGTCTGAGCCCTACCCAACCGAAAAACCTAAAAGCATTTGGATTAAAAATCCTGACTCTTCTAAACTGACGCAATAGCGGAGTAGGTATATAAGAAGAACACTTCTGGCCTGCATAATTTTGCCAAGCAAACATTGACGTCTGTGGATTGGTTTGCGATGTGTGGAAAATTGACTTTTATTACTGCTAAGAGTTTGCTTTGCAAATGATTTGCTAATGTGTGATGCACTGTTCTGATATAAAAAGACGCAAACATTTAGAAATCCAATTACTCGAGATTAAGATTTATAGTATCAAATACTAGGTATGCACTTGTGTATGCGGCATAATATTTATTTCGAGAGATTACAGCATGAGAAACGCGCCGTTTAAAATGCTGGAAAGCCTTTCCGATTTCTTCAAGAAACATTCCCAGCCGATTTCTATCAAAATGGAAACTGCCTTTTTCATCCGAAATAAAAATTCCTGGCACTAATGAGCTAATTATCCGAAAGTGCTCCCGAGTTCCTGACGATTAAAGTATATTTCATAGTAGCAATAGAAGCATCGATTATTTTTCCGCCTAAAAACCTATGTGAGAACTTTGACGGTAGAAAATTATCGATCAATACCATTAAAATCCAACTTTTTCCCTGGCAGATCCCGTTAGCGGTCGCGGACTTTGTGATGCGTGGCAGATAGCAGGTGTACATTCGTGGTCTTTGTTCGTGTTCTGTTTGTCATCGTTGTTCTGATTGAATACTTGGTTTTCGGTTGTCTCCCGACGCTAGCATTTCATTTCAATCATTTGAAATAGAATTTGCGAATTCTGCCCGCAAATGACTTCGGTGCGGTAGAGCCTGCGCTCAGGTAGCCTACTGATCTCTACACGTACCTGGGTGCGAATACACAAAAGGAAAGCGGTGATAATGTCGCTTGCCTGCCGGCTGTCATTATGCCGATTGTTGTGTCCCACAAAAATAGTGTTCGAAAAGCGTTCTAGAATGTAGAATGTGACAAAAAGCTTCATCGAAACATCATTTCTCATTTCCCGTCCAGTGATTATAATAATCACTCTTGCCTGGGATTATTTGTTCAGCATTTGAAGTGCGCTATATTTCGCCTGTTTCTTTCGAATTGTTAGCATTCCAGTACAAAGAATTTATTTGAGTGGATGCAACTCAAAAGAAAGAAGGTGAATATTTCACATTTTGTCGAGAAAAGCGTTCAAGGAATCAGGCCCTTGGGGAAAAATAATTCCAACACTAATCCCGAAAGCTAATCGAACACCAGCCCTACTAGGCACCGACTGAAGTCTTATCTAATTTTTCATACGAGGTTTATTTCCCCCTAAATAGGCATTATCAGAAATGACGGTATTCGCCGGTATTCACACTGGAGAGTGCATTCAAAACTTCCCATACAGCTCGTTATCCGCTGTACGTTGACAGAAAATTTTTGCCAAACAGCAGTGGTAGAGCTAGAGGATAGATTTTAACATCAACGGATTCGTTTACCATTTTATAGGCTTCAACTCCGTATGGCAAATTAATATATCGTAGAAATGATGACCATTCTGGTATGACGAGTTTCACTAAATCCCGAAAATTTTAACAGTGGCGAAATTTTCGCCAGTCAGATGGTCGATCCACCCATAAAATTCTCCCAAAAGCCGCTCAGAGCCGTGTGGGGGTACCAAATGTATTCAATTACGGTTGATGAATTCGAATATAAATCCCGTTGAAAGGACTTCAGCTATGGTTACGCCCGTTATTTGGATAAATTTAATTGTATTTGATTGGTGATTAATTGGGTTAGGCAAATTGTGTGCAACCGACGGTAACTTAGCCGATGAAATTATTTTCGAGTCGCCCTTACCATGACGTCGACATAATCGATAATGATTCCAGGATGGACGATCACAAATTCGAAAAATTGGGAGACATGCATAACCTGACAATGCGATGTACCACGAAAATCTGAATGTGTACCAGTGCTTCAAGAGTTATCATTCTTTAAGAGATATCATGCCTACCCGATATGAATGGTCACCGAGAGTGGACGACGTTTTAAGAATTAAAAAGATCGAAAGAATACAAAAGGGACTAAAAAGCTAGATCAATAACGATCGATACAGAAAATCTTTTCGATAGTTTCCATGCAGTTGTCAAAATGCTATCTTCTCACATTTTAAAGTTTGCTGATCTATGATTCGAAACCAAAGTTCGAGTTAACCGGATATATTTGACCACGGAAAAACAAAATTTGTTCGAGTTAGCGAGGAGTTCGAGTGACGTTCAATAACGTATAAAATCCAATCGAATCATTCTTCAAGGGATATCATGCCTACCAATATGAATGGTCACCGAGAGTGGACGACGTTTTAAAATTAAAAAGATCGAAGGATACAAAAGGAACTAAAAAAGCTAGATCAATAACGACCTTGGCACTACACAAAATCTTTTAGAATTTATAAGCATCTATATACAACACTGATTAAGTTGTTGTTGTTTCGATAGAAATGCAAATTGTCCGGTAGTCAAAATGCTATGTTCTCACATTTAAGAGTTGACGATCTACGAATCCAAAAATGAAAGTTCGAGTCAGTAACGGGATATGTTTGACCAAGGGATAACAAAATTTATTCGAATTAGCGAGGAGTTCGAGTTAAGCGAATTCGAGTTAAGTGGAGTAAATTACTATATAAAGAACATTATCAAATTCAAGGGGAATTGGATTTAGTTTGAGTTAGCGAGGAATTCGAGTTAAGCGAGTTCGAGTTAGCGGTGGACCACTGTATACATGTAGATGACAGGTACGTCCCGTTTCGGTAAAAAGGGAATCAACTGTTGGCTATAAAAAAGAATTGATCCGTGAAAAACCGTCGAAGCTGTGATCGAAGTATATGAGCAATAAACTTGATTGCCGAAAATCCTGAATTCCCGCAGGTCCTGAAATCATGCCAAAAGTGATTAAAATTAATGTAAAATCCCTAAAAATTAAAATCACAATACCAATGGTTAAAAATTGGCGCCCTAACTGATCTCACATTTCATCTCATTTCCTTTTAAACTAGAATTTTTTTTCACACCGACTGATTACAAAACCTGGCAAACCTGAAAAGAAGTTTTTGAGATGGCATTCAAATACTTCACGAAGCTGACATATTTTGGCATTTTTTATTCATACTTGAATGGATGGCCCAAAATCTAAGCTAGATCACTTCAGTCCAATTAAGAAAATATCTTAAAATATATATCGGATTCACGAGAGCCTCTGGGCTAAATTGACTACTTGTTGATTTAAATATATTTGAAGCTTGTGCCGGATGAAATAATGATTACTTCAGCTAGAGGACCGTCCAATTTCCAATGTGGTTAACCCTATGGCATTATTATATTTGGACATTCCAATTGAAACTTATATAAGAATCGTGATATATATATATATTGTGATATTGATCGTCAATTAATCAAAGAGATTTCCACAGGGGGAAAGCCGGAATAGTGGGGCTATGGGGACTATAGCCACCCCAGAATTGAATGTGCGGAGCTTATGGCCTGCCAAGGCCGGAGTAACGAATTTCGATGTAACAAATCAGTTCGAACAGAACATTGAATACGAACTTCACAAGAAATGAATTTATAACTTTTTTATCCTTGTATGCTTCGAACCGGGAGTATTATTATCCATTGTATGGACTATACATGCAGGGTCCTCGTTGGAAACTTAATCTGGGCGGGGTATACATTCATATATTAATTTTTAAATAAACTTAAAAAAACAATGGCTATCTTATTAGTCGGGCATAAGGCGAATCACGCACTCCCCCCCCTGACCCCCCAAACAGAAAGATACAGCAACGGCTCTCGTGCACAATATTCGTATTTCTGTTTTGCATGGTTTTTATAGCCGATCAGACACTAAATTAAATGAATGATTTTAAACTTTACGTGCGTATACGCAGGTACTAAAAACGCGACAGTGGAAGCAGCCATTACAGACAAAGGCCTCTCTGTCGAAACGCAGGGAACTGAGGCAAGTGCATGTATAAATTAAAAGTAAAAAGTCAAAGCAACACGATCCTGCGCTCCGTGTTAATTTAGAAGCGAAGGAAGTCTGAAACACTAGCTGGCTTGTCCAACTATTAACTAAATATCACTATGTTAATGACGCAAATTCATTTCATACTTGTATATATATGCACATAGCTGTCAGTACACGCGTGTTGCCAAATTAACTCGCGGAAACTATCAGTCACTTCTCTCGGAAGTTTTATGGGATCACTATTGTTCAATTTTCTCATGAACATTAAAAGTCTAGCACAACATAGCGATTATGACACTGTGATACGCTGAGATGCGATATTTTTGCACAACAATATATAACAAAGACGTATCGAAGCAACCTTAGAAAGTTCAAATAAAATCTATAATGACAGTAATGTGATTATCACATGTCTAGGAGTCAGTGCGTCATATGTCACACGAGATAAGTGGAGACTGGAGAGACAGTCTTAACTGAATTTCAAGGTGACAGACAAAGATCATCTGAAAAATTTAAATCCCTTGGTAAAATCCCTTTTACAAACATATCAGCTCCCGAGTCCCGACTATCATGTCTAATGCAATATGGCACTGTTAGATATTAAGTCTGTATGCATATTGTATTTACATGGTGATGGTGATATTTGGCATGGTATTGCAAGTTCAATGTCGTCAAGACTCGTCATGATCAGTGTCGAGGCTGAGCCTGGTCCGAATCACTCTTTTACATCTGTCACCAGAACATTTCACATCGGGAACAGATGATTCCAGCTATAGCCTTTTTTATAAAGTTTGGTTGCGGAATGTTGTAAATGCGTGTAGAAAATCTCCCTGAGATAATCGCAAATTTTGCATCGTTATTTTCACCTCGACTTCTGATCAGATCCTTACTCCTTAGCATGCAATTAATATCGATAAACAGTTGCATGGTATAACAATAATATACAAGCACACGATTAAATTATTATAATTCTAAAAGACCGTTATACTCTCGAAATATGTTTTCAGGTTATTCGGAAATGCGACCCCGTGCAACATTATTATTGATTTATTCGTGCATGCATGAGAAAGAATTGTTGTCTATAGCTATTTTTGGTTTGGCCTTATCTTTCTCGGTTGACCTTGAGCTTAATATCACGGTTGACGTTTTAATCAGTGTTGTTCCACAGAGTTCGTTTTAATTTGTTTGCTTTTTGGCTGTTTTGCCCTTCCGATGGGAAAACTCTTTTCTGTTCGTGTTTTTAATTTTTGAGCCGTTCTTCCTTCGCGTGTGCACGCATTCACATTTTCCTTTCGTTAACGTTCAACATGCGCGACTGACTGCGTAAATAGACGTTTTCGATGACACGTCACAACATTATTGCTTCAAATTTAAAACCACTTTAATTAAATGAGATATGGATTTCAAGTTTAAATTTAAACTCTCAAAAGCTATGTGCAAAGATGAAAAACATCCTTCTTCAACACATGCAGGAAAAATACTTTTTCAATTTGACAAACAAGTGTGAAAATAAGCACGAGAACGAGGCACCCGACCTAAGAACGACAAACAAAAAACAACTATGCATAGGAAAAATAAGTTAATCCACGAAACTTCCGAAACTATTTAGGTCACAAAGCTCACAAATTTGTCACCTCGCTGATGCGGATGTGCATGTCGATGTTTTCATGTTTTTTTATACACGTTTTGTGATCATTTGTAGCCACAAGCAAAGACACAGAGGATATGAGATGTGTTACAGATTGAATGGATCAGCCTCAAATACTCAATTTGATGTGTAGAAACTTATACTTAAACTTATAGTCTTAGTGCATGTACATTTGCCTTTGAAAACAATACTTTCAACAAATACGTTTGCCGGGAAAGTAAACTATACTCTATAGCTCGTGCTTTGGTTTACTGGCGCCTAATTTTTCCTCACCCGTTTATATTAACATATCGTTTAAACTTCACACTAGCTTGAAGAAATCCTTGAAGGTTCCTAATAAACTCCGGTCATCCCCACAAGCGCCGCGTAACAAAAATACGTGCATTGATTGTTCTGCGAGTGCTATATATAGTTATATATAATTAAAACAGCAATATTTTCTAGAATCAAAAAGGCTTTCAAAAGGAGGAACAGATGGTAACGTAATTTTAGTGCGCATGCAATGTAGCTATAGATACGCTAAGCTTGTATTAATTATGTTTAATTCAAGAAACGTATAGGGCAGAGAGTTATTCCTGTCATCATGAGATTATCTGCAACAAGCAATTTAATCTCTTGGAAATCTTTCAACTTCGAGTGAAAAAGATAATACCAATTGTGTTCCCATGACGAATAAGATCACTAAAGTATGAATATCCTTCAACACCTCGCCCAATCTGCATCCAGTCAGCCAGACACTACAGATAATTCTTGTTAATTTTACTCTCAGGGATTATGCCTGGATTTCTCGCGTAGCTATTATTTTGAAAGGTTAATCCCGGAATTAGAAATTCTGGTCTAGAATAAAATATATTAATATACATGACAAAGTTCCATGTATTTTCGGTATACATTTGAACAAATATTCATTTATACAATCGGCCGTATTCAGTTTCCATCGTTATTATATATAGCCTATATATTATATAGCACCTCGATGGTTGGCACGCCATTGTTTCTGCAATAACAAACTTTGAGTTTCATATAGTAGCTACATAAATAATACACGAATCGAAGAATTCGTTGAAATTCGGGCAATTCATTCAGGAAAAACACATGATTGTGCATGACGAGATATAGTTAATTGAAATATACGCATCGATATGCTCAGTATATTGAGTACTCAAGTGTTCGCATTACTTAACCACACAAATTTTTAGTCATGCACAAGGTACAAACATTACTTTACATTAAAAATAAAATGACTATATTTTCGAGTAATTTTACCCGCGGCATAAAGTCACATCGATACGAAAACATTTTTTTGCCCGAATTTCAAATTATTTCGCGATTCATGTACATAGCGGTGGCATTCTTGAATTATTGTCTTCATCATGATTTCATCTGACCACCTTCAAAGACAAGCCAAAGTAAATCACCGTAGAGCTGGGTAAGAAAAGCCAACTGTGAACGGCTGAAAGTTCGTGAACTGCTTCAACAACGAAGCTCCGTTATCGTTCATGTGGCCCGCGAGTCCTTGAGGGTAAATAAAAGAATTCGTTTTCTTTAATTCCTCCTTCTCTTCCTTCACTCTTTCATCCTTCTTCAGTTTCATTCGTCGGTTCTGGAACCAAACTTTGACCTGGCGTTCTGATAACTTCAACGAGTGCGCAATCTCGATTCGTCTTGGTCGACAGAGATATCGGTTAAAATGAAACTCCTTTTCGAGTTCCAGGATCTGGGCGTTGGTGTAAGCCTTTCGTTTACGCGACGAATCCACGTACGGTTCTGGGTCTATATCATAAAACATTAAATTAATGAACTTTTGTAAAATATAAACATACTCTAGGTTGTACATGCATGCATAAATCACCTTTGCAATTCGAGTATATTTACATACATACATACATGCAATGCAAATTCCAGGGATGACATAAGTTTTCACTACATGGTATAAGTTAAAGTATTATGTATAGAGACAAAGCCTACAGTTGAAAAATTTGAAAGACATGCAGCAGGCTCTGGTTTCGATCAGACACTGAACAAATTCATCGCTTTGTTTACGTTTATCTGGAAGTACTGTTTCCGGTAACGAAATTTTCTCTGAGTTGTTTATGAATCCATGTTACCCCATGAATTTCTTATGCAAAAATTTCTCTAGTGAAATTTTCCCCGATTAGTATTATAGATATATATTGAGCCTATATTTACTGAGAGGCCGAAAGCGAAGCCTAACAAGTCTAACACGCACGCGGTCTTTGACTTTGGCACGGGAGACCATGTTTTTATGTCTCAGTCAGGCAACCCAGTAATGCTGGTAGTACTTGGCCGAGTCATATATAGGCTATATTCGCACTTTTCTTAAAATTAATAATTTCGCTGGGTGTTTCTCGAGGTTGTATTATTTTATACAATACCAGGGCCTCTTGGAACGATTTATATATAGCAAACGTTAACCTAAATAGGCTACTGTTATCAGAGGAAGGTTTTTGTGTACTGGACTGATAAAACGTGCAGTTGTCTAACTTAATCTTTTTTACTCAACCATATGCATTCTTACTACATATTATATGCATTTTCATGGAACAGTATTACCCTATGAAAGAAATAAATAAATGGTCATCAAATATTTCTGGATAAATTTGTTGTGTGAAAGTTAGAATTGAGTTCTGACTTGCTTTCGAAGTCAAACTCTGCATTTAGAAAGATTTGTCGTTACAAAATGCAAATTCTGTATAATTATGCTTTATTTGTCTTAAATCACATTGAAATAAGCAACGATTAGCTACGTTGTTTATATAAATCAGGCAATATATTGTCCCTACGAAATTGATCATGAATAGTTAATAGAAGAGCAATACAAGGGTTAATCCACAAAGTAAACATCTATACTGATGACTTCCCACATGCATAATCCTGAACAATGTTCCCTATATATTAGCTGCATAGTTGTACTAGCTATAACTTGCATGTTTAGTTCGACGGGCACTTAAATGGTATAAAGTTGTACAATATTTATCATACAAAAGATGAGAAATTTCCGACAACCTCACATGCAATCTTGCTAGATCTATAAACTGGTCTCATGGTATACCTTGAATTGAAAATGATTACAAATATGTTCCTCGATTAAGGTTAACTGAATATTGATAATAAAATGAAATGAAAAGGAATTTAATTAAGCCCAATGGATTTTCATTTTTATATGAAACAGAGTCCTATACAGCGCTAGCAGAGCATGCATGCTATAAGCATGCGACATTCTAATATTTTGAATCTCTAGGAAAAACAAGAATTATTTTGTATGCTATATTAAAGCAACATTTAGCAATATTAAAGCGACATTCTGGTATTTAGGATCTAGGAAAACACGGGATTATTTTAAATTTTCATTTTGTTCTGTTCTTGCTTTTAGTAACACGCTTAGTAAAGACTGGGCCAACAAGCTCATTTATCCGAAAAAACAATTCCTATGCACTTTCATGCACATATACAATACAAAATATATCACCCCATATCTTGCCAAAATCCTTCCGCTATTTTGTGCATTCATAAGGATCACTATATCCTGTAAACTCGTAGTTTTTTTACGATGCTTGCGTACAGTATTAACTAACTAAAAATTTTTACCACAACCTATGGGCCGGCGTGTATACACTTACAGTGGGAAAGATTTACTGTCCGAACTGGAATGTTTCCAACACATATAGCATATATAAGTATATCGATTTGCTGCGATTAACTTTTAAGAAGATGAAACGGAAGGGCTTCGCTTCGATTTTCAATGGCATAGTAAGTTATTTATCATGTATAGGCCAGCAATTTTACACAAATCGTTTTTAACATTTCAATATTTATAGGTGTTCTATAATTTGATCGTGCTAATAAAAGCGATATGCATGGACACTAGTGATTTTTGTAGTTTACTTTACAGCGCTTCGGTTTCAGATTGGCTTAACAAAGACAAATAGACAATTTGTCCGGATCAATACATCTTCATTGCTTTGTGTGATGGATTAGCGAACTTGCTAAACGCGCCACAGGTAATTGAACAACGGCAATGTGTCATGAACGGGTGAATTTTTACACCATCCAAGGAAATTGCCTAATGACAAATCTGTCTTAGCGAATCATCATTGTTCATGCGCGCCCGCCTAAAAAAAAGGCACCTTATAGACTCGAAAGAAACAATCGAAATTCAAATATGAATTATCGTCGACTGGTAACAAAATGGCGCACCGGGAAAGGACAGTGTTGATGTTCTTCTCACAAACCCACATAAAGGAAATGAGAACAATGGTGGCACTCAAAGTGCATGCGAATTTCTCGCTTTTTGGCGTTAGTTTTAGGACTAAAACAAATAATATACTCTCGAGAAACGATTCTCATACATATTCAAATCAACAAAAAGCAAGCAAACACTGAATCTTTCCTTTGAAAGCCTTGTCTGTGCGGACTGTATCTGCTGACTAATGCTAGTCATTCGGTTTACTCCTGTCGAATTATTTTACGTATCGCGTGTGTTAATGACTTTTTCTCACACTTAGATGCTTATGGTTTTACATTTTTCATAACAAACATTATGTAAGACAAATATAACAAGCTAGCGACGTTGTTATGCCAAAATTTATGCGAGAAATCGCCCTTAGCTCTCGTGAAAGGTTTCGAAAACAACTTCGTGTTGGGAGCGGCCCTCCTTCGTGTGCCTACCTTCGTTGTTTTCCTCGTCTTTTCCAGCCTTCCCTCGTTTCTTCTTCATCCAAGCGTAAACCGGCTGGGGGTTCGCCATGACCGTGGCTTCTTCGTTCCTCTGTTCTCCGAACTCGCCGTTCCATAACTCGCTTGCGCCGTCGCGTCAACGGCGTTCGAAAACGACCACAGGTTCGGGACGCCGTAACCATTGGAGGGCAAAACTGGAATTATCGGCTGAATTGAGCTACATGCGTTCCTTGTTAAAGCAGTGTCGACACGCTGTGACAAATGCACCGGCTCGACATTGGAATGAAAATATGAATTAGTGAAAAAGTTAACGTTGCTCATCGTTGGCGTTTTATGATTTATTTCGACCACGACACATGAAACCCAAACTGTCAGTGGAAACTGTGCGCTAATTGCGACCACGGGCCACGTGACTGTTTTGCACCAATCGGCGAAGGGAATTCCTGCGTCTCCGGCAAGATCGGAAGATTTATGGCCCTATTTTGTTGTCCGCCATTTGAGGTAATCTACATTGACAGATCTATTTTCCAGCTTATAGATTTATCGTTGTTGTCTGAGACAAACATAATTCTCGACAAGACCGCATCTTAGAAACGCTGGATTTACAAACCGACCCAGACGATCAATATTTAAACCATTGAAACTCTTGTTCTCTTTTCATTCACGAAGAAACTTCGAAATTAAAAGCGCATAATGAATGTACATTTCTCTGTAAATAGTACACATTGCGGGAAGGAACTGAAATCATTCTGTTAGGATTAGATTCTCTGTTTTATTTAATACGAACCTAGATGTATTAAGAAGCTGTCTTTGCGCGGGTCAATAAGTGTGGAAAACGTGTAAAAACTGTTAGCGTCAACGCGACTTGTGGCGCCAAGGACGACTTAAAATGCTCGGCCACACCTTTTGTACGTATCATAAACATCGTGTGCGCGTAACAATAGATTTATTGGTCGGTGTTAGTTTATACATGTTTTCATAGTTTCAGTCAGGTTTAGAGCAGCGCATTTGTAAACTTTGAAACAGTGTCCACCCAGAGACCAATCAATTACGTCATCTCCGATTGCTTTACAAGAGAAAAACAAATATTCTCTTTATGCCTCTATGCTTCATGCGCTGATGCTAGTTTATGGCGTGAATTTCGTCGGTTATTTAGTCCAGAATATTCGAACCGAAATGTCAGCATCGGTCTAAATTTGGTAAAATTATGTGAAATTTGTTTTCGGTCGTGTGTTGCGTGGCCGTGGCACAGACTGCAAGTCTGAAATCAATAATGTACAAAAATGAATTTCGTTTCGCAGCGGAGAGGCATAAATCAAATTTGACAGTGGAATGCAGCAAGTGCAAGGTTCTGTGGCACCGAAGAGCGTGTATTTTAGTTGCGAAAAAGAGGGTAATATCTCATTTGTGACAGTTGTGTCAGGAACTGCGCGGTATGTCACCGAAGCCGTGATTTATGATGCTTGTTTTGCCCACGATTGCATGAGAAATGCGTTCCAGATTTTGGAAGGAAAACCTGAATTAGCTCTTGCTGACACGTATCCCAACATCTGTAGTGTTTTTAAATGATTTACTGGTAGTCGTTCGATTGACCTGTAAAATAAAACCAGCGCAATCGGCAGTAGGAAACTTAGTGCGCAAAACACAGTATAGCAGGAACGACGATTCAAACCTTTCTATATCAGTGTTCGTTACACCTACACACTGCCTTGCGAAATGCATGTTGTGGAGTAAAAGTTTTTCATGAAGGATGGATTAAGTCATTTAAGAGGTATATTTGCCGGGTAATAGAGTTTTTAGGCACTGCTTTACGCTGGAAATGATGGGCCCCATGACGGATGTCCCCTCTACCGATTCGTATATTATACAACTGTGGTGATTTTGAGACAAGTCATTGGTCAAGATACCGATTAGAGTTAAAGAACCCACAAAATTGTGATACAATGCAACTCTGTTTGCTATTGAAGCATTAGTGATGTTTTCTCTGCGATCTCGCAATTGATAGTACGATGATGTTTTATTTCCTAATGTGTACATATGCTTGTTTCAATTCAGACTCGACGGAAGTTATGCAAAATTTCATGGGGGCACTTTAGCCGTTGCGCAAAAAAATATTGCGTTGCTTGTAGTTTTTGAGCAGTTATATTGGAGTTGCAACTCGGTTACGTCTTCCACTTGTTTCTTTAGATTTGTGCTCTTAAACTAATTAGTTAAAAATTCAAAAGGGGCGTTTAAAGTAACCGCTATTGATTCGCTAGTCAGTTATCACGTTTATAGGTCAACGGTTCGCTTATGACTCTCAAGTGTAGCACAGAATTCTATGCTATATATGTAATGTAATGAATGGCTTGGCGAGGAATGAGAAAAATCCGAAATAGAGACGAAAACCGAGCCAAATAAAGGCAACTACTTCGTTTCTGTTTCGTAAATGAACCACCAATCTATACAAATTTCAAATTTGTTGACTATATAGTTGTGCTTGGATGCAGCTTCCAAAATACTTCAGGAATTTCTTGGCAAGGCTATGTTTGATGTTGTCTAAAACTCGTTATTGACAATAAAATCATTGCGTACAAATCACCAATATTTAGGATTAGCAAAACCAGATACAATACAATGCTGTCATAAGTATATTGTTCAGTTCCGTTCCAAAACGCGGTGACAAGCAAAAATTGCGCGAGACGTTTGGAACCATGACTATGTGCTATTTTTAAGTCTGGAATAATCTGAAAGAGCGAGGAAAAAATTGTCACGTCCTTTTCGTTTTCACACAGGTTTGTCGCCAAGCCGTGAGCGAACGAGTAGCAGAGGAAAATGCGCATAATCAAGGCGGTTTTCTGGTTCCATGCATACATGTAGACACGAAGGCTGGCGCGAATGCTTGAGTGAGCGCTATCGAAGTTGGGTGATGTTTCTCTAAGACTGGCTGACTGGCTAAGTGTTAAGAGGGTGCGAAATGTGGTGTTTGGCGTAGGATCTCTGACTCTGCTATTCCCAACACCACACCGACGCAGTTGTATAACATCAATTGATAATCTTTACGTAATTAATATATACAAGTATACAACTTGTACATATCAGTTACTATGAGCGTATACAACGCATAAAAAGGCGTATTCAATTTCATTTGCCCGTTCTTACATATAGACTATAGTGTCAATTTTTATCCTGCCGTATAAGTCAACAAAGTGAAGCAAGTGTTGTTATTGAATGACAAAACTTCGAACACGTAAAACTTAATTTCAACGAACAGTCAAGATTGCCTAATCTATCTACCCAGCCATGAAAGTTTAGGTGAAGCAAGCAGCATATTATTTTTTTTCAATCCGGGATTTGCTTTGTTTTATGATTTATATGCTATAAAAGATAGTCATGATTCAGATTCGTGGCCAGCCATATGTTTTTCACTTTTCTGAAGCTCATTCATTTAACCCTCTTCATCGGTCCAGACTGAATTGAGCTTAAGTCGGTCAAAAAGCATACTTATGCCTTATATTGTGATATTATACCCACACTGCAGGATTGACAAATGCCACTTAACTTAATTGTGACGATTTTGTACCCATGTAGTGCATAAAAAAGTTAAACTGATTATAGAGCATATATACTGCCCATTCATGTTGCAAGACATATAACAGGTACACAACAAGATGTATAACAGTGACCATGCATGCCCCAATCAGGGCAAAGGAAAACATGGACTTTCAATATTAAGTCAGCACGAACCATGTCTAGTGTTATGAAAACGAGCATTTTTACCTTTATGTACTAGTATATTTTTCGTGATCAAGATGGAACCAAAACATTGTCATAACGACACAGTTGCTCTGAAAAAGTGATAATTTTTCAAAAAGTAGTACGTCAGGGGGTGGATAGGGTCGAAGCTATACTTGCCTTATATAATTATTATATAAGCTATACTTGTTTTATATATTTATTTTTGCATCTTTTTAATAATAGATACCGTTCTGATCTTAATAATAAATGGGAGCTTTAGCAACGATGGCGTAGGCAAGCACCGAGCTTGTCGCGAAAATGTCGTATATTGTACTCGTACTCTGCTAAAGCTCCCAAATAGTATAGCATGTTTCTGCCTTCGTTTTAAAACACCACTAACATTTAATTTATGTTCATTAAAAGGAAGAAAGCGCAAAACTATATCCAAGTTATGTACCCATAATTCTTCCTACGGTTCGTAATTTGGTTTCCCAAATAAAATAATAATATAAACCAACATTAATTATCAATTACTGCAATTCCAAAATTTTTATATTTTTAAGCCTAAAATAATTTTACCAAAGCAGTATAGCCTGGCATATATTTCTCTTTTCAATTCCCATTTCTATAATACAGAGCTGACACATGTTCTTAACGTAGCCCACAATATTTTACGCTAAATCATAAAAAACGGCAACATGATAGGAGTTGTATGATCAATGGGTCCCTAATCTTCTTTGCCCAGAGATCCTATTTCTTATTAACTTATTAATGTATACATAATGTAACGTGTTGCTGGTCTTTAAACCGGCCATGTTACAAAATAACTGAAATTATACATAGATCACTACATTAATTGAAAGTGTTACGCGAAAGAGAAGTATACAGTAAATATAATATTTTTAAAGCATTAAAGCATTCACTGATATACTAGTTTTTCACAGCTGAAATCAACTTTGCATGGGTATTTCTGTCATATCAGTATAATCGTGTTAGGCTTTTATCGCAGATCACAACTGGCTTTTACAATATTGTTCAGGTATAACAGATTTTCACACTGTGTTGCATGATTGATAATCACCTACTATTTAATTTGTATAATTCGCTATAGCTATTTTGATTTGAGAATTATGATGTAAACTCGTTTCAGTTATTTTTATCCATCTCAACATCGGTTGCATGCAAGCCAGCCAATATAAGCCATTCAATACGTTTGAGATGAGGGGGTTTTTTGTTTACATGCTTATCAGCGAACGTATTGTTCGAGGCTGAATACGAACCACGTCCATGCACCTACCTCGTTCGAAATTTCAACAGGGCGGCCAACAAAAACCTAGGTAAGGAGATTCAATAAATAATGCAAAAACGACACTTATTGCAAATTCTGTTACAACTGCACTAAACTTCTAATTAATTCAGTTTATTACTATTTCAAAACGTCTTTCAGGCCTTGGGACTGCTGCTTCTAGCGTATGTAACAAAATTATAGCTGTACTGTATTTACATGAATTTCAACAATTATTAAACCTGCTCGTCTCAAACGTTTGCGCAACCTTTTTTCTGCCAAAGCGAGCTCGTCGTTTATTTGGAATAATCGGCTTCTTCTCCTTTTTCCATTTCATACGGCGATTTTGGAACCAAATTTTAATCTGTCTTTCGGACAACATAAGGGAATTTGCCAGCTCTGCCCTCCTTTCTTTTGTCAGGTAACGAGTGTAATGGAACTCTTTCTCCAACTCTAGGGTCTGTTGACGATCGTAGATCTCACGTGTTCGTTTCTTGTATGGCTGGTTAACGCTCCAAGGAATGATCTCTCCTGAAACGAAAACAGTACGCAGACTTTAAATGACGATAAATAGAGAAATCTTATCGCCGTGCAGGGACTGGTTGCATGGGTAATGATTGTTTTGGAGTTGACTGTAGGACGAAAGTTAACCAATCAAAATTGAGGCCAGATTCTCGAAACGTTTAGACGCGGGACGTTTAGATAAATGTATAGTACAATATTATACAACCGGACCCATGCAGATGTTTTACCCTATTTCAAATTTTATATTTGGCTATTATGTTTCTGTAAGCTTCTCTGTAAACTTGTCTTTCGAAACATGCCAATGATTCAAATCAGCGTTCCGTGGCTCGTCAAATTTCGGGTATTTTCCCCTGCACTGAGTACATATACGATCGCAATTGTTGCGAGAATATCATCACAACGAAATATGACAGATCACTGTACTTCATGTTATCTTAGGCTGCCATATTTGTATAAGGAACAATTTTGTGAAGTCGAAAGGTCCGTTTTCGTAACTATAAAGTTCGCATCTCAATAAAAAATGAAAAATTCAATTCAATCCAATTCGATTCAAAAGTCTTTATTAGAATACTCAAAACAAACCATCATCTCTTGAAGATGCATATATTTTTTAGTGCTTGACTGGCTGGGAAACAAAAATAACAATCAAAGTTTTCAGCTGCTTGTCTGCGGAAGACAGTCACTGCACATACGTAAATACGATAAGTGTTTATTGTTCCTTCGCACAGAACTACCTTTGCTCAATTTTATCCACTTCTTCAAACTTTCGTTGAAAGAAGTATTGAATTGACTCTTATAGCCGGAACAAGGTTACCTAGTTTTCTAATTACGTGCGAATTCTACAGAGAATGGTGAGAATTTTGCTTTTAAAATGCGCTCTTCCTCCGTGATAATACGAGTTTCTCTCTTTAAACAGATAATCCTGCGAGGTGCGCCTATACATATTGTCTGCATATACATATTGCATGGTGGCAGCAATGTCTTCATTTACTTCGACTATACGCGTTATTGCAAGATTGCATGCAAGTCTCGCCGCTGTATATTTCTCGAGAGATTACATACAGCATCCATGCATCTACTTAAAAATACAAGAACTTCGATACCGATCTAGTGAAAGCTCTTCGTCTAGGCACACGTTATCTAAAGACATCTTTAGCTGAATTTCTTGTGATATTGCCATGTCGGTTGCAAGCGCTTTCTCAAGACTTCTTTCACGCTGAGCGATCCCGCAAGGCTCTGAATAACATGTTCGTTTTACCTACGCATTTTTATAAACGGTTTTTCTAAGTAATTTCTCCATCCCTCTAGAATAGCTAAATAAATCAGTTTTGCTTTCCCCAATTGGCTTTGTGGGTTTAATATACGATATATACAGTGCCCGCTGTAGTAGAGCTTGCATTTATGGCTGAAATCATAAGGCATTACATACAAACCGTTCCAAGACCTTTTCATTATAAAGAACTTTCCTCTAATGCTATCTCGAAACATTGAATGTAACCTTATATGCACTTTTAGAGAAATCATTTATCAAGAATTGTTTTTCTTTGTCTAAACCGAACGTTCATACACAGACGTCCAACGACGTGGAAAATTTTCAATGTTGCATTAGCGTGGCACAGCGTTGCTACAGAGCACCACGCGTTCACAAATAACTTGAATGGTTGTTGAAGATTAAGAAACATGCCTTCAAAGTACAATTTGATGATTTTAATTGTACAGACCAGATATTAAGGTCCGAGCGGGGAACGGTAGTTTCTACATTAACGCCCTGACAGGAAATCATAAATCAAAGGGCGCCAGAAATAGTTCAGGATGCAAAGATAGTGCGCTTGCTTCATCAGACAATATATTTAAAAAAATTTCACTCTCGCGACATGGAATCTAAGAAAAAGTTTAATCCAATGAAAATATTCTACGCGCGATTATACCAAGGAATTCCAGGCAAACGCGTACAGGCAGTTACCTCATTAACATACCCTGCGATAGATAGAACGTCAACGCTCTGTGCAAGTCTGAATTCTTCCTGACTTGCACAACGCCACCTAATATTATTGAAATGAAGCTGTAAAGTATTACAGTGCCGCTGTTTTCAAATATTACGTTTTAGTCGATGGATATCGTTTAAAATAGTGTCAGGAGACCAGCACATCTCCCACTTATCGCAAAGGAAGGTGTCGCTACTTATCCATAAACCCTCATATTCTAATTGTGGTTTGAGTATTTCCTTGTCCCTTTTCTCTACAAAGAAAAGTGCTCTTCGACCTGAAGAATCGAGTCATTTTGAAGTTGGTTAGCTTTGTAAATCAAGTCTTTTCCTCATTTCGGAAACTTTCAGTCGAGAATAAATACCTGTTCTAGGCTTCTGAAAACGACACGAATTTCTTGTGATATTTTCTCCGTAATCGGTTGGTGTTGGGGATGTCTCCCTCGGCACCTCGCTTCCCGTAGCGTTCGCGCTTTCACAGACTCCAAAAAATGGGTTCTCTTTTGTCCACGCTGTCCGATGAAACTCCAATTCGGTTATCAGATTGACCAGCGAAGTCAACGAGTTAGATGTCGTTGCACTCGCGCTGTTTTCGTACTGTTCCCGGATCGCGGGAATGAAGGGATAACTTGTTTCGTGGTAAACAGGCACATATTTGCCGACCAAATGTGCTTTCATCTTTATAAGTTTTGTTCCTGGTCTGCGAGCAGCTACGTTTATATAGTATGTGTATACCGTTTCTAATCATATGCCACACATATTCGATGCGATAAGCAATGCGATGGATATGATTGGCTCACGGAGGCCCACACACTTTAACACCTTTTATTAGAAAGTTTGCCGCGGTTTTTCCTCCAAAAAGCCTGATTAATGTTTTGTGATGAAACGCTAAAATAAATCCCTGAAACAAGTGGGGTTTTGCTAAGTGATTTTCGTACATTATTAAGTGAATATGTGAGCTCATGCAATATATTTCAACGGCTTGTTAAACGGGCCCCCTGTGGTTAGGGCGACTTAGCCTTGTTAACCTTGTCATGTGATATATAATGCCATTTCAGTTCACTTGTTTTGCTTCCTGTCTATTTCTCGTATCGAGGCTAATATCGCTCCCGTTCGATCACCAAAAGCAACAAACTAAACAAACATATGTGAAAATATGCTAATCTTGGCGAACCCTTAACTTTCGGTATGAACATTTGTAATATAATGAGGATGAGCTTAATTACGTTGATGATTATAGCTGTCTCCAACAAATATCTTGATCATAACATCGATTTTTCGGTTTAAAAAGTTGACGTTTCCCTTTGAAAAGTTTATTTTTTTGTAGCCTTGTATCGTGAGAGTATTAGATGTACAAACATGGAATACAAGAACCTTTACTGTTCTACAGTTTTGATTGGTCTATTCTATAGAAATGTTCAGCTTATATTCTTCAACACCAGACGAATGCCCTCAAGTCATTCTTATATACTGTTAGTATTGTACTGAGCACCTATATACTTAACCAAGGAGACTACTCACTAGAATTATGGTGGATTATTGCAATATTGATGCAATTTCGACAGAGATGATACTAAGGAAAACATTTTTGGCATTTTTGAGAATCATCGTTGGTAATTCAATGAGCCTTTGGCCTCGTTTCCGTGTTTGCTTTTTTTAGTTGGCCAAGTGCGGGTTAAGGTCATGTTTTTCATTTTTTCCCAAACTTGTTTGTTGTTGAAGTAATTTTGATGATAAGTTTAAATACCTATATAGTAATAATTGTACCTGCATGTTACACAATAAGACTTTTGGTTATCATTACTAAGGTGTGGAGTGAATAATAGGTAGTTAATAAAGTCTGTTGTGCGTGTCATGTCAAAAATTTTGCAAATAAAAAATGTATAGTCCTCATTCCGTGCGGTGAACGGTTGAACAACCACCTAAAATAGACATAACTGAAATTCCCGATGACGAAGGCAACGATAGAAACATCGAGATGTTTTTCTAGTTATTCTAAGCCCCATTTACACCGCGCACAATTTTTAGTACGGTACCGGAAAAATGGTACAGATGAAATTTAACAGCCAAATAGTTAATCAAATTTCATCTGTACCAAATTTATCGGCTTACACTATGTTCAATTTCAGTTTTGGTACGGATAAAATTGAGAATGATAAAATTTGGACTACGTATACCAATAATGGTCCAAATTTCATCCGTATACCAAACTTAAAATTTTTAGTCATTTGTTGTACTACATTTTAATGAAACTCCCTGGAGGTCGCTATCATGTTGAGAGCTCTCTATAGCTGTTAAAAAAACAAGTAAATATTCATTCTGGACGATTTAGGAAATCATAACCTTGGAGTCCATAACCTTGGACTTGTTTTTTAATTTCACACTAACGCTAAAGGTGCTCGTTTATCGATCCCAACTGATTTATTATATCTCTAATGCATGCTGGAGGTAACGAATTCTTTCACCCGGCTTTGATTAGATTAAGTGGAAATCTTCCATTCACAAATTCATGCGTCTGTCAATGTTTTTTATGACTAAATTGCACTTTTAAGGATTTCTTGCACACTTGTGACGCAGTTATTTCCAGAAGGCAACATGAAAATATGTCCTCGACCCTCAGGCTATTTTCAGCGTACGCATGCAAAAGATAAACTAGAGGAACACTGAGATTATCCCATCTGAGCTAATTGGCTTTGAATTTGTTTGGCTCGTTCATTGTAAGTGCTTTTATGGCTATAAATTGCCCTCTTCGAGTACTATGATTTCTTGCATATGCACCGATGACGCGAAGGTTTATATACAAGAAATTGAATTGGCCCTATAAGGTAATCCCAGAAATTAAAAGCAGAGAAAAAATGCTGTCTCGATTGCCTCCTCCACGGCTATAATTGGCTTATAACTTAGCTAGTTCAAATATGGAATGCTCTATTGCTCCCCGCGTGATTTTTCTGTGTGTATAAGATAATCACATTTGAACTTCTTTAAAATTTATATTACGTGTAAGCTGTGCTATGCATGCAGCTAGTATTTTCTTATTAACTATATAACTATTAAATAACGTAAGCACATTCCTTTCAAAATAAGGCGAGTTATCCAATGGCATATACCGAAAAAAATTCTTCCGTTCACCATAATAGGCCTACTACCCATTCGTGGACGGCTTAATTTTGTGAAAGTATTTGTGATCTGAGAAGTGGAACGATTAAAATTCATCTGTGATGGCAATGAATTTAAAAAATGTAAAAGGTACTAAGCAAGCATAATATAATCTGAATGTTTGAACGGAATCCCATTGAAAATCAATTTTTCGCCCTGTGTACGCGGTAGCTGCATGACAGTGATAAACGATACTTGAAAAAGGACAGCTTGAAGTGGATGCGACAGCGTTCCTATAGTATTGCATAGTGTTATTGAAAGAAATTAAAGGTCCTGTCACCCTATTGGAGTTATCAGATATGGAAAATATCACTTATATGCCCTGGTATACTATGGATTGCATTCAAATTGTCGCATAACCTTACATACTTGTTAAAGCCAAAAAAAATGTAATGGATTTTCAAAAATGTTGCATTTCTAGAAAGTATAGATGACCTCTCATTCAGGAAATGTACGCGGGGTGTCCTAAAAGCGGAATTGGAACAAAGAGATTCCTACGTTGCGTTTGTTTTGTTTATTTGGTTTTGCCTTATACTATAAGTCTGTAGAAATGTGTGAATCCTAGAGATGTCAAATTGTTCAACTGTTTTGAATAGTAGCTAATCACATTATACAGTGAATGGTATAATTTCAGCGAATACATATATAGTCATTTATGCAGGTTTTTGGGACACCCTGTGGAGGCACTCGTAGCTAAAAAGAATTGCGGCTGTGCTCAATAGCCTCCTTTGATATTTGTAAACCTGGATTGCGCATTCCAGTTGTTAAGAAGTCAAAGTTTGGCACACGTCGCCATCTTAATTGTCAAGATTCCATTTGAAGATTAATCTGAAGGTGTCATTGATGTAAATCATGAAACTATAAAAAAATATGACTAGCTCTGGCTTGGCGGTATGCATCATCCAGATTTTTTCATATCGATAGAGTGCTCGCTCTGCTTTGGTTCAGAGCTAATGCTATATGTTAGCACGCGAACGCGATCGCCATTGGCATTGCTTTCAATCAAGCATCGGGGCAAGAATGCAAATATGTCTTGCATGAATACTCTTCAAATGTGGGATATTGATACGTTCGCACTAATTGAGCGTTACGCTTGCCATGCATGCTGTTTTAGAATTATATGTGCCATATCAAGTTGTGTATCTAGCAGCGCGTGTGTCGAAATATAGTTTGACAAACAATCCAAAAATGTAAATCAGTCCAGAGTAACTAACGCTTGTATTCTAAAAGCTCACTCACACAGTCACATTCAAACTCATTGTATTCTAAAAGCTCACTCAAACTCAGTATTAATAGGGGCTTGATTTTCAGTGTTTTACCCTAAATCGTTCCACACATTCAGAAAAAACTTTCTCATTGACCAGGCATTAACAAAATTTATATGTCACACTCAATGGCGTGAGTGTGAGTGAGCTTTTCGAATGCAGGCGAATAAAAATTCGGTGAGCCGAGAGCTTAGCAGCTCTTGAGGGTTTTAAATGGTAATGTTGTTTCATTTGGATATATATGTCTGCTGCAAATATATCCCATAAGCCTATTTAACACGATTCTTTTGATAATTTTAACCGCTGACCTTGGCCTTATTCCTATCGTCATCGCGCCGCATATGTATCATTTCATGTGTTTCCATGATCTATACTTCAAAAATTAGCCAGCCGAATTTTCATCAATCAATATGTACTGAAACACATAGATTTCAACTATATAATAAAAGTCTCCAGTCTTTCTTCAAACTGTCTTCTGTCTAAAAGTCTTCAATACCTTGAGTAAATCTATGATACGTGTTAAACCTTCAAACCGATTTATATTTTAACAATACTTCGGTAAAATATAGTTATTCGTGCATGAATAACCTTGGGCCTCCATTTTTGGTCATATATTACAGTCTCGTTATCCTGGCGAAAAGAAGTGACACTGATCAAAGTGATTATGGAAAGCCTGTTTTTGTGTTTTCTCGGCGCTACTTATGTACTTTCAAATTTCTCCGGCAGACACTTTGTATATTAATCTATATACACGATGTCGAAGTCACTTGCATGGTAGTGCGCTATATGCACGCCCTTATATAAAGCGAGCTAATTGACTTTTTTCCCTTTTCATATATATACACATAGGTTAAACCTCGGATTTTGCCTTTTGGTTCTCGATTTTAGTGATTCGCGTGTGACTGTGTGATCACGGGATGGAGAGGGTGCTGTTTAGGTTCAATATGTGATGTGTTAGTCAAGCTCGAGGACAAGCCGACGTAGGATGTTCACATTAATTAACGGGGCCTAGCTCGATCGCATCGCCAAGCACGTTCGCTACGTCGGGTCTCCATCCCTACCGATCGGCAGAGGGCATTATTAGTTCAGTATAGGCTAGGTTGAATGCTCAACCTGCATGTTTGCAGCGGTTTGCAGTAGAGCTCTCAGCTATAAGGCATTTCTCGAGATCATTAACAGATAATGAGACGTATAAACTTAAACGACGTATAAACGACGTATAAACTTAGCTTAAATACGACGTATAAACTTAGCCAAATTGTAATGCTTTTTAGCATCCGTCCGACTCCCGCACGCGCAGCAACCTGGTATAGAGCAGTGGTTTTACGTTTTGTCTTTAAATAATTTAACTTAAAGTGATATCTGAAATAACAGGGGAATCTACGGGAATCTAAGTAAAAAATCATCATCAAGAAATGTGTTATTACAAATATTTGATAGTCAGTGAACTCGGATAAGATCTGACCGCGAAATACATGGATAACTGGATGTAGTTAACCTCTATTTGGTAATTTTTTTTAACAACTCGGTAAATCTCTCAATATTGGTCTTTTAAATGCTGTTGCAATTTTGACGACTTAGACTGAAGACGAGAACCTCTTTTTTAATGTTACTCGGACCTGCGATTTGTACGGCCGGCGTGCCGACATCAGTACAGTGAATACATAAATCAGTCAAATCCAGTCAGTCAAGGTTCATGGCTATAACATAGCTTTTGCGACGGAAGTCATAAGAATAACGTTAACTGGTCAGTTGCAGAAGTTTTGTATTATTTCCAAGCCCAAATACTATATATTACCCCATCAGTCCGAGAAAAATTGTTGTCTACCAGGCTTATTTAGTTAGTCTGGTATGGTAGTTTTCGCGTATTGACATTCGGTAACAGATATTTCTCGAATTCCAGAAGTTTCATCCTGCATATAGTGGTACTTTCTTGACTGCAGAGTTTCCTGACGGGTTTGTAAAGCCTGTTTATAAAACTTTATATACAGTTCAGTCTAACTTGCGAACCCGAATTCCGGCATCCTATATATCAGTAATTTAACAAATAGATAACATTGAACCATTGTCTGTTCAGTTATAAATACACGGTATGCCGTTCTTCATTTGAACAAAACATTGATAAGAACAAAACAAAGTGGCCACGAGACGCCGGGAAGAGTTATCTATAACTGAACAGACAACGTTTCAATGTTATCTATAGTTTATTTTATATAATGAAATTGAAAAAATTCCGAAATTAAACAGTCAAATAGTTCCCCCAACACTTGTAAAATTGCCAAATTAAAAATTTTGCAGATATCACGCATACAAGACACGTGGCAAAGTGTGATTGGCTGAAAAATAAGACAAATTCGTTAAAATCATCTGTGTCGTTTTCCGTGCGTCTGTCCTCTTATAGATCATGGCTCTTGACCAGTGAAATTGCTTGAATTCTTAACTTTATTTTATAAATGCACGTGTTACGCGTAACAGCACTACCAAAATAATGTGCTATATAAGTTCTAACGTTACCCGAATTCAATCTCTCAGTATGTCATTATTTTAGTACTATATATAGCATCTATGCAACTTAGAGTTATGCCTATTGCGAAATGCTTGAAAGGAATTCTATATGCATCGAAATGGTTTGGAAAATGCATATATATGCCTTCAAATTTTAGGACACATTTAATTAAGCTGAAATATGCGTTTATCAAGTTAGTTTACTTAACGTATAAACTAGATTGGATGGACGATTTTTACCGTCACTGTGATTCAGATGATTAATGTGAAAGACTGACTCTCATGCAGCTGTAATTCGGTGTACAACATCTGTAAAATAATTGCATCTATTGAGCAAATTGAGTTTTACTTGGCATAAAATTTATTATACATAAGATTTTCATGCACTCGCTGTAAATCAAGCCACTTTATTAGCATAGTATTCAGTCTTGTAGATGAAGTTCAATTAACAAAGTAGTAACGTGGTCAAAATACACTCGACTAAGACAAAGCATGCCTGCCTGGTTTTGTTATTCCCAGAATGCAAACACGCATATCTTTCGCTGTGTGAGTTCTCATAGTCAAAAATGATTTCGTGCGACGTACAAAAGTGTGCGATCAAGTTTGCTTCCAAATATAACAGTTTGCCTTTTTCCTTCAAGACTTGTGGTATAATAGACAAGTTCAGAGTCATTTCCTATTTGTGCCTCCAATCAGATATAGAACTATAGCATATTACAGTTTTAACATTAAAAACGCCGTTTAAATAAAGTATTGCAAAAGATTAAAACGTTTTATACGGTTTGATTGCTTATAATTTTATCTTTTTTCAATACTTTGTGTAATCATAATTTCTGTAAACTAATTTGCACTTCGTGCAACTTGGACAGTTATCCCGACAGATGTCATATAGGTGATTATACATATATTATTCAAATTGCGTGGTTGAACGATCTAATTTTATGTTTACATTAGTAGATTTGTGTACAAACTATATTCAATTTATCAGTTAAACTAAATCTCAAATACGGTAAAAAGCAAAGTGGAAACAGTCTTTGCGAGGAAAACGTAGGTTCAGCCGTTCAGGTGTACACTGAGATAATTTCACTCAGTATAATGCGATTTAAACTTCTTAGACTTAGCCAACAAAAAATCTTTGTTTCGAAAAGGGGCTGTTTGCTTAAACTATTATATCAAAAGAATATAGACAAGTGGGTGTTAAGAGGAAAGATTTATGGACTTTTTTTCTATGTACAAAAAGAATTAAAATATTGAAAAGACAGATCTTTAATCCGGAGGTCGAGTCTTTATTGTTGACACGAGACATCTGCCATTATCTTTGCCAACATTAAATGTTTGACACTCCCAATACAGTATATAGTTATATTGCTTCTCTTTACACTATTAAAATATTATTTTCAATCGATTAAGCCTTTGAATTCGACCTAATGATGCTAGAAATTTGTTCCCAATTGTTAATGATATATTGACTTCGCGTGCTTTTGACAAAGATGCATAGCTTACAAACCCTTTTACACCTTTGCATAGAAGCCTTCTCAATTTCGTATCCAAGCAACGGGACCCCCTGACGACAGAGATCATTTTTTGAATGTCCACTTTTAAACAAACGCTCTATAATTATCCGGTAGTTTTATTAAGTTGAAGGTTCCATACCAGTTTAATTACATTCCCCGTGGGATATTCACAGCTCTTCGAAGCCGCTGTAGTTAAGACAGCACAGAAAAACAAACAAAAAGCAGTCAGAGGCTATTGTGATTTTTTGCTGTATTTGATTGGGGCATTGACCGGTTAACAGCAAGACTTTGGGTCAAATATTGTGCAATTGACAGCGGATATAAGCCTACGACTGCTCTATTTGTACTTGCATGAGGAGAAATTTTCAAAGCAGTTTAACGTTTGACACAGTAGGCTCGCGGAGCCGTTTTCTGGCAAGTTCAAACAGCCTTCCCTGACGTCGTATAATATACATGTCTGTTAATTTCCAAGCATGCTATAAAACAAGCTTTTCCAAATAATTGTAAATAAACAGTCCGCCAGCAAGCATGATAACTCTAACGACCTACAATATCAGGTCTAAGTAAACAAATAGCCTAGTTCGTGGGTAGGACGAGTCGATCTACTTTCGACTAGGGCCATGCCACAGATTCGATCGTGAGGCAAGCGATTCTTAGCTTCGGTGCCGCACGCGATTTTGGTGTACACTCAATGTATTATGGCAATAAATAAATTGCATGGCGCGAAATATTCTCAGTCACATAATTAATTAAACAAACTTTCACCTAGGATGCAATTAGATTAACTTACCTATGGCGATCAGCACCTATGGTGCAGTTAATATTCCTTCATCCTATATCAGTGCACCCCCGATCAACCAGTTCGATCCGAACGTGCCGTAATCCAGTTATAAACATCGGGCCGGGTTAGAATGAAAATACTGATTTATTCTTATCTGAAAATACTATAAAATATTTTGTAAATTAATGGACTTGATTGTTGCACCTTTATGTATATTATTGATTTTTGGCTTAAATTAAGTATTATACGAGAAAGGAGATTCTGTATGCCATGGTCAAACGAACTATTAGGACTGATTAGTCCGATCTGAATCATATTTTCCTTTCAGTTTATCGTGTTTTTCCGCGGTGAATTTCCTCGCCAAGATCATTTCTCAGTTTAAAATAAAATGTTTTCCACATCATATGGCTTAACTTCAATATTCAGTAGATGGGAAACATAATTCACCACTTCCTCTCGGTAAAACCGTTAAAATAATTGCTTGAAACTTCACAAGAAAAGTAATATATTTGTAAGCATGGTCAGTGACCGACTTGCATGTCAGTCCTATACATGCATGCAGTACATATTATCATATATAATGCAATCTTGTTTTCACAATTCTACAGACGCTGTGAGGCAAGAAATCTATAAAGCATAAAACATTTGTTTTGTGCCGAAAAACCTTCAATATCAAGTATAATTCATGCATGCTAGCTAAAAGAAAAATGTATTTGCATATAGATATATGAAACTTATCTGTACATCAACCTTAATTCGCGACATGTTTGCATGACTTTTCGCGACGAATTCGATTGTTTAATCTCTTTTGAATGTGATGACATAATATTATAAGGAGGCTTATAGGATCTTAAATACAATTTAATTGCATCATGATAAGGATCTCGCCGTAATGAGAAATCTATTAAACTGCTCAATGAACGAAATTGTTTCGAGAAATACATTTTTTAGCGTATAACCACTTATCAATTGTCGGGTTTATCTTCAATACTCTCGGGCGAGGAAGTCAAAGAAATTGCAGCAATTATTTTATATATAACGCTGGTGTACATAATTGCAATCCATGATAACAACATTTTAAATTAAGATTCTAAAACGTTGCTAATATATATATTCAGATGCATTATTAATTGTATTCAATCTTTTTTTTTCAAAGCGTTGAGTTTTTTTAGTCGGTATGTACATGCATATATGATCGTTATAAATATTTACATCAATTTCTGGGTTTTCGCTCTTGCAACCCTTGTTTAATAAGACAATGAAATATCATTTTTTTCTTTATAGCGCAACTTAAACAGCTAAATGCATCGGGTATTCAAGGCAGCGTTATCCCTTGATTAGGAATGCAGAATATCGCGCCTTCCCTCATGCTGTATTGGCCTCCAAGCATATCCCACTTTTATTGTTTTGCCTCTCAAGAGGAAACCGTGTCTATTGTCCAGTAACAAATTTTTCCTTTAGAAATGTTCCGATTTCTGTCAAGAAGTGTTCGTGAATCTCGCTGTCATTCCCACAGCACGCGTGCACGGAAATCTCGTTCTCAAATCACGATGATATAGCGAGTGAAACTGCCCGCGTTTTGAACTCGCGCGCTCTTCCATTTTGTGCGAGCCATTCCAAAATAGAAGGCCCACGATTATTATATTCGTATGCTCAGACTTGCACGGTTGTACTGCGTAGGTTTTACAAAGTAAGCAATATGTGTTAAAGATTGCAAGTTTATAAATAACGCTACCTGGAGTGAGGTGAAGCGGATTGCGCGAATATCTTGTCTGAATGCGCCGCATGGCGTCCGGCCCGCTCGTGAATGCATTGTTTGCAGTTTATTGACTGGGAACAATGAGCTCTCCGTACGCAAATCGTGTGGTCCAATAAGAGCTAACGCGTCGGTTTGGCATGCCAACGTTTCTAAAAGCCTCGCTCAACGCACCACACTCGTTCAGTAGCTCACGATCACTCGAGCTAAAGGGCGACCGCTGGTAGAAGCTTTTCTTGGCCGAATTGATTTTTACAGCATTCTTCCGTACTCATCGCAATCGATCGAAGAAGCAAAGCCGGGCAGCCTGTGTGCCGTTTGATCTCGCTTAAAGATGGATAGAGATATAACTACTTACGGCGCATACATCCATACATCCTCAAGCTCCATCACAACCCCTACATCACAGTTTGAAGGCATTAACAACTATCAATCGGCACCTCCGTTGCGGCATCTTCCAATCCCGCCCGAGCACAGTCTGCAGTGCAACACGAACACTACTAGCAATAATAACGGGACTGTGGTAAACTCTGCCCTAACCTATAGTCCGAATGCTACGCATAACTCGTATTTCGCCGCGATTCCCAGTCCGAATTACCAAGCGCCTTCGCCAGTCAACAGTTACCACAATCAAAACCTTGATCCGATTCCTTTACCGGCCTCGAATACAACTCAGACTCAAACATCGAGTAAGAATGCAATCCAAACAGCGACGGCTGAGAAGAAGAGGTGGAACACAGCAGATTTTCGTTGGATGTTCACGAAAAGAAATGGTTCCATAGGTGAGTCGGACGACGCTATACATTTACCTGCAATATGTTAAGAGTTTAATTTCCAATCTTCAATCATTAAATTGTTTGCGCGCGTAGGGGAAAATTGTCCTTTCGTTTGGAATAGCAGAGTATTTTAAGAGAATAACTGTTTCTGGTATCAAGTGCATGCATACATGGATCCAGAAATACTATATATTCCTTTCGTGTAGGAGTATTGCATCTCAAGCGATCTTGCTGATATTCTTACAAAGTGTTAATAATTGACTACTTAAATTGAATTACCTCGTTCCCGGGCCAGGCTAAAACGATGTACGATTGACTACTGAAGTCTAAAAGTAAAGTGTACTCGAATTCTATATGATTTCTATACACCGAATGCAGTGATTTATAGATTGTGAAATGAACGTACCACACTTGAGTGATTTGGTTACTATACATAGGATTAGAAATTGAATCAGTATAGATAAGCTTCACAATGAGAATTGACTTTCATATAGCTAAGACCTAAAGTATATATTGATTGAATATAGAAAATACTGAGAACTTCATCGTTATTGAGTGCAGCCAAAGTTTCGGGAGCGGTCACATGCAGTTGACGAACGAGTATATTGAGGATGAACATTTAACAAATTGAATGAAATTTTGTGTTGAACTCATACGAGATAAAGTCAAGCCAGGCACTTCAAATGTAAATGCGGTGAACTGTACATTATTGTGTCCAAATTGTTTCTGAACGGAATGTCATGGCACAGTTAAGAGCTCGCGATACAATAGGCAATTGCACCTCATCGATCCACTACGTACGTGTTATATTATATATAGCCAACACTGCATGTGCTATCCGTAAATATTTTAGGTCGAATTTTGATTGCGCTGTAATATTTGGGATGTCGGAAGAATGTGAACCTGACCATGCATAGCGGATGGATGCATGCTTCTTGACCTAATAACTCGCTTTGATACAGTTTAATATAATTTCTAGCAACGCGGATACATACAAATGCCTATAAATGTATTAATAAACGCCATTTAGTGGTGTTACGATACGATTAGTACATTTTTAGTTGCTATACTCTTAACAAGTCATTGAGATTTCTATTGAGATAGCGAAGTCTAAAAATGCAAGAGAAATTGAATATTCAAATATATATAGTATACGACAGATAGAAATATTGAAATATTATATATAATTATAGTGTGATACAGCGTGTTGAAAAATAATGCACAGATTTTTCAAATTCTGCTCATTCATCAGAAAATTGTTGTTCTTTCTTTTCATCTGTTGCTCTTTTATGTATGATTTGTCAAAATACGATAGAACTGAATTCGACAGCTGATTGTTAACTTCATTAAAGACATTATCGTCATGAACTGAGCCATGTAGCTATATAATATATATGTAGCTATATATACTGTCATCGCACGAAAAAAACTTGATTTAATAAAAATAGTGAACTATATACATTTATCGCAGCAATACTTTAATACTGTGTTACAACACTAAGATTTGTTTTGTTAATAAAGGAGGTCCCACTGAGTTGATAATGAACCAGCGTAAACGAAGCTATACTGCACTATGGCTATGCACTATGCAACAGACATGCACGTTGGCCAAACGAAAGGAAAAGGACTGGATTGGCCTTTTTTAATGCACCGCGAACTATTGTGCACGTATACGCTCTACAATAGTCTTTTCCCGACACATGCATATACATGCAGGCATACAAAAATACTTCATCCTCAATAGCTAGATTTTATCGTTAAATTGTCACAATAAGATTCATGAATCATGGCCATGCATGCATGCATATATATTTTGATTTAAATATAGTATAGCCACATAATACGATTTTTCACGAATCGAATTTTCACAAGCCGCCTGTGGTGTTCAATATTTAACATTGACGTCTGCTATCGCTATAGACTTTAAACAGCTTAAAATGATGTATATTTGCACAAGATTATATCTGTTTATGTGGAAATTATTAAATTACGCATCGCCCTTTCCGCGGCATATTATGAACAACTTTGCATTGGAGGTTTTTGTTGCTCCGATCTGGCACCTGACGCGCTCATTGGCTTCAGCCTATTATTTGCACTTTCCGACATCATGTCAAATTTAGTACATATAAACTTATACCATAATTTTACTTCGATTTCATTTAACACTTCATATACAGTAGCTATATCATCATACGTCGTAGCATAATATTAAGAACTAACTGATTACGCCGATGAAACAGTTCACGGTATATTTTTCACGTTCATGCATTTTGCACGCATTCACCTATCGATTAAAACATAAAGAACAACATAAAAGACGCTCACTCGAAAATAACTGTGTGTAAATGCGAAATATTATAATTATTGTCATTTAATTCGTATACGTGACTGCCACGAAGTCTTTTGAGACACTCATGCAGGTGGCTGGGCATTGTCAAGAAGGCAGAATTAACACGTTTACTTTACTTTGACACCTGAAACGGATCCTTTCATTTCATAGAACATTTAAGTTCATATATGCTAGCTAATTTAGAAGAATTATTTAGAAGAATTTGAAGGCAGTCTGCATGTTATATACATGCAGGTGCTTGTCCTGGGTAACACGATATCTGTAAATCACGCTAAAAGAAAGAAATGAAGACCAGACTGGCATTCTTTGTTTCCTATTTAGCTGTTGTTCACGGCTATAATAACATAGTGGCCAAGAATCACTAAATATGTCTAAAGGCATATGGGTTTTATCCCTGTTTTACTGCCGTGCTGACAAACGAGGGAATACAGTATGGCCGATATGCCGGCCAGTTGCATGGAAATAGTCGGTATAATAGAACTATTTATGATATTCCGGCACTGCAATTGCCATTTCCATATGGATATATTATGGAAATTAATGATGCTACACCCATATACTGATTTTGAAAAAGACGTTCAGTGAATATGGATTCATACATGAAGAATACACCGGCTGATTCGCGGGTAATTAATGCGCGGGCCTACTAAAAATTTTCATTTTCTGATTGCGACTGAAACTACATAGAATACATGCATATACAAAGAAGTTTCACGAGTGATGCACCTTTGAAAAACTGCACATGATTATTTCAAAAATCCCAATCCGGCAAGCCCATGCATGCAATAATGCATGTTGTTGGATTACTTATATACCATAAATCAAAGTGCTATATCACCCTAAATAGAAGACTTCGGTTCTCCGACAGTAAGAATTCTCACAACCTTAGTTTTAAACTTTACTTTGTGTATATAACATCTGTTTTGCTACGGATTTCGATCATTATGGATATTTAACTTTTATTCATTAGGCCTCTCAACGCATTGCATCTGGGTTATACTTGTATACAGTATACAATGCTTCAAAAAGTAACAACAAAGTAATAAATGCATGCATGCTTTAAACGTGATAAAAAGAAAATTTGCTTACAAAGATTGGATCAGTACGAATTACGAAATATTTGTCGGCAAATATATCGACACAGATATATACGACAGCAAAATCTGACAGAAATCTTCATATTAATTTCTGAACACATTCGATCGGGAGTTTACATGAAAACATTTTATATATCATCGTTTCGCGGACAGGATATATAATCAGTGAATAAATCACATTTTAAAATCTCATCGCCGTCATCGGTGCCATGAATCGTTTGACAGCCGATTTGAGGCAATTTGAGGCCGAAACTGATTGTATATAGATACAATGTCCAAAGCTTTTTCATATTTACCAAACAGATTTTTTGCTTCCTGTATAGAAAAATAGATAAAAAATTGATTCATTTATGCATCGCCTGCATGCATGTCATGGCTTCAGGGTTTATAAACCTCGCACTATAGTGCGAGCATGACATATGCATGACATTCCTGCTTCTTGCTGTTATTCTCGTGAGAAGAACCGAAGCATACAAAAGAAAAAATGCATTGGAAATTGATATATATATATATATATATATAAAGTGCTACTATGCATTAGGAGAATCGCAGAAGTTATATTATAGTTATTAGATTTATAGCAAAGTTGGCCGGGGACCGCGACCAATTGAAATAGGAAATTATCCACAGGAAAATATTCAGGTTATCAAGTCATCTGGTTCAAATTATAATTTTAGATCTACCTTTATCAATCTTCTGTCTAAGAATATAGCAACAAATCAATATAGGCCGAAACGTGAAAAAAAGTTCAACAAGAAACTTCTCAAAGTTTCAAAATAATCGGCAACGAAGTCTGTTCGAACTTCGAAACGTCGAGACTTTTTTATATCATCACCCCATGCATGCACGGTTGATAGGCTATATGTTAAAGACGCTGCCAGTAGTATTGTCCTGGCGTTATTGTTTATTGTTACGCTGCTCCCTGGTTATCTAAACAAAAGTAGTTCAAGACATCGCAAATACGCATGGGTACGCAGTTGATAGGCTATATGTTAAAGACGCTGCCAGTAGTATTGTCCTGGCGTTATTGTTACGCTGCTCCCTGGTTATCTAAACAAAAGTAGTTCAAGACATCGCAAATACGCATGGGTACGCAGTTGATAGGCTATATGTTAAAGACGCTGCCAGTAGTATTGTCCTGGCGTTATTGTTTATTGTTACGCTGCTCCCTGGTTATCTAAACAAAAGTAGTTCAAGACATCGCAAATACGCATGGGTACGCAGTTGAACTATATTTAAATTAACATTTTTATTTAGTATTTTTTTCACCTTCTTAGGTAACGTGAATTCAAAACCCGCCAAAGCAAGCGAACCAACGGAAACTAAAGAGGATCCAGACAGCCACAAACGGCGTTTTACCTTCACGCAGAAGCAATTGGTCGAACTTGAGAAAGAGTTCCACTTTAACAAGTACCTGACGAGGGCACGGAGGCTGGAAATTTCCAACGATCTTAAGTTAACTGAAAATCAGATTAAGATTTGGTTTCAGAACCGACGCATGAAATGGAAGCGAGGCATGAAAGAGAGCATTCAGAAGACGAAGACGGGAAAATATCACAAACAAATCACGGCAAACTTACAGGACTCCATCGTTATGAAACGTCACGTTTCTAATGACATTGCTATGTTCCAACAGCACTCGAACTGTCGTTCAAATTTCATGCCTTATTGAGTCGAGATCAAACGATAAATTGAATTGACTTGCATGTACATTCCTATCTCCTATTATAATTTAGATTGTCTGCCTTCGGCTGAAAACGCTGTTTATGGTCCAATTTAAATTCAACTTTATATATCGGTTGAAAATTAAGGTTTTATGGAAGGTTATTGCACTGAGGATCGAGATGTCACTGTTTCATCTGGATCAATCATGAACATGGGTTATAACCCTCAAAATCCTCCAATATGATTTCTAACAGCAGTAACTTATCAAAATTAAGAGCTTTAACTTATCAAATTTTCACCACAGTAAGTCAATAACTTATCAAGAGCTTCGAATAAGCTTCTCGAAATTAACTATGAAATGGTGCGTGGTCAACATACTGGTAATGCATGGTAAAGTAGGTAGATAGTAACAAAGTGACGTAATGTAATGCACGAATCATGCATAGATTAAATGTCGTAGTAGGAAAGAACTTCCATCTGCATGGGTCAGTTGTAAATAGTTCACCATTTATGTATGTATATATATAGAACATATTTATGCAATGACATACTGATAACAAAGCTATTCTTACAAATTAGACTGATTTTCTAGTGTTCAATCTATAGTTTAATAGTTGGATGTTTTCAAACAGTTTGCTATTATATACGTATAATGCCAATATGGCACTTATGGCAAGCAGCAAGTCAGCAACTACCACGAAATCTGCTGCAAAAGATCCTAATTGAGGTTTAAATCGAGTGGTAATGTCATCAGGGAATGTCGGAATGATTTTCAACTGTCGAATCTTGAGTATCACTGATTTTGTGAACAATCTTGTAGTGAGAAACTGGGCAGCTACGTGTTCTGCGGGATTTCGTGACAGATGAGATACATTCAAAATCATGAATATGTGCAGTTCTCTAACCAAGTCGATTCTTAGTAAGTTCTTGTTTATCTCATGTTAGTGGAAATTTGTTGAATTCCAGTGTAGGCTTAGTTGTTAAGAATATATGTGGAATATTTAAGATGTCGAGAGAAAAGGAATAATTAAGGGGCTTAAAATGCTTTGCAAGTATCACGTTGCATGCAGTTACCACAATTCTGGCTAACGTTAATACCATTATAGTACCTAAACAACGTTTCATATACTAGATCTGGTGCAACGATCGAATATTGTGAATGAGGGTAATAATATACTACCATGCAGTGAACCGGCTACAATTAATTAGCCAAGCTGCCGCGATGTTGGAAAAAACATAACTTTTTTAGAGGCTTGCTTCGATTTATTTAAGTCTTATTTTAGTCTCGAAATTATCTAAGAGTATAATTGATTTTTTACACCGCCAAAACACGTGTAATCAGTATTGAAACAACAAAACCATGCACAGCCGATATTTCAGAAACATTGTCGGTTGTAATCTGTACAAATTTAACACCTGCCATATTTCTTTCAATTGTATATCTTATCACAATTTGTCTCAATTATTGGGCGATTCAATTAGTCTTTTATTCTCTCCATTCAAATTTGCCAGCCAATTACGATTCTTATCTGGCTGACCATCTCTTTGATTTAAACAAGACCGTAAGCGAATAGACCATATTCTAGTACAATTTAACATCAAAAATACAGGAAATTAAGTCACAAACGTAAACAAATTTAATTATAAATTAACCAAACACCAAAATAGTACACACGAGATAGCAGATTGATCACTTTGAAAACTGACCAAAACCGCTGTTTTTTTGTACTTTGTAATGGTCGTATAGAAATTTTTGTTATGACTGTGTCGCCAATCCTATAATAGATCTTAATTTAGTTGATACGAGCTTGGTCTTGACATCTTCTCGACCTTTCTTAAATAGTGTTATTTACTAGCCGACAAAAGTAGCTTCACGGGGAGTAACAAAGTTAAAAGAGCGGATTGAATCGAAAAATACCCCCTACAATCGCGTGTTCGTTCATTGTGAATTTACCAGTAATTCAGAAAGCTTTATTTTGCTCTAAGCCAGTTTTGTACCCAAAGGATTAACATCGTTAGCTTAATACTTCTTTAAAACAAACAAAACCAGCTTAGCTATGTAATTAAGTTATCTTTCGTTAATGACCCCATTATATGATGCACAAACATGTGTGTTTTGTTGCCGTTATTTTCGCCCAAATATTTGTTTTGTTCATATTGTTTTCAAATGTTGACAGTTGCGGGAGTCTTTTGCATGTTCTGTTTTCTATTTACTGCTTATATTTATTGCGAAAAGCCTAGTTTCAGAATTCAGAACACAATTTTGACTTTACAAAACATTGTAATTATCGCTCTTGAGAGTGTGTTGAAGTGTGAGATCTTATCTCATTTCAGTCAATGTTCACCGTCCCAGCACTTATATGCTTCATCAAGCGTGTAAACGATTGCCGCCGTCCAACATTGCAATAACAGTCGTAAGAATATGATGTACAAAAACAAACAACAAGGTTTGACCGCTGCAACTCGGTTTAGCGGGAAAAGCGTCCGTTTTAATGACTATGATCAAAGCATCTTCAAAAGCTAACATTCGATAAAACAATTAACCACGTGCTTTTCATCTCAATTGACCTGGGGAGGAAGGTTTTGGCGCGCATTCTGTTTAAAGCATTTAAAGTACCCGCTTTATTCTTAAGCCCTGTGATGATGTCTTAGGAAATGTTCTCGACCTATAACTTTCATATTGCTTTCTTGTAAACACCCGGTAAAATATAGTTGTAACCACTTTCCCGGTGAATTTGAAGTATAATTGAATGTTGCCGCTGAAATTTGGGGAGTTTCGGAGCATCCATTCGACTCCTGTAATCGGGGCTCCGGCTCTTGATATCGTTCAAAAACATTGATGTGAAACAAATTGATCATTCATAGCCAGATTCAGGGCTTATTGCATGTTGAACCGTATCTTCCTACTGCGAACACAACTCGTCGCTCTGTTTTGAACCACAGCATGTGCATTTGTCGGCAAAGATTATTATTTTTTTAAGTTCCGAAATGCATTGTATAAAAATTGAAAATATATACAGACGTCAATGCCGATGAAGACTATGATCTTTCTTTATTATGAATCTTTGCTTGTGCGTTTCATGAGTCATCAACTTTACTTACATATATGTATATCAACGAGTTCGACTGCAGAGAGTCAATAACTACAGTTAATTAGAGCGAGTTTTATCATTGTCCTGATATTTACTTAAAAATGAAAATAGTGAATAGGATTGTAACGGCAGGTATATAGTTGTTTGGAACGTCGATTTTTGCAATTCAATTATTTTGTTTTACAATTTAAGCCAGAGTGACTCTTGCAGTTCCAGATAAAACAGTGACTTAAATTTAGCCGGCATGGGAAGGATTATTAATAAATAAGCGGCAATAAAAATAAAATATCCTCCTATATCCTCCTATATCCACCTTGAGGAGAAGTATCAGTGTATATTTATCGCATTGTCGTTTATTATTTACAGTTATAAATTTAACCCACCTAGCTACTGGGTGAACAGTCGTCAGTGCATGAATAAAATTGTCTATCCTACACAGTTATAATTAATGTAGACGAGGCGATAGACAATTCTAATTGGATAAAACATGCAATCGATTGATAAATTTCGGTACGTTTTTCATAGAACTGAAACTATGTGTCTATATGCCATTCCGAATAACTTTGATGCTTTTAGAGGTTTAAAAACTGGATGTCACTAATCACTACTTCAGGTTATACGAAAAATACTGTATATATTTCGTTGAATGATATGCTATGCAGTAAATAAAACTGAAATCATACAAACGAACACATGACCAATGGAGTAGTTTGCAGAATTTCATCGACGGATGAATTTAGCAATGACACATTGTCAAATATAAAGCTACCGAGAGACTGGACAATTATTATCGTTCATTATCTTCTTAATTTTGCTCAGTGGCAATTAAATTCTTTTTCGAAATATTTCATCATGTGTTGAAAGTGAAAGCTGTTTTTAAGCGATATCTCACTCGTGTTTTTGGCGCCGTCTTGAGAACTTTGTAAACAAATTGCCGCCAAAATCAGAATGACACTTTTTATTCTTTTTTCCTGCTTTTGTTTTCATGAGTTTGGTACCAATTGATATCGATTGATTTGGGGATAATGGGGAAGATTTTGAGAATGATGAGCGAAGGTTATGGGAATGAAGGAATAGAAAAATGGGTACATTTTTGCCAGAATAAAGTACGTTTCCCTACTTGCCATGGTACAATGCGTCTCCCGAGTATTATTATATTTTTTTGCACATAATAATGAACTTGTTCACTGCTCGTTTCTATCAGTTTACAACTTTACTACACTTCTTACTTATCATGCCAAATCCCAAGGCAAATCCCTAAATGTACCTAGAAGAATATAATATTGCCCACTGAGCTATATAGCCTTGCACAAAGGCCTGGATACGAGCCCAGTTTTTGTCCAGTTAATATTTAGTGCGGACGTAAACAAAAAAAATTGGCAAAGGTTCTGCGAAATCGTCGTAATCAATCATGTAGACCTGAGAAAAAATGAAAAAAAATTAACAAATTATGTGAAGAGTGTGGTGACTGTGGTCATATCTTTAACATTATAAACATAGGTAAACCTGCGTAATTGTTTGTGTATACTTTGAATTTGTTTCATACACTGTGTTGACTGGCGAATTCGTCTCTTTTATATTTAGTGTATTTTATTCAAACTCAAAGCTGAATCGTGAATGGATAATGTTTGAGAGGGCATTTTATTTCCTTGTGACGTTTGCGGATTTTCATCGTACTTATATGAATTGTAGAATATCGAATTCTCGTGAACACTTCGTATTTTTGGTCTTTGATCATGGCTGCCAATTCCAGTCGATACCACATGGCCACGTTAAAAATAGTTCTTGTGGGATCAGAAGCTGTTGGCAAAACGAGCCTATTAATTCGCTTTCATCAGAATACATTTCCTAGTCTATATGTCCCCACTGTGTTTGATTCCTATTGGAAAGAGGTTTCAGTTGATGGTAATGAATATGGTCTGCTTTTGTGGGATAATTCTGGTAATGATGACTACATCCGTTTGCGTCCACTCTCCTATCCCCAGACAGATGTGTTCCTAGTCTGTTTTGACATCAATAACAGAGAATCGTTTGTCCAGTTACAAAATACATGGCTTCCTGAGGTGAAACGGTATCAGCATGGAACGCCAATAATTATTGTAGGCAATAAAATGGATATAAGATCAGAAGGGTATGTACCATTCATGACATTTTAGTTTTATTTCAAGAAAACTACCATGTATCATGGGTGGTAATAGAGAATGCATAGCATTAAGAATGCACCCTCTAATATAAAAGGTACACATAGTGTTATTTAGTTAAACATCCGGAAAGCATAATTGGATTGGTAATAAATAACATACTCCTCACCCTTGGGAAGAGGTGGAGCTACTTATCTAAAAAGCAAAATGCATCGGAACATGTAAAGTAGTGAGTGCATTGTTCTGAGAAAGTTGTGGATGTTCTCTGCAAAGGATTAGTTTCTAATGTACTTTCTAATTTTTCATGAATTAGTTGCCAGTCATATGGCCCTCAAACTATCCTAGAAAGCCTGTGATCTCTTTTAGAAAGATGTTGATAGCACACTGCAATATTAAGCATCATTTCATCTCCATCAGATAAATAGCACTTAGTGAAATAAGATAAATTAGTGTGAACTTGTTTGTTAGTTGTAATTAGCAACAGACTAACTGGGATGGAAGCTGGCCCTTATGTAGACCCAAAATAAGCGAAGGGATTAAGGAAATTTGAAGAAGAAATCCATGAGGCTGACAAAGTGTATATCAAATTATTGTTTACAGGGTAACTGCTTATTAATTAGAACCTTTAGGCTTTAGACATGCATTGCCATGAACTAGTACAATATGTACAATGTGAAAATATTTATGACAGATTAAATTCCAAGCAACCTTCAATTGTTGTGATATCTATCTAAATTTATAGCCAGCTTGAGGACGCTTCAAACGACTTTGTCCTACATGTGGAAGGCGTGCGCCTGGCTTTAAGAGAAGGTACTGTACAGTAATGCACATGAGACTGAAATAAATGCTACTTAAAGGAACAGTATATTGTAAAGTAACTATAAGAAAGAATAGAGGTATGAGAGAGGGATGTTTGAGACAGCTAACTAAAATAGATATGTGATATCACTGAGATTTTTAAGGCATGTCCATATAATGTGAAAGGGTAGTTCAAGCTCCCAAGGAAGGAGGCTTGATACAACCGGGCCCTGAAACAAAAGTAAAATGTCACTTTGCGCGAAAATTATCTCTAGTGGAAAACAGGCTTTAGTCATCTTTTCAAAGCACCAGAGGTGTAAGAGATGCCTTACATGCAGACTGCTGACAGAAATGAATATCACTCTGCTTTTTAAGGTGCCATATATTGTGAAAGTAGTGCAAAGGAAAATAGAGGTGTGAGAGAGGTGTTCCAGACCGCTGTAAGGTATTACAATCATCAACAACCGAGACTAACGTCTGTGGGATGCTGCGGATTACGACGAAATAGAAGATCACCTAACATCCCATTTCTTCCTCCCCCATGTAAGTTTGACTTCCTAACATGAATATAGTATAAGGATTACTGATACTTGAAGAAACATTATGGGGGTAACACCTATGAATTACATCATTCTTCTTAAACTCGTTGGCAGGTCCACTTCCAGTGGTAGCAATTGAATCGTCCTCATTTTCAGCAAACATGGCCAACCTTCTGGGTGATTCATGCTCTGGACTTGATGTCACTTTTATATTTCCCGACAAGACCACGGTGGAAGCACATCGCTTGGTCCTGTGTTGCACGTCCTCGCTATTTCGCCGCATGTTCCTCAGTCACCGGGCCTTATCGAACCTCAATGCTTCGGACCCCGATGAAGTTGGTGGAAAATTAACCAGTAAGGATATTAACGGTGGCCGCGTCGTCGGATTCGTCCTGGTGTCTAGTGACCGAGATGTGCCGTATGATTGCGTGTACTTTGAAGAGACCCTACGAATATTTTTAACATTAAGTGAAGATATCTCGAAAAATGCTTTTAAAAATGTCCTCAACTTTATGTACACAGGGAAGCTCAGTCTTTCGGCGGAAGCTGACGAGAAACAAACTGCGGCTATTCTTGATGTGGCGCAAACATTTCAAATCGATGTCTTAACGGACTTTTTAAAAAGTGACCAGGAAGTGTCCGAACTTGATTTGCACGACCAATGGAAGTCCGAGTTCGTTTCGTTCAACAGCAGGTTGTTTTGCAACTCGTCGCGATTCTCTGACGTTTCGTTTTGTGTCGATGAGCACCCTGTCCGGGCGCATCGTTGCGTGCTCGTTGCACATTGTGACTTCATGGCCGCCATGTTAAGTGGAAACTTTCAGGAAAGCGGTCAAAACGAGGTATGCTTGATATTGACGTCCACGTCAAACCGCAGTGTATTTAGGGCGAACTTTCGACAGAAGGTTGCATGGATTTACCAGTTATGCATAAAAGGTTAAGATGACCCTTTGCAGTATAGGTCGTCCCTCCTTTGCAGTATAAGTCGTCCCTACAATTTAAATTGTGATGGCATTAGATTTGTTAGAGTTATATTCTTTGCTAAAAAAGAAGCAAAAATATGCGAACAAAATCGCTAATGAATGCAGCGATATCATGCACAATTCAATAAGACTCTGATAATTTAGGGAAATGTAAAGACAGGGCAAAGGTCTATTGCTTTAGGCTTTGAAGCAGAAATTGACTGGTAAATTCACTCTCCTTCTGTATATCGATCTTGCATCACCCATTTCTGCGTCTTCACAAAACTGTTCTATATACCCACATTAGATTCCGCTGCCGTCCGTTTCACTGCACGGTTTTCTTGGATTCCTTCAATATCTTTACACGGATGATGTGAACTTTGAGCGACACAACCCCATCGAGGTCCTCAAGGTTGCCAATCAGTTTTGTTCTGCGCGACTTATTTCGCTGTGTGAGGTTTGTCTGGAGAAGAAAATGGAGACATCTCTGGCGAGTACAAGAAAGAAGAGTGATAAAGTCGGAGATCTCATTGAGCTGATCGTCATCGCGCAGGTAAATATATATTTTTTGAAAGCTGAATTTTAAGTTTCAACTAATCCTGCATAATTCTTCTGAACGGACAGAATTCAAGCCAGGGCCAATATTTCAGTGGTGTCTTCTAACGATAGTAGTTCGTCCATGGGACATTATATGTATAGGCAAATCATCATTTATGCGTGTATAGAAGGTGATTAAAATTTTAGCATCTTTTAATGATCTCACAGATTAACGAGGCTCACCCCGAGTAGAGAAGTTAACTCGCGCGCGATACTACCGCATTTAACTAGGTCTTGGCCGCTGCCGATCGGTAGGGATGGAGACACTTTTAACAGGAACATCTGGAGCTAAACGGTACCCTCTCCATCCCGAGATCACACAGTCACTCGCGATTCACTGCGGTGAATCCGTGGAGTGAAGAAGAAATACACGCACAATAAACACACAATAAACACGTCCAAGGCATGCCACAAAAAACTTACCGAATCCCAGAAACTCGCCTACCCGGAGTCGCGAAAATGTCCAATAAAACTAGAACAAAAGAAAAAAGAACAAACCCCGGCACAAGGGGATAAGGACTGGTTAACCAAAAACGGGGAGGGGGACCAGAAGGGGAAGGGTGGGAGTTGACAAATGCACAAGTGAAGGGTAGGAGCTAAGCAAGTCATATTTATACTAACAGTAGGAGATAATACCGTTGGGCCAACGCCCGGTCCCGTGACAATAACAACATCTCTTCGACATTAATTTCCTTTATTATGAATAATAAATACATTTGGCCTGTATATGTGTGTGTATATTAGAAGAGTTGTATAGTTGCTTTTCTAAGAATGTGCACCAATTAAATTGATATATAATGGCATTGCAAGTTTAGTCTCTTGAAACAAGAGAAAATTCACCGTTTCTACCGATTTTTGTATCTTTTCAGACTCACAATGCTCATCAACTAGCTTCCAAGTATTTGTATTATATTGCCATAAATTTCGAAGAATTCAAAAAGAAGAAAGAATTGGACTGTTTATCAACGGACAACCTTGTTCTAATCGAGCAGCAGAGGTGGCCACCCCCTTGCTATTTAACGGAACTGAATGCTTATCGGAGGACACGTGACCGTGAATCTTCGTGCATTTTAATGTGAATACATGTACGTTTGAGGAGGGGTGGCAACGGGGGTAGGATGGGATGGGGACGGGGGAAGTGTACAAATCGAATACCATTTTCTTTTAAACACCGATTTTTTTTTATGTCACAAACCGTTTTTGACGATGTGAAATAGTTAGAGTTTATATTTCGTCCTTTCGGCGTGTTTGCATGTACTCGACCAGGTCTCCTTTGGGGTTCGTTGACACTTAGTTTTGGTCTATTGGTTCACGAAAGCTACATAATTTTGTGGACTTGTGGTCAAAAAAGACGAGCCGCAGTATAGGAATATACAGTAGACACATTTAATTTCGGCTTAGTTTGTGTCATGTTCTCATGGAGACCTAAAATAGTTTAAATCAATTTCTGTGTGGTTAAAGTCTTTAGTTATAATCAAAATCTGCAAGAGTGCGAGAGGAACTGCTTACATTGCATTAGTACCAAAAATATTGAAAGTTCCTCAAATGTTGAAAGCTACCAAAAACATGCCGCGTTTCTTGGTCAAAGCCGAATAATGATGAAAAGCATGCAATGAAATTGATTAAAATGAAAATATTATTAAATGCTTATACACCAAGACTATGCATTCGGTCTAAATGATTGGCTGCGAGTCTAATCCGCTGTCAATCAAAAGTAAATATTGTTAATATGTAACATTTAAGAGGAGGTTTTTTATATATTATGTTGTGTATTTTGGCGGGAAAACATTCAAAACAAAATCTTTTTGGCGTACCATTCAAAGTTAATTTAGTTTACATTTATTCTTTAGATTATGTTGTGAACTATAAGTTTTGAACTGTATTTGGTGATTTCAAAACACCAAAGGACTAGAGTTATTTCAAAATATAATGCGGCTATCAACAATGTTATAAATGTCAACGCTATGTTATCACTGACATGAATACAAAAGTAGCTTAGATTCAAGTGCCATTTTCTACTCGGCGTATCCCAAGAAATCTTTTCATTTTCATAATATTTTGAAATCATACAGTAAACATACTTTCTAGATCCTTTTCAGGTTTGCAAAACAGTTTTAATGTTAAAAATTTTAGTACTGTTGCATGAAGGTATATAAACTAAGGTATATATTACGTATATTACATATATTACGTGACATATAGAAAAATATCTTATCTTTGAATATATCAAAGTATTTTACATATTCCACGCATATGATCACCATCTGGTCATGGTGGAATTTATCAACGATTGCGTTCGCTCCGTTGTTTTAAAATAATTCTCAAAAATCGAAACGCTCGACAACTGGTTCTCAAACGCAAGCAGGGGATAGCGGTTAAAGATTTACTTCTTGGGAAGCATGTTTTAGCCGTTCTCCCACTGGCTGGTTATAGGAAAAGCTTGATTTTTAAGTTGTTCTTGTTAGCGATAGAAAATATGGCAAAAATAGATAAAGTTGGACGTAGTAGCGTTCTCGTTATTTCTCCTCCGCGCATGCATGGTATTATATCGGATCAAATATAGCTGAGACGCTTTCGATGGACTGCTCAGCGGTGGAACTTTCGGATAAAAACGTTTCGGGAGTCGTCAAGTCTCCACCGCAATATATTTATATGCATGCGCGGAAAGTGAAATGAATAAAGCATTTCTTGATTCGCTCACGAACAGCAATAATGCGATTAATCAATCCATTGCTTTTATTGTCGTGGATGAGTCTCATACTGTGGAAACGTGGACGGGAAAAGGTAAGAAAATATATTTTATCTCTAATATTTTCATTATATTTTGGTAAAAAACACTTGGTTTTATGTACCTTGATAGAAGTAAAAGAGGATCAGGCATCCAGACTTATACTTTCCAAATTGGATTGGATTGCCAACATGAAAAAACAATATAATATTGTCATGCCAAAAACGATTCTATTTTGTGATACAATCTATGCTCTTGCCCAGGTAGTGAACTATTTATTAGTGAAACTGAGCACATATGCATTCTACCGAAGATGTTTGCATGCAATTGGATTTAGAATACCATTTGGGGTTTACGCCTTGGAGATATTTGACATTTTGATATTTGGGTTTACGCCTTGGAGATATTTGAATATGAGTAACTCATGCACGAACAAACTGCTCGACTTAAGACGTTTATTTAGGTAGTTCGATGAATTCATTTTGTTTTGAAGATAGTGCTTTTTCCTTTCTGAGAAAGCAACCCTCAGAGCTCAACCCCATGTAACGAAGTTATGGATCTACAGGTGAATGGAGGAAAGAAGGAACACAGTAAGGTAAAATAAATAAATTATTTTTTTATTTTCATTCTTCAAGTGAAGGAGATGCTATGTAATTGATAAACACTGCGAGATAATATTTGGTCAAATCGTTCAAATCTAGCGTTCAAATCATTGGTAGTGAATAGGCATCACAACATCGAGGAACAAGGGACATTACAAATGATTGCCACGACAAAAGAACAAAATAAAATGTGAAGCTCTAGTAATGTATGTAGACTGTAGTCTCATAAAGTCCATAAAGATTGGGTTTTAGACTGGGTGGAAGTGAGAAATGTTCTTCGACGAATAATCTTAATTTTTTTTTGTCATGTTTCCTAACTTTTTTACCAGTCTATTTTCCCCCTAAATATTCTTCTTTCCTGTCAAAATTTCTTTTTCTTTTATTAAAATTTTTTCAGGGAAATTTTTTTTCTTGTTTCTAAAATTTTTTCCTAGCCAAAATTTTTTCTATAATAATATAAGGTTGCTATCAACACACCATCCGGTGGCCTTTTGGTTAAGGCTACGACCGGCAAAATTGTAAGCGTAGGTACGAATCCTGCACGGAAAAGGTTTCATTTTTCCCACCGAAAGTACTATTTAATTTAAAATTCTTCGAAAACGATCTAGCCAAATAAAGAACAATAGCTTTAAACATTCAAAAATTCGTAAATTTCAACAAAAATTAACGATTTTCGAAAATTTTTTAAAATGTGTTACATGTTAAAAATGGCTTCAAATATTTACTAGGCTACACTATTTCGTTTTTGAGCGTATTTCTTTTGAAGCAATGAAAAATTCAAAAATATAATTTCGACCAACAAAGTGACGGATACGCATCCCTACCATTTTGGCCAAAATTAACGATTTTCGAAAATTTTCTAAAATGTCTTAACATACTGAAAATGAATAACAGCCGTTACCATTTTGGCTGAAATTTTGAACTTTATGAAAGACAGTGCAGTTTTTAAAAACGAAGATGTTGTGACGAGCGGATGGTAGCGTGTAGACGCAGGTTAAGAGAAGAAGAGTTATTTAATATCTTTTGCGTTATGTGGGAGATTTGGAATACAATTTCAGCGTTGAAATAAGTGGCAAATGTTGAAACATTCTAATGAATCTGAATTAACATTTTCCTCAAATTTTAATTGTGACCTGTACAGTCAGACTTGCCTTCATTAAAAATACAAAACAATTGCACCGCAACCGTTAGCTTCACCTGGGCCGCATATAACTAGCTTATGCCGACGGAATGCTGCTCCTTTGCTCATTGGAATCCATACCTGTGGCTGTGTTATTTTTCGTCAGCACAAATGTTGATATTATTAGGTTAAAACTACGGATAAGATTCAGTTTTGTGCGTTTTAGACAAGAAAATAAATTATCATTATCAAAGTAAACTGGTATAAATGTATGTAAAATCCTTCGGAAAAAGGTTGAGTAAAATAAAATAGTGAAGTAATTCGCCTGAAGTTCTGCTGGTCTAGTGTCTAAGACAATGCTCTCCCATGTCTCAAACCTGGGGTTCGGGTCCAAACATGTCCGTTTTTCATTATGTCTTTCCATAAAAGGATAAAATAAATCAATTAACCATATCCATTCAGCACATGATCTCGTAGTCCAGTGGTGAAGACAATGGTCTCCCAATTGCCAAGTCGATGGTTCGAATCCAAGTATGCTAATTTTTCATTATGTCCTTCGTGAAAAGGATAAAGTAAATTAAATAAGCTTAGCCGTTCAGCAGAAGATCTTTTAGTCTAGTGGCGAAAGCAATGTTCCCCAAGTGGTAAACCGATGGTTCGAATCTTGTCATAACCGTTTCTCATTATGAACTTCGTGAAAAGGATAAAGTAAATGAAATAACCATAGCCTTTCAGCACAAGTTCTTGTAGTCTAGTGGCGAAGACAATAATCTTCCAAGTAGTAATTCGAAGGTTCGAATCCTACCATAACCGTTTTTCATTATGAACTTCGTGAAAAGGATATAGTAAATTAAATAATCATAACCGTTCAGCAGAGGATCTCGTCGTCTAGTGGTCAAGACATTGGTCTCATGTGTCGACAGTCGAAGGTTCGAATCTCGTTTTAGAAGGAAATTTTCGTTATTAATATTACATGGTAAGGTTATGGAGAATAAGTTGGTGTAGGCTTCCAACAATCACCAGTTAGCCTTGTGGTAAAGTCGTGGACTATCAAGTACAAGACCGAGGTATCAAGAACGGGATGGTAAGTTTCTCATGGCGGTAAAAGAAAAAAAAATGGTAGGTATGTTGCTCCGGGGAGGTTTATACTCGGTTAATCTTTGGAAATTAAAGTTAATCTTTAGGGAAATCATTGGATAGATAGGGTGAATGAGGGGTATATGAGTACAAAAAGACTTAGTAATTGGGCGGCGGCCTCGGCCCCCGGAGCAAGGGGGAAGGGTATAGGTGAGAAAACAGTATATAAAATGTTTAAGTCTTTTTGTACTCATTTAAACCTCTTTATCCCTATTTAACCTCCAATTTACTCCTATCTATCCCTAATTTTTCCTATCCTCACATATCCCTAACTATCCCCTAACACAATTAAATGTTTGAAGAAAGCTCGTTTTGAAAGTCGGGAAAGGCGGGGGAAAGAGAACCCCCCTCAGTCTACTCCTCGCCCAAGGCGAGGGCATATTCGCCCTCTCGCTCTACTCCTCTCACACTCACAAATTCTCACTTTATTACCTTGTTCTTTTTCGGTTGATCCAGGACTTGAACCATCGACTGTATACTTGGTAGTTCACCGTCTTCACCACTACACCATCACTTCTTGTGGTGAAAGCCTACAGCTTTTTATTTTACTTAATCTTCTTTTGGAAGGATCTTTGATGAAATAGAAGAAAAAACATTCCCATCTGGGGCTCGAACCTCCGCCTTTAAACTCGTAGAGCACTGCTTTCGCCAGTAGACCGCAACGAGCTTGCAGTGAAAGACTATACCTTTGAATACCTTTTGGGTGGGATCTCAAATGTACTAACAATTTAAATCAGTTCCCTTTAATGACAATGTTCATGATTTTTTTTCTCATCTAAAACGCACACAACTTTGTCTTATTCGTAGCTTGTAACCTAATATTAACTATTTGTGTTGTCGCTACTCGCTAAAATATCACACTGACATATAGTTATGAAGTGTCCATCTTTCCGCAAGTTATTTATATGCGGCGCAAGTGAAGCTAACGGTTACGGTGCGATTGTTTTGTATTTCTAATGAAGTGAAATCAAAGTAAAGTACAAGAATTAACAATGCATTTTAAAATATGTTTAAAAGAAAAAAAGTACAAGAATTAAGAATAGCCGAATTCATATTAGTGACGGGAAACTCATCTTAGAAAAGATGAGGTAAAAACCCGTCTGAATATGAATTGGGATATGGATAAATTTATACGTATGATGGGTCGGGTATTGAGTAATCATTACGATAATAATTTTGTTTATTTTCGCTTAGCCTTGTTCCGTACTTGACCGTGCTGATATTTTACAAACTCTTAGTGATTTATCCGTCTAAATGCATGCGAATTTAAAACGAGTTTCTGTTCCAGACGGGATCCAGTCTAAGCTTACCCGTCTGTTAAGACGGCAAAGTTAGACGGGAAAATTCGGACGAGAAACCCGTCTGTCATTCACATCAGACGAGTTTCCCGTCTTCGATGGGTTTCCCGTCTTTAATATATGAATTCGGGTAATGTATATGACGCGTATAGTCATGAGGCTGTAAGCATTACATCTGAAATCGCAAATGAAGCAATTGACTATGTATTTCAAGACTTTAATTGTTGTATAAAAAGTAGAAATACTAGTTGTTCTAGCCAGTCCGTCGATTATAAAATACGCTAATCTAATACTTGAAGCTTTGGACTCAAGAGACCAACGTCTTAACAACTGCTTGACGACCACATCGTTTGCCGATAAAAGTTCGAAGAACTTTTAAATGAAATAATTATGAATCGTTGCTGTAATGTTGTTGAGCTGCTGTTTGTTTGTTTGTTACCGCGGGTGGGAAATTGCGCTTTTGAACAAAACTTTTTTCTTCGCGTATTTATAATCGACGAGTTATACTAGCTAGTAAACCAGCTAGTAACCTTGCTTCATTTGCGATTTCAGATGTAATGCTTGTTGCCTCGTGACTATACGCGTCATATACATTACCCGAATTCATATTAAAGACGGGAAACTCATCGAAGACGGGAAACTCGTCTGATGTGAATCACAGACGGGTTTCTCGTCCGAATTTTCCCGTCTAACTTTGCCGTCTTAACAGACGGGTAAGCTTAGACTGGATCCCGTCTGGAACAGAAACTCGTTTTAAATTCGCATGCATTTAGACGGATAAATCACTAAGAGTTTGTAAAATATCCGCACGGTCAAGGACGGAACAAGGCTAAGCGAAAATAAACAAAATTATTATCGTAATGATTACTCAATACCCGACCCATCATACGTATAAATTTATCCGTATCCCAATTCATATTCAGATGGGTTTTTACCTCATCTTTTCTAAGATGAGTTTCCCGTCACTAATATGAATTCGGCTATTCTTAATTCTTGTACTTACTTTTTTAAACATATTTTGAAATGCATTGTTAATTCTTGTACTTTACTTTGACTTCACTTCATTAAAAATACAAAACAATCGCACCGTAACCGTTAGCTTCACTTGCGCCGCATATAACTAACTTGCAGAAAGATGGACACTTCATAACTATATGTCAGTGTGATATTTTAGCGAGTAGCGACAACACAAATGGTTAATATTAGGTTACAAGCTACGAATAAGACACAGTTTTGTGGGTTTTAGACGAGAAAAAAAATCATGAACATTGTCTTTAAAGGGAACTCATTTAAATTGTTAGTACATTTGAGATCCCACCCAAAAGGTATTCAAAGCTATAGTCTTTCACTGCAAGCTCGTTGCGGTCTACTGGCGAAAGCAGTGCTCTACGAGTTTAAAGGCGGAGGTTCGAGCCCCAGATGGGAATGTTTTTTTCTTCTATTTCATAAAAGATCCTTCCAAAAGAGGATTAAGTAAAATAAAAAGCTGTAGGCTTTCACCACAAGAAGTGATGGTGTAGTGGTGAAAACGGTGAACTACCAAGTATACAGTCGATGGTTCAAGTCCTGGATCAACCGAAAAAGAACAAGGTAATAAAGTGAGAATTTGTGAGTGTGAGAGGAGTAGAGCGAGAGGGCGAATATGCCCTCGCCTTGGGCGAGGAGTAGACTGAGGGGGGTTCTCTTTCCCCCGCCTTTCCCGACTTTCAAAACGATCTTTCTTCAAACATTTAATTGTGTTAGGGGATAGTTAGGGATATGTGAGGATAGGAAAAATTAGGGATAGATACGAGTAAATTGGAGGATAAATAGGGGTAAAGAGGTTTAAATGAGTACAAAAAGACTTAAACATTTTATATACTGTTTTCTCACCTATACCCTTCCCCCTTGCTCCGGGGGCCGAGGCCGCCGCCCAATTACTAAGTCTTTTTGTACTCATATACCCCTCATTCACCCTATCTATCCAATGATTTCCCTAAAGATTAACTTTAATTTCCAAAGATTAACCGAGTATAAACCTCCCCGGAGCAACATACCTACCATTTTTTTTTCTTTTACCGCCATGAGAAACGTACCATCCCGCTCTTGATACCTCGGTCTTGTACTTGATAGTCCACGACTTTACCACAAGGCTAACTGGTGATTGTTGGAAGCCTAAACAAACTTATTCTCCATAACCTTACCATGTAATATTAATAACGAAAATTTCCACCTAAAACGAGATTCGAACCTTCGACTGTCGACACATGAGACCAATGTCTTGACCACTAGACGACGAGATCCTCTGCTGAACGGTTATGATTATTTAATTTACTATATCCTTTTCACGAAGTTCATAATGAAAAACGGTTATGGTAGGATTCGAACCTTCGAATTACTACTTGGAAGATTATTGTCTTCGCCACTAGACTACAAGATCTTGTGCTGAAAGGCTATGGTTATTTCATTTACTTTATCCTTTTCACGAAGTTCATAATGAGAAACGGTTATGACAAGATTCGAACCATCGGTTTACCACTTGGGGAACATTGCTTTCGCCACTAGACTAAAAGATCTTCTGCTGAACGGCTAAGCTTATTTAATCTACTTTATCCTTTTCACGAAGGACATAATGAAAAATTAGCATACTTGGATTCGAACCATCGACTCGGCAATTGGGAGACCATTGTCTTCACCACTGGACTACGAGATCATGTGCTGAATGGATATGGTTAATTGATTTATTTTATCCTTTTCTGGAAAGACATAATGAAAAACGGACATGCTTGGACCCGAACCCCAGGTTTGAGACATGGAAGAGCATTGCCTTAGACACTAGACCAGCAGAACTTCAGGCGAATTACTTCACTATTTTATTTTACTCAACCTTTTTTCGAAGGATTTTACATACATTTATACCAGTTTACTTTGATAATGATAATTTATTTTCTTGTCTAAAACGCACAAAACTGAATCTTATCCGTAGTTTTAACCTAATAATATCAACATTTGTGCTGACGAAAAATAACACAGCCACAGGTATGGATTCCAATGAGCAAAGGAGCAGCATTCCGTCGGCATAAGCTAGTTATATGCGGCCCAGGTGAAGCTAACGGTTGCGGTGCAATTGTTTTGTATTTTTAATGAAGGCAAGTCTCACTGTACAGGTCACAATTAAAATTTGAGGAAAATGTTAATTCAGATTCATTAGAATGTTTCAACATTTTCCACTTATTTCAACGCTGAAATTGTATTCCAAATCTCCCACATAACGCAAAAGATATTAAATAACTCTTCTTCTCTTAAGCTGCGTCTACACGCTACCATTCGCTCGTCACAACATCTTCGTTTCCATTATGAAGCAACGACTAGTAAATGCTTATTAATTTGATAGATTTGGTATATTTATTCAGGGCTTGGAAATTAAAAAACTGCACTGTCTTTCATTAACTTGAAAATTTCAGCAAAATGGTAAGGGCTGTTGTTCGTTTTCAGTATGTTAAGACATTTTAGAAAATTTTCGAAAATCGTTAATTTTGCCCAAAATGGTAGGGATGCGTATCCGTCACTATGTTGGCTGAAATTATATTTTTGAATTTTTCATTGCTTCAAAACAAATATGCTCAAAAACGAAAAAGATTAGCCTTAGTAAATATTTGAAGCCATTTTTAGCATGTTAACATATTTTCGAAAATTTTCGAAAATAGTTAATTTTGGTGGAAATTTACGAATATTTCAATGTTTCAAAAATCAGATGCGCTTAAAAACGAAAAAAACCGTCTAAGTAACCATTTTAAGGCATTTTCAGCATGCTAACACATTTTAGAAAATTTTAGAAAATCATCATTTTTGAAAGTGAATAAACAACTTAGTAATTGTTGGCATTATTATGGAACACTGTTGATAATTTGATATTTATAGAAGCTGAAAGAAAACAACTTTAATGCCTTAATATACTGCCTTTTCTTGATTCCTTTCGTGGAAATTTAATGATTTAATAAACATGTTGTTTGTGGAATTTTTGTTCAATTTATGGAAATTCCTGCCTTGCTTGATTGAAAAATTTAAATTTGAAAGTTGAAGCACGGTTTAAAATTCTTCAAAAAAGATCAGGCCAAATAAAGAACAATAGCATTTTAAGAGACACACGTTTTTAAATTTTTTTGACTTAATATTTTTTCAGTTTTTCCTTTCGCATTTTTTTCAATTTACAGTATTTTCTAAAGGCCGGGGAGTCTTTTTACTTTTTTAATCCTAAGAAAGGATTAAAACATTCCTAAAATAAATGACAATACAACAAATCAGGTACCATACATTTTGCCTGAGATCTGTAGAATAAACATTCAAATCGCTTCCAAAGTTACTTTCGGTCAGCAGAACCGGCCAAAGATGCACCAGTGACGTAAACAGATGTCACGTGGCAAAAAGCTCGATACGACGAGCCAATCCATCTACCCGAGATAACTATAACTTGAAGTGTTGCTGAGAGGACCTCGCGAGAATGCCTCAACATAAATGGAAGTAATTTGGAGGTGAAATTAGTCTATAAGAAAGGCTTGGGGAGCGTTGCAGTTCATATTTTAGCTCAACGTGTCCACCATATGCAGGGTAAATAAAAGGAACAACCTTTAAATAATTTTCCATATGTAATAAGGATAATTTGTTTAATTCACATTCTATTTTACTATTTCGATCACATTAGAGGATTAAACGACCTTCCAATCATTGACTATGTGCAATAATCACTACAAACATAAATAGTATTCATCCCCCCCCCCCGAACGTTTACACTGTGATTGAATGTATGACTGATTCGTTTGAATTTTTGCTGTTCATCACAGCACTAAAAAGTTTGAAAGAAAAATTGTACCAAATTTATTAGAAAAGATATCTGCAACGCGGCCAAGTGTTTGTTGAACGAAATTTTGTTTCCTACGAACTTTGAATGCCATCAGCAGTCTCGCCGCTTCGTTCAACGTCGCCCGAATGACGAATAACAAAATCATTACTAGTTTGACATTCGCGTACGTCCGTGCTGCACCGATGCAGCTGTAAAATTCTTAGTACAAAAAAGAACGCGAAAAATGTTCCAAGAAGTAGGCCGGCAAAAACGTCACTCCAGTGATGCTTGTAATCTGAGACACGCGACAAACCGCAGAGAACAGCTAAAAGAAGCAAAGCAAACTCAACCGCAGGCTTGAACAATCGTACACTTGCAAAGTATGTCATTCGGAGATCCACGTACAGCACCAAGAACATCATACAAAACGCTGAAAAACAGATAGAACCGATGTAAGTTGGTTTTGATGGCGCAAATGACAAAAGGTTGACACGTTTGATGCATGATAGAAAAAATTTGCATAAACATTGCTGAATTAAGAAAGGCCTAACTTAAGTTTTGATGTATAGAACGAGCATGTTCGTTTAGCGTTACCCGAAATATTTAACACGCATTTTGGTAGACTTGCAAAATTCGCTGAAATTAGGCCATTAAACAATGGTGTGAAGGAATCAATTCTTCATACAGGGTCGTCGTTTTTTAACATTTTAAGCTCTTCGAATGATAATAAAACAAAAAATGCGTCACATCATTCACATGTTATACATGCAAGGTTTCATTAGTTTAGCAAGACTAATGAGTCAATCATAATTCAATTTCTCTTCATAAAGAGGAAAATATGTGACAAAATGCTAACATTTGTCAACACAATTTGATAGGCAATTTTTTAACCAAAGTTTCGTATCTCAAAACTTCGTTCGGAACAGTTTTTTACATATCAAGTCGGAACCTTTTATGTTCTTGTCCTGTGTTTACAATAGACCCTTTCAAAAATTACGTCACAACATTACCGTTTTAAATTTAGAACCACCTTAACTGGAATGGAATTCAAGTTTTACTCTCACAAGCTATGTGCCAAGATGCAAAACATCCTTCTTCAACACATGCAAGAAAAATAGTTTTAAATTTTGACTAATAAATGTGGAAATAAGTCGTAACACTAAAACGAGGCTACTAGGCCACGACCTCGTTCTTGTGTTATGGCTTATTTTCACACTTGTTTGTTGAAATGAATAAGGATGTTTTGCAATCTTTCCACATAGATGTTATGATAAATGTGATCTAATGACGTTAAAATTTGTGATGGCACTGCGAGCTGTAGAGTGGTACTGTAGATGACAGCTTATAGAATTAAAATTAAATTGAGGAAGAAGATGTCGTGTACACGGCACCAACAGCGACTAAATATTCGTGTGCTCATGGTAATAAAATATTTTACAGCGAAAACTGCATACACAATCATATACTGTATATAGGCAATCTACAGCACAAGCGATTCTAAGAGAAATTTGGACAGTTCGTGAGGGAGCCGCTGAACCAGAAATACGTTAACTTTTGTTGAGCCCTATCTTAATCGTTAATGGTTACTGGAGAGATCTCGTTGTTTTCGAGAGCTGTTTCACCTTAATTGATCGATCATTCTATTTGCTAAAGTGGAATCCAGCTGTAGCTATGACTATGAGTAGACTGGGATTACCATCAGTGTAGTTGAGCGAGACATTTAATAGAAGTGGAACTAATATTCAACATATATTACACCATTTAAAAAAATTCACTGGTTGCCGCACCTTTTGGTATTATCAAATTTGGTATTGAATAATATATACCTGCAAATGACGAATGTCCAGATGGGAAAGAAAGTCTTGCTTCTTTTATGAGATCTGTATCTCCAGTGCATACGTCGTCTGTTATAAAGTTCCTGTGAAATTCTGTTGTACAATTCAGGTGGGCAAAATCAGGTTTACAAACCGCCAGAAAATGTGGACGCAATCTGCCAACCGTGTACTTTCCAACATCAGTGAGGACCACTGTGGCTGCCGCACCAACGAGAAAACATATGTAAACAACACAAAGCCATCGAAACCTAAAGGATAATGAAATCATTCACAGCATCAGGAATAGAGTTTTTTTCTTATCTGAATGGTTGGTCGTAAAAGAAGACCTTTAAAAACAGACTAGAGTAAAACGGTTCTGGAGCAGGTATGTAGCATGCTCTTAGGATATCTGCATTAGTGTAGTTCCATAGTAGACTACGTGTACCATCTTCAGTATTCTACCGAATATCAAGATCCTGCCTGCCAGAAAATACTTACTTGGAATTCAGAAAGCTTATGTTAGAATAATAAGAACTAGAACTACACTAAGTCCTACCTAATAAATATTATCTTAAATATTGGTAATCAATATAATCCAGCTATTCTGATAATTATGACATTCCGTATGGTTTCAAGACAGTGGCGTAGCAAGAACAATAATTGGGGGGGGGCCATATTCATATATTCGTGATATGCAGGATTAATTTCTTTTCAAATCAATTGTCTTTACAGTCTATTAACATAAATATATGAATATGGGCCTCCCAATTATCGATTTTGGTTACTGTATGCCACTGTTTCAAGACCAAGCAGAACCACTTCCAATCCTAGAGTCTTTGTTTTCTGATATAACCAGGGAGCAGCGTGGCAGCATCTTCAAACAACTTAGCATCAACTGTAGTATAACAACTGCCTTAAATAGACAAAACACTTCTCAATGTTTCGACCTGACAGCCTTCATCAGGGGAGTTAGTATGACATACTAACGTACATAACTCTCCTGACGAAGACCCTTGTCTATTTTAGGCAGTTGTTACACCACAAGAACCACATTTGATGCTCTTTGTTTTAATTCTCACTAGAGAATCAGTCATTATGAGATTACTAAATTTAAATTCCTTTAGTTACTCCAATTCTCTGCCATTGCATGTCTAGTAATGTTTTGTTAATTTTTGTAACACTGTTTTTCTGAGTGCAAATAAATTGATTTCATTTCATTTCATTATCCATTCTACAAGTTAGGATACTAGTATACCCGTTCTACTAGTATAAATTCTCGGGCAACCTTGACTGCTGTATTCCTTAGGATTCGCCACAAATTGGAGGTGTAACAGTACACAGGATGGCAAAATTCTACTGTATAATTATAAAAAATTGTTTGAGAATATTGGGGGCCATTTCCTTATTTAAATTGCCATGCAAAGGATCAAATTGACATTAGAGTAGATGGATTAAAACTGGAAAAATGTGGCAGCATTCATACAATTCATTGATTGTGCATTGAAACGAAATCCACATAAAATTCTTTTGCTTTTCTTTGACCAGCTTACATATACTGCAAAATATATATGAAATTCTTAGAAGCAAAGACAATCAGTTGTGTGTGTCAAACAGTTGCGAATAATAATCACATTATTGTGAATTACAATTTCGGTGGCTAGATACCATAAATTAATGACACGGGTTCCCTTTTTTTTGGTCACCCTGTACATTGTCGTGACATGGCGTTTTAATTTTAGCTGAATGTTTTAACGTATTTGTATTTCACGATCATATTCGATATATTAAATATAACAAAGATCGGTGTATAAACAAAGACTTTTTTAAATATTTTCTATAAAATATTGTATAAAATATTCCTACAGATGCCCTTTGGGCCTAGCTTACCAATGAGATTTGTAGAAAGGCTTTGATCTGTCTTTTCTCATTTCGCGAAACTTTGGTAATTCGATGAGGAGGATAGCAAATACAGGAAGAAGTACGCCGACAACGCCAGCAATTGTAGATGACACGGTCGAATCCTTGAAAGGTTTACTGATACTTTCATCGTCACAGAAGAAACCTCTATGATACGGTTCACCCACACCTTGAAACAAAATCACGATGATCAACAACGAAGCCAAACATACAACGTTGAATATAACTGCTTTCGGTACGTTTACAGCCATTATGATCGCAAAATCTAAACACACAATATTTACAATAAGAATTATTATAAATATTCGAGAATTATTACACAATAAACATTCGACAAACTTTATCCGTATCTTAGGACGGCAGGCGCATTAATAATGGAAGAACTTCATGTAGATGAACCAGTTTAACTTTTTAGAAACTTGAAAGTTGAAGGTACAGAAAATTTAGGAGGTCCACTATGGGTGATGGGTCCACCAGCGAAACATTTTTTCCTCTTTTACGTTAACACTAAAAGCTATTCTTTAGAAAAACTTGTGTTAATGTGTAGTTACCAAAGTTACAAACACCAGGCACACCCAACGATGAAAAATGACCCGGCTTCTGGAAATTGCATGTAACTGAACACGTTAGCTAACCATAATTTACCATATTTTAAGCCTAAAGCAATGAAATTGCCTTTATTTAGCTGTAAATATTTTGCCTCTGAGCTGAACTGGAACAACTAAAATTGGTGCAAAAATAAACATTTGGCAAGCTGTAAATATGAAACTCAGTTCTACGATCTGTCACAAAACACGTCGTTATTTTACTCAGGCTCAGTAAACGAAATACAATTATTTAGTTAATCTATCTAAACAACAAATGAGTTTAACGTCGTTCGTTTGAGTTATTTTGCACGAATGTAAGGGTGAATGGATTATTTTGTTCGCTAAGAAAAACGATAAGGTGGCTCCCTACAGTTTCTCGAAAATTTTAATGCACATTTTTAAACAGGGATATTCAGCATCTAAACGTTTGACTAGAAGACTAAAGTTTTATATATCTTTCTGGCAACATACCTAGAGCCAAAATCTATTCAGAAAAGGGCGCTTATACACCCTAGATGCTTTATTGATAGTAAAGTTTTTAAAAAATTCTGTCTAGTGCGATTTTTTCTCATTGAAAAATACGTTATTTTAGTCCTTTAAAAAATCGCACTAGACAGAATTTTTTTAAAACTCTACTATCGATAAACCATCTATGGAGTAAAATTATGATGAAAAAAAAATTGGGGGAGTAGGTAGCCCCCCCCATATAGCGAGGAAATCACGCACCGCGTGGACCCCACGCGGGACGTCGGAGACTATCGGATTTTCCCGAAGATATGCGTGGTCTCCACGCATGATGAGAGTGTGACGTTAGTAAACCTTAATTAAGTACACAGTAAAGATTTGCCAGGAAAATATTTTATTTGTCAGGGTACACATTTAGTATTTAGTACAATAATAGTATTTTCATAACATTAGGACTGTTTATTTTAAAAGTTCGTTTTCTATGTATGCTTTGCGATGCTTCCCCTCTGATAGTTCATACTTTAATTTTTATTTGTTCGTAACATGTGTCAATATGCCCATAACGAATGCACGAGCGCCATATTATTTCCATACACCAATTGTCATGTTATCGACAAGAGCATCCAAGATTTCATAACGTTTGTCAATATATCCATGACGAACGCAAGCGCGCCAAATCATTCGAATAAACCGTTTGTTTGTAAATGTTTGACTTTCATCTCAGATAGGTATCCATCTTTCTTTTGCCTTGTCATTTAGAATTTTATTTTCAAGACTGGAAAAACACATGTCGATACGTTGTATAAGTTCGTCCTTCCATAGAAATCTGATGTTGGCTGTCATAATGTCGAATGATAAGTAATATGCTGTAGCGTTTTCACAGTAAATGAAGCATCTTCGGTTACAAGATCCGCCTATTGTTAACGAAACTCAAACCTAATATCCCTTTTAATGTTGGCGATACTGCGATAGTAATGAATTGATAAGACAATAGAGGGATTAATGTGAATATAATTAATTAGCTAAAAGCATTGCATTGAAACGTTTCCCCTGGTTGAACAAATATTATACACTAAAGGATTTGGGGTAAAAATTTTTTACTCAATTTACTAACCCTATTAGTGAGGTGGCTATTAATATTAGCGACACTGGGATATAATGAATTGATCAGATACAGAGGGATTAATGTGAATATAATTAATTACGCCAGAAGCGTTGCATTGAAACGTATCCCCTGGTTAGTTTACATATAAATATTACACGCTAAAAGATGATTCAGGGGAAATAAGTTTACTCAATTTTCAAACTATTTGCCTTAATGCATAATTTGACTGAAGTGACTCTTTCACAGTGACATTGTGAAACAAAGCGAAAGTACGTGTGAGGAATAGTAACGATTTAGTTCATTGATGATGAGAATAATGTGTGTATGATTAATATGAAATTATTAATATCATAGAGATTTCGTTTACGTTCTTTCGAAAATTTGGGGGTTCTTAAAAAAGAACCGGTTTTTTTCTTTTTCTTCTTCTTTTCCTTGCTTTAAATCTTCTCCAGCTACATCGAGAAGGCCTCAACTTCGACTTTGGCACAGTGTTGGTACGCCCAGGCATCCAAGAGTCTGCCACAGGTCTCTAACCAGCCCAGCTGATCAAACAGTTTTCTGCTTTGGGGCAGCCAAAGCATTCCAAATTAACTGAAGGGATGCTTAGTTTTTTTAGAAAATCCCTTTCAATAATTCCGCCTTTGTAGGCAATCGTAGAGTTTGGGTTATTTTTTATTTTCCTGTAGAAATTATCCACGATTGCCTCCAACTGCGAAATATGGAATGCTTTGACGCCCTGCGGCACCCCAAACGGTAGTTTGTGGATTTTCTTCTGTACGAATTTGCACGCCTTTTGGTCTTTTTCACTTAAATCCGACCAACGAAGCCCAATATTAAAAAAAGAAGGATTGCCCGTAGGTATCCCGACTTTGATGATACGGAGCTTCTTGCAGCGGAATTCTCTTCCTACTCGAAATCCGTCCATATTCACGACAGCTACGATGTCATTTTTGCAAGCCATTGCGAACGATGAGCGTGATTTGTGAGCTGACTCAAATATAAAGCGAATTAATTTCGAAAGTGGGCCTGCCGTTCACACTTGGCTTAATATCTCGTAAACTTTTCATGAAGTTTTCTGCGATCGTCGCTTCACAAACCCTCTCCAATGCCTCGTCAAAGTACATACATATGGAAAGAAGAAAGTTTCAGATATGGATTAACGATTTTAACATTTATTTGTCTTGCAATTAGTTACAGCAATAAATAATAATTTCTTCTAAAACGTTTTTTTACCATTGGACTAAATTTAAAGTCTAATTATCATCATCGTCATAATCTTCACTGTCTTTATTTTCCTCGTCATCATCAATCTCGTGGTCGCTTAAAAGCTTTTTAATAAGAAACTTTCTCTTATCAACTGCAGCTTCTATTGCTTCTTCTGGCTCAAAATCATCATTTTGAATAAACGCATCTTTTGTGTTCATTATTTTCTTATGTACTGGATCTTTCTTTAGTTGTCTTATCCACAAAAGGCGCTCTAAGTAGATATTTTCTAATTCTTTCTGGAGTCTAGGCATAATATTCAAGTAAGCTTTCTCTTTAGCAGAGTGCTCATCGAAACCTCTGTTTATGAGGCGTTCTTTCATTTCCTCGAAAGCTGTGTTACTTCTTTGTTTTGCTTCTTCTATTAGTGGTATCCAGGGATCCATTTCCTCTCCAGATTCTGAGTCAGTCGCCGTCGAACTTCCAGACTGCTGAGTAGAAGTTGTTGAGACATCGTCACGGAAATCTCTTTCTTGACTGTCCGAGTCTGTTTGAGACATGTTTTGTTCTCGTAATGGACAGTATTCCTGTTCGTGTCTACGCTGATTGTAACCGCGATTAAAGTATCTTCCGCAAAATTGGCAGCTCATTCCCTTAGCACTGGAGGCGTGAAAATGCCTTGTTATCGAGCAGTAATGCAGTTTTATGAGCAGATGAGCATGTACTCATGAGCAGTTATGAGCAATCTGCTCATCGCATAAAATTTGTAACCGATATTCCACCTCTAATTTGAAATGGAAAAAAACTTCCCCAAACAAATGTTTAAGATATTTGTAAAATTGTTCTACTTAGATATATTGTTACAAGCGTTAATACGTGTCTTAATTTATGGTCCAAGCAACGCGTTGATTACAAATTTTATGCGATGAGAAGATGAGCACATGCTCATAACTGTTCATGAGCAGATGCTCATCTGCTCATCGCATAAAAATTGCAACCGACAATATTTTTTTAAATTGAACAATATAAATTATATTATATTGGGCCTAAAAAATTTGAACCGGGTGCCATTTTATGCGATGAGCAGATGAGCACATGCTCATAACTGCTCATGAGCACATGCTCATCTGCTCATAAAACTGCATTACTGCTCGATAACAAGGCATTTTCACGCCTCCAGTGCTAAGGGAATGAGCTGCCAATTTTGCGGAAGATACTTTAATCGCGGTTACAATCAGCGTAGACACGAACAGGAATACTGTCCATTACGAGAACAAGAAAAAAACATGTCTCAAACAGACTCGGACAGTCAAGAAAGAGATTTCCGTGACGATGTCTCAACAACTTCTACTCAGCAGTCTGGAAGTTCGACGGCGACTGACTCAGAATCTGGAGAGGAAATGGATCCCTGGATACCACTAATAGAAGAAGCAAAACAAAGAAGTAACACAGCTTTCGAGGAAATGAAAGAACGCCTCATAAACAGAGGTTTCGATGAGCACTCTGCTAAAGAGAAAGCTTACTTGAATATTATGCCTAGACTCCAGAAAGAATTAGAAAATATCTACTTAGAGCGCCTTTTGTGGATAAGACAACTAAAGAAAGATCCAGTACATAAGAAAATAATGAACACAAAAGATGCGTTTATTCAAAATGATGATTTTGAGCCAGAAGAAGCAATAGAAGCTGCAGTTGATAAGAGAAAGTTTCTTATTAAAAAGCTTTTAAGCGACCACGAGATTGATGATGACGAGGAAAATAAAGACAGTGAAGATTATGACGATGATGATAATTAGACTTTAGTCCAATGGTAAAAAAACGTTTTAGAAGAAATTATTATTTATTGCTGTAACTAATTGCAAGACAAATAAATGTTAAAATCGTTAATCCATATCTGAAACTTTCTTCTTTCCAGCCGCATATGTATGTACTTTGACGAGGCATTGGAGAGGGTTTGTGAAGCGACGATCGCAGAAAACTTCATGAAAAGTTTACGAGATATTAAGCCAAGTGTGAACGGCAGGCCCACTTTCGAAATTAATTCGCTTTATATTTGAGTCAGCTCACAAATCACGCTCATCGTTCGCAATGGCTTGCAAAAATGACATCGTAGCTGTCGTGAATGGACGGATTTCGAGTAGGAAGAGAATTCCGCTGCAAGAAGCTCCGTATCATCAAAGTCGGGATACCTACGGGCAATCCTTCTTTTTTTAATATTGGGCTTCGTTGGTCGGATTTAAGTGAAAAAGACCAAAAAGGCGTGCAAATTCGTACAGAAGAAAATCCACAAACTACCGTTTGGGGTGCCGCAGGGCGTCAAAGCATTCCATATTTCGCAGTTGGAGGCAATCGTGGATAATTTCTACAGGAAAAAAAAAATAACCCAAACTCTACGATTGCCTACAAAGGCGGAATTATTGAAAGGGATTTTCTAAAAAAACTAAGCATCCCTTCAGTTAATTTGGAATGCTTTGGCTGCCCCAAAGCAGAAAAACTGTTTGATCAGCTGGGCTGGTTAGAGACCTGTGGCAGACTCTTGGATGCCTGGGCGTACCAACACTGTGCCAAAGTCGAAGTTGAGGCCTTCGCGATGTAGCTGGAGAAGATTTAAAGCAAGGAAAAGAAGAAGAAAAAGAAAAAAAACCGGTTCTTTTTTAAGAACCCCCAAATTTTCGAAAGAACGTAAACGAAATCTCTATGATATTAATAATTTCATATTAATCATACACACATTATTCTCATCATCAATGAACTAAATCGTTACTATTCCTCACACGTACTTTCGCTTTGTTTCACAATGTCACTGTGAAAGAGTCACTTCAGTCAAATTATGCATTAAGGCAAATAGTTTGAAAATTGAGTAAACTTATTTCCCCTGAATCATCTTTTAGCGTGTAATATTTATATGTAAACTAACCAGGGGATACGTTTCAATGCAACGCTTCTGGCGTAATTAATTATATTCACATTAATCCCTCTGTATCTGATCAATTCATTATTATCCCAGTGTCGCTAATATTAAAATAGCCACCTCACTAATAGGGTTAGTAAATTGAGTAAAAAATTTTTACCCCAAATCCTTTAGTGTATAATATTTGTTAGCAAACCAACCAGGGGAAACGTTTCAATGCAATGCTTTTAGCATAATTAATTATATTCACATTAATCCCTCTATTGTCTTATCAATTCATTACTATCGCAGTATCGCCAACATTAAAAGGGATATTAGGTTTGAGTTTCGTTAACAATAGGCGGATCTTGTAACCGAAGATGCTTCATTTACTGTGAAAACGCTACAGCATATTACTTATCATTCGACATTATGACAGCCAACATCAGATTTCTATGGAAGGACGAACTTATACAACGTATCGACATGTGTTTTTCCAGTCTTGAAAATAAAATTCTAAATGATTTGACGGAAAAGGCAAAAGAAAGATGGATACCTATCTGAGATGAAAGTCAAACATTTACAAACAAACGGTTTATTCGAATGATTTGGCGCGCTTGCGTTCGTCATGGATATATTGACAAACGTTATGAAATCTTGGATGCTCTTGTCGATAACATGACAATTGGTGTATGGAAATAATATGGCGCTCGTGCATTCGCTATGGGCATATTGACACATGTTACGAACAAATAAAAATTAAAGTATGAACTATCAGAGGGGAAGCATCGCAAAGCATACATAGAAAACGAACTTTTAAAATAAACAGTCCTAATGTTATGAAAATACTATTATCGTACTAAATACTAAATGTGTACCCTGACAAATAAAATATTTTCCTGGCAAATCTTTACTGTGTACTTAATTAAGGTTTACTAACGTCACACTCTCATCATGCGTGGAGACCACGCATATCTTCGGGAAAATCCGATAGTCTCCGACGTCCCGCGTGGGGTCCACGCGGTGCGTGATTTCCTCGCTATATGGGGGGGGCTACCTACTTGGGGGTCACCGAACTCGTTTGCGATATAAACTCGATTAAATGCTTTTTAGCGGCCATTTTGAAACGTCTCTGTTGCTATAGCAATGACAAGCACAAGTTCTGAATAGATTTCTGCTTTAGGTATGTTGCCAGAAAGTTACATAAAATTTTAGTCTTCTAGTCAAACGTTTAAATGCTGGATATCCTGATGATGTTTGAAATGTGCATTAAAATTTTCGAGAAACTATAGGGAGCCACCTTAAATCAATACCAATACAACATTTGTTCAATACCGACAAATACCATTTCTAGCCATAGGTGGCCCAGAACTGATCTCGCTGACCTCGCGCGACGCTCATGTTGTCTGAACAGTCTTATATTATGACATAATATAAGACTGTTCAGACAACATGAGCGTCGCGCGAGGTCAGCGAGATTAGCGAGATCAGTCTGGGCCGCCTATGTTCTAGCTTACTTTGCCTTCAAAGTACTATATACAACCCGAGTACCTTTTGCTCAAAATTCTAAATTGTTATAGACATCATATTTGCATGATTCTTTCTGCATCACATTGTGGTCATCAGGTCAGCGCAAGTATTAAAAAGGCATTCGTGGAACATTTTTAAAGGATTCTAAAGGCGCCTGAATATAATAATGAGCAAAACTATTATACGTGATTACCAAAATTTCTGGTCCGGTGTTTTCTTGCAATGAGCCGAAATTAAAAATTAAAAGGCATGTCAAACGTTTTGTCATTTGTCTACAACGGTACAACCTTTAAGCAGAACCTCAATTTTAAGCTTTATGTACAGAGAAGAATGCATGCAAACAAGAGCAAACCTATACCTAAATTAAATGGTAATATCATATAGATTCATATCGAATGATAGTAATTTCCCGTGATGGAAAATTAGAAGTTAAAAAACAATATTCCTATATGTATAGGAATATAAGCCTTCGGCTTATGTTATGCTTCAATTTTTCAGCTTTTTGTTCAATTTAGTAATAAATATATACACGAAATATAAATATGCATGTTTATAAATTAACCCCAGATAATAAAGTTGCAATTAAGACAGTTAATGAAATGATTCAACACTTCAGAAATTTAATTAAAACCCGGCGTGTTCTAAATTAACATACAATTATTAGCATATCATATATTTTTTAGCTACACACGTATTTCAAACTAATATATATGAAGTTAATTGCATGCATGCATGATATTAGTTCCTTGACATTTTAATAGAAATATGAGAATGTTTTCCACATCTTCAAATTGTATATTATTAAAAGCCTTAAAATATTAGCTAATAATATGTTATATGGCCGGAACTAATGGAAGTTCATTATATTATAGACCGCGGTTGTTTAAAGGCTGCCTAGCTATATATGCATTAAATATATACACGAAAATATAAATATGCATGTTTATAAATTAACCCCAGATAATAAAGTTGCAATTAAGACAGTTAATGAAATGATTCAACACTTCAGAAATTTAATTAAAACCCGGCGTGCCCTAAATTAACATACAATTATAAAAGCATATAATTACTCCATACCGAAGTTTATTGACAATTTTAGCTTGCATGCAGCTCTTTGCTTTGTAAGAGCAAAATGAAAAAAAATCTCTTATAAGAATGCATGATCGTGAAAGATTGTTGGGGGGGTTAATATTTTTATATTCGCTTTTAGCATTGGTAGTTTCTTTTCATTTGTTTACTCATTTAACGATCGCCAATTTAATTTGGTCGGCAAAATTTCTGTTATTTTATTATGTTTATATAACGTTAGAAAAATAAAGTTGTAGGTTAATTTACTGTTTATTAAGTTAGTCAATGAATATATAACTTTACGCCTCTACCATAGAGTTTCATTAAATTACTTTAGCTTATATAGTTGCAATTAATTTGGATGATTATAAAATTGATTGATGTTTTCGACTTAACCACCGTTAAACCAAGCAAAATTTTCAAAAACTGACCACATTATGAAATCATAGTTATGATAAAGTTATTATACATGTCTATAAATTTCTCAACCTGTGTCGGGTTATATATAGAAACCGGTAATGCATATGTAGATATTAAATGTTAACATGTAAATTAAATGTCCGATAAAGACTAATTAAGTACCTTCATGCGAATGCGCGGACAATATATTAATATAGGCATGCGTCCATGCTTCCAGTTCAGTTTCCAACGACGGTCGAGCAGGAACACGAAAAACAACTATCAACCTTTTGTCTGTTTTGTAAGAACAATATGAAACACTTTCTTAAATCAGCATTTTTATCGGTAAAATTTCTGTTCCTTGTCTTGTTACCGCTGGCTGTTAAAATGGAAGAGTACTGCAGTGACGAAGATGCAACGAACATTGCAACACCTTTTCACATGTTTTTAAAAGGTAACATGCGTGCATACAATATAAATTTCTTTTGTCTGAATGACATAAATTTAACCTCACAAACAAGGCTTGATGCGTAGAGAGAAACCGCCATAACAGTATGGGTTAATTTTCGGTTGAAAATACATGCATGCATGCATGTTTATATTTGGGTTTAAAGCGTTATATACCACCATTTAGAAACGTTGAATCATGAATTGTACTTTTATAATGTAAGGAAGAGTCATTTTAAGCAGGTTTAAGTATGGTTTGAACATTCATAATTTAATGTACAGTTATTTTATAATTATGTATGCGGAGGGTCAAGTCGTATTTCCCCGCTGTGCGCAGATATATGATAGCAATATACGATCTTGTCTAAATTTTGAATAAAAATGCGAAAAAAGACCTACATCTATCAATCCCATTTTTTACAAGCTTCGAAACATATAATTACTAGCTATATGTAATATATACATGTTTATGTTTATAACATTAATAGATAAATAAAAATGTAGGACAGTTCATATAAAATTTCAAGCGCAATCGTTTCATGCTACACAATAAAAAATTAAAGACGTTTCTTCAATATTAGAAAAAACAATGGCGCTCAAAGCAACGTGGCGAACTAAAATTGCACAGCAAGTTTTCAATGTCCATCTTGATTATAGATGTCTGTCCTCTAACAAAAAACAAGCTATATGAATCCACGTATGGTTTGCACAGCAGTTGCGCTCAGAAATGTTTACAAAATCCATTCTGTGCTGGGTACAACTTCAATAAAAAGAAAGTGAAGCCAAACTGCCAGTTAACAAACACACTCGACCACGACTTTGGTGATTGCAACATAAATGACAAGGGCTGGATATTTTACCATCCTGTAGCCCCAAGAAAGGTAAAATGCAACAACCTCAATTAGATATATATCTATAGATTTGCACTATCTTGGTGTAATCACAGACAAAATATATTTGGGGCATCGAATACTAACTGCCCGAGCCATGTGCAAGAGTACTAATTACTCCCGGAATACGAAATTGAAGTTGTCTGCCATTATGTCATAGACGTGGCGTTTTTGTAAATCATGCATATGCGTATGCGCGATTTTAAGACGAGTTCAAAGTTCAAACTGGTAACTAGCAAAGTTAAGGTTTGCTGAATCTAAACTGATTTTGGTTCGCGTCAGCATACTGACTTAAATTTTTCATAATACTGATAATAGTTTTTCAAAACTTCAAAATACTTCATATCATTTAATCGAAATCGTAAAATTGTTTGAATATATATATAGTTTAGTATTTTCAAGCACGAAGCCGGTTGTAAGTTTATATGGGGATTTACCAAGAAATGAATGACACTCTTTGAAGTTTTTCATAGCACATTTATTGTTGAATATATATGATAGCTGGAGTTGAATTTGATAGCTGGAGTTGCATCTGACGGGAAGTCGATTTTCCAACTAATATTTTGAATGATGTAATAATACCGAATTAATTTACGTAATTAGAAAGCTCCAACAAATTTCGAAGATTTAATTTCATTTTTTATAATAGGGTCAAAAATCATTAACAGTTATTTTGCGAACTCGAGTCGTATATGCGCTGAGCTATTAGTATTGCATATATACGACGAAAGTGAGCGGAATAACTGTTTTATTATATACACAAGCGTTGCATGGATAAAAACATCTTTCAAATTTATTCGCATTAGTGACACACACTCATATATATACACGCATTAGTGGCATACACTTTTTAAAAATTGAATAATTGAATCCCGTATATCGTGTTTTTTTTGAACATTTTAATACAGAAGGACGGAGACGAAACCATTTTTGTAAAAAAAAGTTGAATACATTTGTTTCAAAGTCGCTTAACTCCCCAAATCTTGCCGCCATTTTGTTTACCTTTCTGGCTCTATACTAGACAGATTGCGTACGTTTGTTGCGTATTTCGCACAAATGCTTAATTATTTATCACGACTTACACAGCAACATAAAACTGCGAAATCGTGCGTTATTATTATCACTTTCGAAAGTACGTTTATGACAAATGAGGTTTTTAGCACCATACAAGTTATTGTTGAATACTTTGCTAAACTTCTATGGGCATGGGATACCAACTTCATATCAACGGGAAAGGTTTATGTAATGTAGTTGACCTGTGATTTTTGTGTAAGCATTGAGCACGGAGATAAATCGTTAGTATTCCTATTTATTCAGGTGCCATGCAGTAAAATGAAGCGTTGCAAATATGGCGGTAAAACGATTATTGATCTTCGAAATGGACCTGGATCTGATCCATACCGATGCAAATGCCCAAAAGCATACAAAGGAGATCTTTGTGAAATCTGTAAGTATATATATATATATATATATATATATATATATATATATATATATATATATATATATATATATATATATATTCAATTTACAAGGCTCTAAGAGAAACTAAATGCAAGGAACTATGACGAATTTATATATTAATATTAATATGGTAGAGTATATAGTTTTATATAATAATATAACAAATTGATCAGTCGTTGCTTGTTTATTTTGTCAGACATTTTAGTACGTGTCTTAAGCTAGCCAATAGCATTCCTCTATTCCTATAGATCATGTACGCGTCCAATATTTTTAATTTTTTTACTATTTTTCTCCAAGTAGGGAAAACAAAACACTATCTAGTCCTTATCACAAATAACGTCATACCGACAGTAAATCTATAACTGAACAGACAACGGTTCAATGTTATCTGTTAAGCTTCATTCTTGTTTAGCCACCCTAGCTCAGTCAGTGATATTGCTTGAAGAACCAACTTTACGAGCAACGTTATCAGCGTGGATCCCAACAGCCGGACATTGGACAATCTGTTGGCGTGCAACTACTGACGGATGGTCGGCCTCTACTTTTCATAGAAATTGTGATCACAAGAAGCCAACTGTGACTATTATTAAAGTTGATCAATATATCTTCGGAGGCTACGCTACAGCATCATGGGAAGGTAAGGCTAGCGATTCTAAACGCCTCACTATTTGCAGTATTTAAAAAATGAGAGGAATTTTTGTGAGATTTGAATATATTTCAGTATAGAGTGAATATATTTAAGCAGCTGAATTTTTGCACACACGTTTTTCATGAATATTTACTCCTGAAAGATAATTGTTAAATCATCAAATTGATTTTAATCTTCATCATATCCATTTTTAAATAAATTATGTTTGTGGTGGGTTTATCATTTAATTGTGATTATTATTTATCTAAAATAATTCACAGCCTCTGATTGGCTAATAGCCATGTATGAAATCGTCATGTCCAACGTGTGACGTCATAACGTGTGATACGACTCTTTACTTGCACGCTATTACGTCATAACGTGTGATAAATAGTCGTATCCCACGTTATGACGTCACACCAATGACGAAGACATCAACGTCTCAAAGGAGCGGGAATGTGAAACCGACACAAATTTAAGCGAACAATTCAAGTAACAACTCAGCCCTCGGCTTCGGTTGATAACCACAAACTTCGGTTTGATATTTCTTCATATAATGTTCAACCTCATTCAGCATTAATCGCCTTCTCATATTATCATTTCAGCATTAATCGACTTTATATCAGGTTGATTTTGTGCGAGCGGTGAAATCACTTCGACGATAGATATAATCAAAGTGAAAATGAGTAAATTTAAAATCAGACAATTAGAAAACACGAATAAAACATAAAGTATATTATTATTTCGATTTTTTAAAAGAAATGCTTCATGACAAATTGAAGAGGGGTATGGTTCGCGCTTTTATATATAATATAGTTAGAAAATATATGTTCATGCATGATGGGGGCGTTGCATGTGAAAACTTATTAATAAACCGTGAAACACATCGTTAAAGAGATAGTTAATAGTCAAAAAACTTTGCCTTACCAATGAAAACGCTATGTTGCAACCAAATTCGAGTTATATATACGAAATCATCAACAATATTAGCCTTTTTCACGATGACGAATATGCCATCATTTTTGGGGTACTTTTTTCAAAAACCGTGCTCGGTTACGGCGACTGTCTTTAATTTTAGGCTGAATTTAATCTTCAAATGGTCTGTTTATTAAAAAAAATTGCTTTTGATGCTTAAACATATTTTTTAAACCCATTTCAGAAAATTGAAAGCACCCCAAAACGTCATCGCGTGAGAAAGGCTAATAGGACTAAATCCATACCTTTTAATTTGAAATATCGCGATATTAATATTAGCTATATATAGATTATTCAAAATTTATGTGAAAAGTGAAATTTTGAGAACTGAATGTCTCTTAACTACAAATTGACAAACAAAAAGTCCTTTAAAGCACTCAAACACAATGTGCGCATATTTCACGAACTATAGGCTTTTGAGTTATACATTTTGATATAAATTGGTAAAAAATTCATCAATTTATAAGTCTCTTTTCGGACTTTATGTGCCCTATACCTAGCTGTGGTGAAACCTTTTATGTACAAAATTAATGCAGTTTCTATCGTCGACTTTCTTCAATCGCCTACTTGCCACCGACTTTGTTTTCAAAACTTGCTAGGAATGTTTATCGTATCGTATGAAAACAGCTTTATAAAAACAGTTCCTGGCATCTCCGAATTAACATTTTAATTCATTTTTTACGAGTTCAAAGTCAATATCTCAAAGAATTTACACTAGGACATTTTTAAGAAGAAAACCATGCACCCGCATTCCAAAACAAATATCATTCTGCGGTAATTTTAAGCAACGCTGCAGTCTGCGGACACAATTTAAATTTTGTTTATTAATAATAACGTCACTCATCTAAAAAAGCCAATCGCCTCGCGTCTTTTACTATCAAGCCTGCATGTATCAGTCTCTTCTCGCTTAAAATTGAGTTTTTACTCTACATTTGAATGCAAATCAACCAACTAAAAATGGTAACATAGAGATGTAAAGTATAGAAAGCAAAATAGATGGGGGGCAGGAGCTTTTAACGTATAGAAAATAAGGGTGTTAAGGAAATTCTTTATTACTGGACGCGCGTGTTTAATGCGCCATGATAAGATAATGAGAAGAAAAAGAAAGTACGATAGCTGCTTGGCTTGGATTTGTTGCGGTACGGCTATATGCATGAATATATATTATATGTTTCATGATCTATTATACGATTTATATACGAAATATACAAATATCAAACAATTGACTAAGAGGAAAAACTACTGAATAGTACGTGGTGTGCTCTTCAATGCATGAACACTAATTGGGATTTTATTTGTGAGTGTGATTTTCTCAACAAACAGTTTCGTAAAACGCGTAAGTTACGCAGTTTAAGGTGACTTGGTACTTCAACAACGAGTTTTAGTTAAGTGTACCTGTGTACATAGAAACAAGCAGAAAAAAACAAGGAAGAATCTGCTGTTCTATGAATTGTCTGGGTTTGTGAAGACGTCGGGAAACTTTCCAGTGCATGGTGGTAGAGCATGCACTAGAGCTATAGCTATTCTCCTGGGGCCGGTTGTACAAAACCCTTTAACCACATTTTGCAAAGTAAATCCTATAGTGAACTCAGAAATACACGGCTCTGATTGGCCAATTCTGTCCTTAGAAGTTAACTACAGTCTTTTATACTATTTTCTAACCGGCCACTGGACAATAATAGCCATGCATACGTATGATAGTGATTATAATCATGCTAATTTTACCTAACCATTATTATGGTCGCATGCGTTTATATTTTTATTACTCCTTACTTAATTGTATATTGTGTGATATAGTTGTGAGTTGTTGTTTAACGGTGAGTGGAAGGGTTACTCAAGGGTTACTTAAGGGTTTTCAAAGATGTTTGAATGATAACAATAAAATGTAGTGATGAATCACTAAAATGGTCGGAATTTGGGCGTCATCAAACGCGTATAGCTGTGCAATGCTTTTATCGACTTACCATTGGTTTGAATGCCCGCCCCAGCCCACTCTATTTTTCAACCACAAATTACTTGCAGCATGATATTCGATTATAATAACGAATTAGCGAATAGAATTGTGCCAAATGATAGGATTTGGCAATCATATAATATAATTTGACTCTATATGCGTTTATCTGGTGTTCAACGGGAATAACGAAATTGGGTAACAGGTGCAAAATGAACGCGACAAAAACTTTACCATATTTTTCATTATAACAGGAAGTAGATGCAAACAAGCGCAAGGTTCATTCATTTTCTCATTACGGAATAACGAAAGTCATCCGCCATTTCAAGCTCAATGATTGATCAAAACACAGTGTATGCAATTTATGCCTACCCAGATTACGGACCAACTTTTGGAAATGGTTGGGATATTCACATATCAGACAATGCTGCTTCGAATACCAACTCGTACACGCTTTTTAACGACTATCAAGCCCCAACATCTGGTATCAGCGACACCAGCACCATCCTGGCAGGAAGTCGTAACTTCTCTCCACGTGAAATTGAAGTATTCTACCTTGAGTAATTGACCTCAGTACTTTAACCGAACGTTGAAAACCAAAGCAGAGGTTATATAATTTATACAAAAAATAACTGTTGTGAACTTATCGTGAAAAGACTTGACATAGCATAATAATTTATTTACCGAATATAACTACAACTATTATTTAGCTGCAAAATCTTAGTAGAAAATTTCTCAGTATAGAATTTCAAGTATGCAAAAGTTCAAAAATGTATAGCTATAAATAAACCACTTGTTTACATATGAAAAATTAGCCGCTGGCATTGGACCTTAAAATATATTTCGCGCTAACACACACTTGCGACGACAAAAAATAATGAAAAAAAGAAAACAAAAAAAATCCATCAGTCTTTCAACTCTGTTGCTTAATACCGGCCCTTTCCCATTCATCGCAAAAAGACTTTAAAACCATGTAATTAAAATCAATCGAAAAGCTTCTATCATGCAGTATCTTCTCATATAAAAGAGTTTTCACTGTATATTTTAATGCAAACCAACTATGTATGGTAACATAGAAACGTTAAAGTTAATGGCAATCTAAAAGGTATTTCATTGGATGAATACTCTCGCAGCGAGCTTAATTGGCTACTAGTATGCTAGGTGAAAAAGTCTTATAATTGGTAAGTATAATAATTAGTGTGGTGCAGTGCTCCGTTTTATGTCTAAAGCTCAACTGAAATAAAATGTGTTTTTAGCACATTCTGTCCACCTGGTCTTCAAGAAACGTGAACAAATTATTATCCGCCTTCACAAAAAGCCTGCAACCTCTACAAAAACACACCTGGAAGGCACACGTTCATGTTTACAGTGATATACACATGCACCACGCTTCGCTACATTTTGTTCAAGCATCAATGATCGAAGCCGTTCTAATGATTACTAGCAAGCGGGATTTCTGCGCAAAAGAATACACATACACACACGCGTTTTTTGTGGGAGAAGAGGTTTAGAGGAAGCACTCCTATAGGATGTAATTCTTTGTGGTCAATCTTTCATCCCAAAGACTCGTTCTTAAATGGCCTTTAAATCGTTGTCCTGAGGTTTATATTCTCCCCATTAGGATTCTGCAAATGCGCACAAGCGCGTGATGTCATGTATGCGCATGACGCGTCGGCGAAAGCGCAAAAGTCTAGTGTTTCTTTAAATGATTGTCTGCATGCTGGACCGTCTCTTAACCCGCTTTTATTCGATATTCTTGTTCGTTTCCGAGAGCAAAGCTTTAAATTTTGCAAACTGTATCTTTGAACAGAGCGATTTGCCAAGTGGGACGATTGAGCTTGCGCATGGTGCTTATGCGTGACCCTCTGAAATGTTATTGGTTGTTTTTTCGCGCCAAATGGAAAAGGAGTCTAATTGGTTGGATTGAGCAGGTCAAATGATGTTCGCGTGCGATGCCATATTGGATCTACTAACGCATTGGAGCGCCGGTTTGACGCATGTCTGCATGGCATGCCGCCCGCATGCAAACATATGTTTTTTGCCAAAACCGAAGACACACCTTGATATGAACGTTCCCTCGTTAACTCTATTCTATTATTGATATACTAAGATAGCTAAAAACAGCACCGGCTAAATATCAAATTCCTAAACCCGTGCATTTGTAATTATTCTGTGAAATCACTAAGTTGAAATAATTCATCAAAGTTCATATGAAATATTATCATGCTTTATTTTTTGTTTAAATGTACTAGGTGTACAATGCATATTAATTTATTTTGTCATATGGATTCAGAAATATCTGACCCTGACTGACATGGCAAAAGTGACAACCGAGACTTCGTGTTGCAACATACCTCGTTAAATATTTTAACTAAAAACAAGCAGTAGCGACCTGATCTATTTTTTTTGAATTACGAAAAGATTTCAAACTTCTTCTTATGTTACGCGTCCATTTTTTCCGAGTTTCCAAATTCTATTGCATATAAAATTACAGCAACTAGTATATTTAATGTAAACAGTCCTGAATATCTTGATGAAATACCGTCAGCGTTTAATAATAGCGCTCAGTACAACGTTTCCTACCAAGTTCAGTATAAGCCATATAAGCCTTCCGTTTGTTTACTGAAACAACATGAGACAGTATTTCTTTCACCAAAAATTCTGTTCCTTGTCTTGTTGTTTGCACTGCATGGCTGTTTTAAAACTGGGCCCAGTTGTATAAAAGACTAGTTACTCCGCCTGCGTATGCGCAGCGGAGTCTTAAAATGCCATGGTCTTTTTTCCTTTTAGTGGTCGTAGTTTTGGGCGACAGAAGTTGGCATTTCTATAGCTAACCCAAGACAACTTCATTTTTGACCGAGAAGCCCTGGGTTACACGGTCCACTGATTAATTATGTACATCAGTTGGCATGCAGGCGGAGTGAACGCCTTGAGCAGGCGTCTTGTTAACTTTTAACTGTAGTTAAGGACAATATTGACTAATCAGAGTTGTGTATTTCTGAGTTAACTAGGATTTAACTATGCATGCAAAGTGTAGTTAAATAGTTTTATATACAACCGGCCCCTGAAGAATACTGCAGTGTTGCATGAAGATATGGAACGATACATGTAACGTGATACTTGCATGTTTATATAAAAAAATCTACAACTCAAAGTTTGTTAGTTGTTATACCATGTTATTCTTATTATTAATTGAAATTTACTACGCGTAAATTTGTTTTAAATTGGCAAATTAATTATTGGAATCTGAATAATTTGAATTTATATATAGTTTCATTTTTATTACAGATCCATTATTTTATATGCGCATTAGAAATTTTATTTGCACATGCATGGCAACTTTCCATGCACGGGTATATATAGACTTGCTACAAGTCGACTCTGGGTATATATTGTAAACTTGTCCTAACTACAACGCAACCTCGTACCCAGATTACAACGTATAACTAGATAAATTAACGCCATGCAACAAATGATAGCAGATCTTATTAACTTCCCGCGTGTGTAGTCGCATGTTTGAAAAACGCCAAAGTGGAAACTAAGTAGAATAATATTTTGAAAATATTTATTTTACAATATATTGAATTTAATTAATAACCTGTAAAGCCGACAGATACGTCATTGGTCAATTGATATGCGATGAGGCATGCATCATTTAATATTGTCACTGAGTAAATACAGGAAATTCTAGCAAATTCTAGTTAAACATTACCAGCTCAACTTTCACTACACAGTTCGCTTGGAATGTATGCGGGGTAAATAAATGGAGGCAGCTGGTCGTTTAGCTTAAACGAGTACATGCGAATAGAAAGCAACATGCAGTTCAATTACTTTTCATTGCTAGCACATTATTCAAATTGCGCCGTTTGGAAATAATGATCGTGATTTTTAGGAGAACCGGCTATATGAAATACATTGAAAAATGCCATCGAATGTCTGAATATTAATAAATAAAGCTCATCTGATAGAAGCTATCGAGCTTATATTTACAGTGCTCGTATAGACTTATAGCTTACCACTCATCAGAAGAGAATGTGGCTTGTGAGAAAAGGCGCAACAATTAATGTTTTAAAAGGAACCACCATTGATTTTGACTATATGACTATACATTAATTTTTATTGTTTGGAATCTCATTTGAATAGCAACCTGTTATATGTGAGCACGAAGTTTAAGGAGAGCAAACAAGAAATGACAACCTGTCGTAGCAGAAAATAGCACTTAAATGATTGTGACGCAGTTAGCTTTCATAACGACGCGATCAGGAGGTGTATGAACAAGCTCTGTTCAGTGCATTAAGACCAAAATGAAACGCTTTTTTAAAACAGTCTTCTGCCCAGTGAAAGTTCTGTTCCTTTTCTTGCTACCATTTTCTTCTGAGACGGAAGAATACTGCAGGCCCGAAGATGCAAGGAATATTGCAACTCCTTTTCGCATTTTCTTAAAAGGTATAGTTTCTTTTCAGTCGCCTTATTACGGGAAGAAATATTTATCTAAATTATATATTATGTTATAAACTATATAATTGCATGCCTCTAATTAAGTCTACTATTTTATACAGTTATTATAGCCATATATATAATGCGCCCGTTTCAGATGTCGAATTTTTTCATGTCCCAAACCTAATGTTAATGGGCTGAAATCATTGTTTAGGTTTATTTGCATTCTTCATGCAATTGCCGCGCGGCACCTTAAAAGTTGTTATTAATATAACATGCATTTCAGCGCAAAAATGGCCGAAAAGTTATTTGCCATGTAGGGACTCTGAAATTTTGAATTTTTTTTCTCCTTCTGCTGCATAGAATCGGCAAGTGCATGCATTGTTGGCAACCAAAAAAGCAGACGTGTTTCAAGGATACGTTAGCTAGACTGTGGCCAGTTGTTCAAAGCTAGATTAGCGCTAACCCTGCATGATGGGTTAAATTTTAATCCAGTATTTTAGTTTATGTGCTTCTGAACCAATGTTCGTTTTAAAACTTTAGAAAATATTACTTCTGTCGGTCCAGAAAATATTTATGAAAAAAAATATCTAAATTTGTAAACAAGCGATTAAAAAATGAATGTAAAGATTTACTTTAACCCAGGTTAAGCTAACCTGCTTTTGAACAACTGGCCCCTGCATGGTGTTTCAGATCCAACTTACACAACTGCCGACAAAAGCTCGTACATGCACCTGCATGTTTGTGTAGTTGATAAGCACAACGCGGCAGTAAAAATACAGCAAAAAAGTACATTGCTCGTGTTTACATTGTAATAACATTTTAATATTTGTGTCAAATACTTATACTCGTGTTTTGTGCTTAGTAATTTGCACTCGTATGATTTTGGCATTAAATGCATTCCTATTCGTTCACTATAAATTTGAGTATAACTATATATTAATTTTTCTATACATATAGGTGATGGTGATTAGTGTTTCCATTTTTATTTTTTTCATTCAAAAAGTATAGGATTATTATATCGATTAAAACGTTGCTTCTATGGTTTTGAAATACAGCTAGGTGAAAACTAGAACGTTTAACGAACGCCCTTTTTCGTACTGAATTTTTCGCTATTCTATTATTTC